GAGGACGTTAGGAAGCGGCGTGTACTGCAGAGTATGTAGCTAGAGCCTGCGGCCCTCCACGCCACATACCCTTCGGGAGGTCTGCCGCAAGGGCGGCTGCGCCCTTGCCGCTAAGGCGTTAAATACAAAACAAACAAACAAGCAAGATGAGTTTGAGACGGCTGGTCAAGGGGCTGGCGCTAGCTTGGGGTTTGGTAGCCGTAATTGAAACTGTGGCTGAAAGCCTTTCTTGAGGTTTTCAAAAGGCACCAAACATACCCTAGACACAAGGAATATTGATGAATTCTGCTAGCCGGGCAGTGTTAGCTGGCTATCCGGACAGTGTCCACTACATAAGCAGTATATAACCCATATATCCTATATCTATGCTAAAACGACTATCCCCGCTGTTATTATCACTTTCGTTATTACTGTCGTCGTCTATCGTTATTCCTATCTACCTCTACTATAGTCCTTATTAGAATATAGGTATACTACGATATATTTATAGGGGAGGGACACTGCCCGGATAGCCAACTGACACTGCCCGGCTAGCAAAACTCATATTGATAACCAGGGCGATCCAGCATACCCATTGCTCAATTTTTTTCCAATTATCAAGGCAATATACATTGGTGGCCAAGTGGGTGTCTGAAAGCGAGGTGGCTCGGGACAAGGATGGGGCCAACCAGTTCCGCCAGGGAAAGCCCTCATTTGCGGAGACACAAAAAAGGAGCAAAGTACAACGTAACTATTCATTCGTAGGACCGACCGCGGTTCGAACGCGGGGCCTAGAGATATCTGCAAATAGAAGGACTGCAATCTCTCGCTCTACCACTGAGCTATGGATCCAAACAGAAACCAGATGTCTTTACCATACCAAAATAATCCCTTGAATACCGCTACTTCAGTTCGCAGAGTCAACTTTTCGAAGCTTGCGCTTTGTTAGACTCTTGTTGTCTTCTCCATCTTGCTCCAGGGTGCCTTTCGAGCCTTGAGCATCGATGATAACATCGTTGGAATATACCACGCCATCAAAGACCTCGTCAATTTCCTCCAAAGTTCTGCCCTTAGTCTCAACGAACAGACAGTAGACCACAGCCAGAATTCCCAGATTCCAACCACCATTGATCGCGTAGTACCGCCAGGAGATCCGTTCGATCGCCAAAGGAGCGGTGTAGAGATTAAGGAAGCTGAATGCGTAACCGATGGCTTGGGCGACCACCACACCCTTGGCTCGCTGTGAGTATCGGAGTATTTCGGGTGGGTAAGTGTATGCCAAGATCATCCTGCATCAAAATCAGTCACGAATAGAAACATGAACGCCGGAACACCATCTTACCAACTGGTAGAGACTGCAAGCAAGAAAAGTGCAACAACGACAATTGAGCCAATAGCGTATGAGTTGGTGTCAGGATGAACTTCCGTGAGGTGGGATAAGCCAGACAGAAGACCAAACAGAATCACAGTTGCTGATGTTCCGGCAACTGAAATCGCATGTTAGCTTCGGGAAACAACAGTGGACTTTGAGTATTCTGAATACGTACGTAATGGCTTCCGAGCGCCGACCCGATCGATAAGGAACACGCCAAGAATACTGCAAAAGGCCTTCCATAGCAAGAGAGCGATGTTGATAGTGATGATGGATCTCCTGCTGGAAACACCTAAGCTCGAAATGATGTATGACGAGAAGTACCTGAGCAGAAGGTTAGCCTTTTGTTTGTATTGCAAAGACACCAAGGAGCCTACAGAATCATGTTTCCTCCAAGAATTTGATAGAATATGTTGGTCAAAACAGCAATGGTAAATCTCTTCATGTTAGAGGCTACGGAAAACATCAGGTTAGCCAAGACCTAGTGAATGGTACTTGCAATCGGCTCACCAGGTGTAATGAGTTCGCGCCATGCCCCTTGACCGTCCTTCTCCTGATTGAGAGAAGCAACAATCTCCTGCGCTTCGGTAAGTACCTCAACGTTATGTACGTCGCCGTCAGCATGCAGACGGGCAAGGATCTCGGTTGCCTATGACTGGTCAGCAGTTGGTATGGTTATGCACTCGTTGTACCTTACCTCTTCAGCACGTCCTTTGGAAAACAGCCATCGAGGACTCTCATCAACGAATGGCAAGAGACAGAGGGAAATGATGGAAGGTACTGCTTCGCCCTTGACATGACAGGTTAGACAAGTCGACGTAGTTGAGTAACTTTCGAGGACACTCACTAGCATGATGCCTCTCCATACCCAGTTGGAATCCTTGTCGAAGATTCCAAGTACGATGCAGGCAACCAAGAAGGATGTGAATGGAACAGAAACGAGTACTGTGCTAGAGCAGATGGTTCTATGCTTTGGCGAAGCCAGCTCCATCACCCACATAGGGGCAATGGAGCCATTGACTAGAGAAGCGAATCCGATAATGAACCGACCGACAATGAGTTGCGGCACTGTTGGACGCTGTTGTCAGTTTTTGATTTGAAAGCTTTTTGGCCAACGCCACGTACCAGCTGATGCGGAAGCTTGTAGGATAACTCCAACAATGATGCAGATGGAGCCAGCGGCAAGGCCCATCTTCCGTCCCCAACGATCAACCGCCGGCCCCACCACCGGGGCTCCCAAGACCGAACCGGCGCTGATAATCGCCACGTTCAGACCGATCAGATCGCTATTGAGGTTGAAATCTGTATCGAAGCATTAGAAAAGCAACTCAGTTCAAGAAGGAGACAAACAATCGTTGTACGGCTTGACCGCGTTCAAGTTGTTGATCATGCCGGCATCGTAAGAAAGAATACAAATATTCAGCATAGCAACTAAGACAATAAGAATGTGTGAAAAGACGGGCCCAAGACTAAGCACCGCCATGGTGAAATCGGGTTCAAACTTCAAGGTGGATAAGGTATTGGCTCTGTGTTGAGGATGCAAAGAATGATGGAGTGGAGGCGCTGTGTATGTCGCTGCCTCACCGAAACTGATAGCAATTCGGTTGAAGACTGACGACTTCTTGGACACGCATGCGTTCAATTATATCTCGGTGAACTGTGCATTGAACAGATGCTTGCCTCACCCTCCATGCGATAACACTCCAACTATCTCGAAGCACTACTGGGGTGAGATAAGACGCGTTGGGTTAGATCGCTGAATCTTGGCCACTTGCTATCGCACATTTTCTCCGGGCCATTCCATCCCGACCAGAGTTGATTCAGGCAATGTCACAGTGCCAGCACAGAATTGCATGGCAAGTCCAAATCGACGCGCGTATTTCCCGAGCATGCCGAGCCCCACGGAAAACTTCGGCCGGGCATTTTGGTGGGTGTCCGATCTGTTATCATTGAAGTTTCATCTTGCCGCCATGTCAATCTGAGAAGTTAACGACATTTTCGGGCTATACTATTCATTAGCCGGGAAATGCTGAGTGCTGTTGAGGAGAGCGTTATGGTATTCGCCACCAGTGCCCGTAGTAATACATGTACGCAGAGGCTGCGCCCTCTCACTCCGGACGCACAAGGATAACAACGGGAAGCGGTAAAAGGTGAAACTAATAGAAAATGCAAACAAATTGGAAATCGACTATCCCGAAGAAAGGCATAAGTGTGAGATGATTGTGGGCGATGCTCACTTTTCGGTGTAATGTGGAGGGCGAAATCTTGTGAAAAGACTATTTGCACGTATCGTTGTAAGGTGGACTAAAACATAAGGTACGAAATTGAATTTTGAACTTTACACATCTGCAACGGAAGGCAGAATGTGCTGAACTGCAGCTGCACCGCGTGAACATGTTCCACTGCGTCGTCAGTATCCATAGCATACTTTTTCTCGACAAGGTTAGGCTGAATCATACAACACTCATAATAATCGAATTCCACTGAGGAAAAGATTTGGAGTGAAGCAGCTGTATCCACCGATGTAAACAGAATCCATAAATACGCGACATGATAAGTCCGAACGTTCTACTCTAATAAGCAATCAAATGAGCTTCTAAACAAAATGAAACATGTGCATCCCCCGGCACACCAAGACGGAATACATCACCAATATCCGCCGGGGGGTGGAGGCACCGCGACATCCTTCAGGTGTCCATTGACTCCGTTCTTGATATCCTTCGCCACCTTGTCAAAGTTGCTCTTAGTGAAATCCAGCGGATCCCATGGCTTCAGTTTCGGGAACCTCCTCTGCGCCCATTCCTCTGGGGCCGCTTCGATGTCGTCCCAGGGAATCTTGTAAAACGCATCCCGATTCTTCTGGCCGCTTTCGTGTACTGCGTTGGAACGATGAAACCGAATCCTCTGGGCAGCTTCCAAGGCCAGCTTGACGTCGCCCTTGGACAACTCAAGACACTCAGCGACTGTCACGGCATCCTCCAGTGCCTGAGATGCTCCTTGACCAGCGGTGGGTAGGTTGGCGTGAGCTGCGTCTCCGATGAGAATGGTCCGGCCACCTTTGCTGACCCAAGTATCTATGGTGGGTCGGTAAACGAGTTTGAAATCGATAGTTTTACCAATTGGGGTCACATCGAGAAGCGCTTGGGCATCCCTTCCAGGAAAGTAGTTCATCCACTTGACTACATGCTCCCTTTCGGCAATGTTCGACCAAGATTCGGAGGATTCTTTATCGTCCTGATATTGTAAGTCACGTCAGCAGTCTAGTCAATGGTGATTGAAGGGGTCGAAACTGCTTACCGGGTGGATCAATACCCAAGCAATATCCTGACCCTTATTCCAGACAAATGCCATGAGGCTCAAGTTGTCATACATCCAGAATCTCACAGTGTCCCTGTCCTCGCGGTAGAGATCCTTCAACCCCGGATGGCTTCTCATGGCCTCGTCGGTTTTGAAGAAGCTTCTGAACACAGCCCATCCACTACTGGTGCCATCTATCTTCTCATCGTCCAGTTGCAAAACCTGTCCACGCGCGATGGACCGAGGGCCGTCGGCTGCTATGACACAATCGGCCCACAATGTCTCTCCCGTGGACAGCCTCACACCAGCACGACGATCTTCCTCCAGGTATTCACTGACAGCGACGCCGATTCTGATGTCCTTGACAAGAGTCTTCGCGTAGGCTAGGAAGATAGAGTGGATCTTGCCACGGTGACCGGCGTATGTAATATTGTGCTCTTTGTCATCTCTTGCCCACGGAACGTTGACAATGAATTTGCCGTCGAATTTGTGGAGCTCCATGGTGCGGATGCGACTGCATCCAGTGTCGTGAATCTGCTGGCCAATCTTGCCATCATCCCATCGATGAATGATTCGCCCGGCATTCGGGAAGAAGTCCAGAATATCTATGTAATGGAAAATTCTTATTATCATCTGAGGATTGGGCGTGATGAAGGAGCCGACTTACCGCCTTGGCTGTTTGAGTCAGGATACTTCTCAATCACGGTAACGTTCATGCCGCGCTGAGCACATTCAATAGCGGCACCAAGCCCGCCAAAGCCGGCGCCAACGATGATCACCTCCAACTTGTTGTTCACTGTCATATTGGTTGTGGATTCTGGGTTTCAGTGTAAAGATGCGGTGAGTGCAATGGTTCCACGTTCGTTGGCGTTGGATCTTGCGCTTGAACTTTCAAGGGATATAAGATATCTTTCATGCCGGCGATGAGGCCATATTCGCCTATCTAGACATGATCCTGCAAACATGCCAAGCCTGGCTGCTTCCGGAAAAAAAGGTCGTGGCCGAGGTCCAATTTGCTCTTCTTTCGGGATCTCCCCCGAAAAGCCGAACATGCAGCACCACGGGAAGCTTGGCGCCACACCTTTTGGGTTTTAATGCCAATTTCCAGAAGTATCAGACGACTGTGATCCACATCCGTCTTTATATGGAATTTAGCTCCAAGGCCTTACTGTTGTGCCATCATCTACTGCCCTCCTTTCGGCGCATCTCTACCGTGCCTCGATTTCGAAGAGGCCTCCGCAAACACAGCCACGTTCCTGCCACCAAATCCAGCGCGACACAGCCAGCGGTGATGTCGAATACCACTCCAAGCCAGGATCCAGAGACTGCTCAGGTCACGAAGCATGTATCACGCTTTGAAACTTTGCAGGTGCACGCGGGTCAAACCCCTGACTCTACGACGTTGGCTCGCGGTGTACCAATATATCAAACCTACGTCTTCAATTTTCGCAGTTCAGCCCATGCTGCGAGGCTATTCAACCTAGAGAAAGAGGGCGAGATTGCCACACGCACTGGCAATCCTACAACAGCCGTTGTTGAGCGCCGGGTGGCGGCGCTTGAGGGCGGCGTTGCGGCTGTAGCAGTGTCATCCGGCCAGTCAGCAGTCTTCATGACTATGGTTGCCTTAGCTGGGCAAGGGGACAATATTGTAGCGACCAAGCATTACTATCATGGTGCTTACAACCAGTTCTCCTTCTTGCTGCCAGAGTTTGGTGTCGAAACCAGAGTGGTGGAGGAAACAGCAGAAGCCTTTCGAGCGGCCATTGATGGGCGCACGAAGGCCGTCTATATCGAAACTGTCGGGCATCCGAACTTCAACGTGCCCGACATCCAAGCCATTGCAAAAGTAGCACACGACAACGGCGTGCCCCTTGTGGTCGAGAACACGGTCGGGTGTGCTTACTTCTGCCAACCCATCCAACACGGGGCCGATATCGTTGTTGCCAGCATGAGCAAATGGATTGGAGGCCACGGCAGCGCCACGGGTGGCATCATTGTTGACTCCGGCAACTTCGACTGGAAAAGCTCTACACGTTTTCCACAGTTCAACAAGCCCTGTCCTGGCTTTCACGGACTGAACTTCTCCGAGAGGTTTGGCAGAGAAGCTTTCGTTATGCGCATCAGAGGCCAGATTCTGCGGGACGTAGGTTCATGCCTCTCTCCATTCAACAGCCAGCAGTTCGTTCTGGGAATTGAGACGCTCAGCCTGCGTTGCGAGAGACACGCACAGAATACCATTGCCCTGGCCAGGTGGCTGGAGAAGCACGACAACGTTCTCTGGGTTTCCTACCCCGGGCTCCCCAGCCATCCGCACTATGAGCTTGCCCAAAAGTATTTGCCCAAAGGGGCGGGCGCCGTGCTCATGTTTGGCGTTAAAGGTGGGGCAGACGCAGGAGAGCAGCTGGTTGACAATTTCAAAATGATCTCGAATAATCCAGGGTAAATACTCCGCATGTTGACTCTCGTACTCCGTTCCCCTGCTAATTTCTCCAGATACGGTGATGCCAAAACTACTGCAATGCACCCATGGTCTACTACACACAAGCCAATGTTACCTCATGAAAAGATTGATCTCGGTGTTGCACCTGAGATGGTCCGAGTCTCGGTGGGAATTGAACACTTGGACGACATCATGTATGACATTGAACAAAGTATGCGGGCTAGTCCTGCCGTGGCAAAGGGCGATAAATGATTGAGAGACAATTAAATGAGATTTAAATCAACTAGTATATCTGTTTGTTCATTGTATAGATTCTTTCCAAACCAAGCGGTAACCTTGCGTGACATGCTATCACGAAATCCATCTCGGTGATACCGCAATGCCTTGATGGCCTCACCCAATCTGAATCAACAGCACATACGACCATACCCACTGGAAAACTCGGGATCCCGTCCGCTCTCCCATAGATAAGCCAGTGAGGGACAGAGTAGTAGTCGGGTCGGTGACGACCGGCGAATGCCTGTTGTTGTATGTTTTGAACTTTTGTAGTTTTGCCCAAGAGGGGCGGGCTATCGCATGGCATCCATCGATCGGTCAAATGGGAAGATCAAACGAGTCGCAGTAGGAGATACAATCTTAAGATTTCTGCCATTTAGATACCACCTCTGTAATATCATCGTCCAGATCATTGTTCCAAATCCAGTTCATTCTACTCTGCAGGTTCTCTTTGATCTTTTCAAGATCATCCCCAGCCGCTTCAAAATGCCATAGATGTCCAGCCTCTCTGCTCGTGGACACTACTCTTTGGGTGCGATCTACTCTCGCAGCACTGAATGCCTCAAAAGCCGCAGGCAAATCGTCGGCTTTCTCAATGTATCGGAGAATCCTTCCCAAGACGTATGCATCCTCTACTGCCATTCCGGCGCCTGCTCCCTGAAAAGGAGTAGATGCATGTGCAGCGTCTCCAAGGAGACACAGTCGGCCTTTGTGATAGGGACTGGTAGGTGGCATGTCGAAAAGAGCCCAGATGTCAGACTGCCCCATTAGCCGGACGATGTTGAGCACGTCCTCGCCCCAGCCATCGAAGCTATCCAACATCTGTGTCTTGGTGGCTGGAATAACCATGGTGTTGTGTTCCCATTCTTTGCATGACTGGAATGCGACAACGTTCATCATCCTGCCTCCTGCCACGGGAAATGTAAGCATGTGGCCGTGGTACCCGAGGTAAGCTTGACAGTTCTTCGCCTTCTCTTCGCCGAGAAGCTGCACTGCCTTATCCATTGGTACCATTCCCCTGTAGCAGTACTTGCCGGTGTAGACTGGTTTGGCGAGGGTGTGGTCCTTATCGAAGATAACGCTTCGGACTCGACTCTTGATACCATCACACCCAATGGCGGCACTGTGGTGGGCTGTCGATCCATCCGCAAATTTGAGAATAACGCCTTCTTTCTCGTTATCCTCAACATCAATGACAGTCTTTCCAAATTTAGCAATTCCTGGAGGCAGAAGCTTTTCCAACTCTTCGACCAGATGAGAGCGATTGACCATCCAGCTGCCGGGGTCGGGATGCTCAACTGAGCAGAGATAAGTCCCGGCAATAACACCACGAGCCGTCGCTGCTGCATCGGGACCGTCCATGCCAACTCGGAAGTCAAACCAAGTGTTTCGTTTCTCTTTTGAAATGTTTTTGTTTGCGCGAGCTTCAACCGCAGAAGCCAACGTCTTTGAAATTTGCCGAAGCGCTCTTACTACATTCGGTCCAAATGCGACACCTGCACCGATTTCGCCGAACTTCGGGGCATTTTCGTATATGGTGACTGGAATGCTTGTTTGGCTGGTAATACAGAGAGCCAAGCATAGACCACCGATACCGCCTCCGACAATTGCCAGATCGAAGTCGCTTGAAGTCATGTCGTCCAAGATGATAGTGGGTTGCTTGGTTGAGGGTTGGGTGTTCAGGGTCCGTAGTTGGCCAGCACGAATAGTCGCCCAATGAATGCTTCTCTAGATAAGCCTCAGTAAGAAGCAGGTTAAGATTAGAGTGCTAGACTACGTTGGTGGATTTCTTGAAGACGTGATAAGGGACGGAAGTTTGACCTCCTGGCTCGGTGAACCCAGGTGTGATTCGGAAAATGATGGAAAGTATACGGTGTCCGCTATCAGTACCTATATCAGATAAGGCACCATATACCACATTATTGTGTCCAATCCAATATTTTGGCATAGCCATTCTGCGAAAGTAGGAAGTCCGATTCGCCCGGGGGCTAGTTTCACTCATCGGCCGAAAGTCCGCTTCTTAACACACACCGGTGTACGCCGACCAGTCACAGCTCTGGGCACGTTTGACTCCCTTCTGGCATCAATGCTACATTCCCTTTCATGGAACTGACGGAAGACTCTGAATCATGTTATTCTGATCTTTTACGAGCATCTGACTCACTCACCTTCCAACTTGAATCTTCGACGCAGGATCAAGACACTGCAGCTTTCGATGGCTTCAATGGCGGTTCCATTTGAGATTTACTACCCTATCGTACGAGCCAAGCTGCAGCAAAATGCCATCGCAGTGGCAAGATGGACTTTGCTTAGCGCCGTGACCTTAGCAGCTTTGCTGATTTGGTCGGTGGCGGTGGGCAACAAGATGCCAAAGCTTCCGATTGCGATGGGCGAAGAATTACCGAATCAACAGGAAAGAATCGACATGTTCATAAAAGACACTCGAAACTTATTGATAAGCAGCTATAACAAGGTGAAGCGAGGTCACATTAGTGTCGACAGCAATCCAAAGCTGACAGTTCAACCACGTTAGTTTCAAAACCAGGTCTTTGGGATAACAACAACAGAAGGCTAGTTCGAGCAATATTGAATACTATGTCTCCTATCTAACTAAGGTTTAGGCACCAACATCATGATCCCCCTCGACCTCCTCCCTGGGCTCGGAACTACAAAGTCATTGAGCTTCGGAGCATTTCTAGAGGAAGAGGTAAGTGATGCGATGATTTTGAAGGTCGCCCAATTCTGAACAGCTGCAGTTCAGCATGAAAAGGTACACCAAAGTCGGGAATCTTGACGACAAACAAATTGCCATCTTAAACAAAAAGCTCAATCCTAGTCTAAGTGAGTTACACCCAATCATCCTGCGGAGGATGATCAAATTGGGACAGCGCTGAATTTTCCCAGACGAATATGTTCCGGTGCTAGTCAAGCTGATTCGACACCACTGGCCTTTGGATGAATATGATGGTGAGTAGATCAAAAGAGTCACCGATATCAGTAGCAATGCAGTCGTTCCAGCTCGATTGACAGCGAAACAATGCTGTGTCCTTTCCTATGACATCGTAGAGCGACCATAACCATGCTAATCATCATTCAAAGCAGGCCCCGTCACTGTCAAGCCCTGGTCGCATCTGATGCGTCAGGTATCACGCGTTTCCGCCCGAATCTTTCACAGTTCTGACGCAGCCGAAGATGACCATTGGTTGGATATTGCCAGTGAACATGTTCACTCCACGGTCGTGTGGACAGAGAACTTGAAAAAGTGGCCCGCGATGCTTCGTCCCTGGGTCTATCGATTTGTTCAGGGTCGAGGAATAATGACACAGCGCTTTGCCGAAGGTGAAGCTGTAGTGGCTGAGACGCTCAGAAAGAGAAAGGCGAGCAAGGGCGGCCATCTAAGCAGTCCCCCATCGCTTTTGGATTACCTTGCCGATGGTGAACTGGGTGGAGACGATGTCGAAGCGCACACTGTCGCGCAGATCAACCTTTGTGTTGCTGCCATCCAGTCCATGGCCTCCACAGTGACTCAGTGTCTCATGGACCTGGCGACGTATCCACACTATCTGCCTGAGCTTCGTGAAGAGATTACTTCAATGCTTGCGAGGAAGAATGGGGTCCTTGACAGACAATCTCTAGCAGATATGATGAAGTTGGACAGCTTCATCAAAGAGACTCAGAGATTGAATCCTCCAGATCTCGGTGAGTGTCAGCCTGCATGATGGAGGCAATCACGAGTTTTGGTTTAATAACATACAATCCTACCCGCAGCAAGCTTCCAGCGTAAGGTTATGTCGGACATCACTTTGTCGAACGGTCTTCGAATCCCAAAAGGCGCGCGCATTGCTCTACCGACCGGGGCAATCAACATGGACAGCCAGTTCTTTGAGGACCCCGAAACCTTTGATGGCTTCCGGTACTACAAGCTTCGGATGGAAAGTGAGGAGGCCCGGAAGAGTAGCCAGATGGTGACAGTGGGAAAGAAAGATTTGACATGGGGCTATGGCAGGCACGCCTGTCCGGGTCGGTATGTTGCTGAAGTTGCAATGAAGCTGCTCATCATTGAGTACATCGTGCGTTATGATATCAGTCTACCTGCTGGTATCAAAGAGCGTCCAAAGAACATCGAATTCGAAGGGCTGGTGAGTATCTCAAATAACCTGGCTAGTGATTGGAGTTGCTAAACCACGGCAGGTCATTCCAGACCCCAATTGGGAGCTGATTTTCCAAAGTCGGTAGATGCACGGGCTGCAGAAGGCGAGGTTCGACTGAAAGATTGTTTATTGAGACGAGGGAACTGTGATCTTACGCAGATGGAAGTGTGTGATGTTTTACACGAGTTAAAAGCTGCATTATCCCAGACAAAGTAGGAACAATAAGACTTCGAAGTTTAATATTGGCCGTAACCGCTTACACCACAAGAGTCTATCACATCTGCAGACGGTAATTATGACATCGAAAGAATGGCGCCGTAGGTATCGAAATTATGGCATCCAATCATCACTTTCACACAGATTTGAATATTACGAATTGGCTGTCCAAATCCAAGTTGTATGAACGTACATCTATCTGAGAGCTTCGCACCAGTCCATGACAATTCATGACGGTCAAGCTCCTTTCTATTTCATGGAAACACCACCATTCACAAACATGTATTCGCCATTTATATACCTGGAGCGTTCTTCAGCCAGAAACGCCACCGCCCATGCTACATCTTCGACAGATGCTGCACCACCCTCAACCGGTGTCTGCCGAATAAGAGCTTCTTTTGTTGTCTCCCATTCGTCAGGAGTGAAATGGTCCAGAAAGCTTTCCGTAAGTACCGGACCTGGCGCCACCATGTTGACTGTACAGCCATACTTGGGCGGCAGCTCCTGCGCCCAAACCCGCAGAATGGCATCGAGAGCACCTTTCGTAGCTGCATAGATACCCTGCGTAGGCTTTGGCACTCGAGATGCGACCGACCCCACCATAATGATCCTAGAGCCACCAATCGTGCCTGACATATTTGGAGGTTCCGAAGGATGATACGGCGTAAGATGTGGCAGAACTGCTTGGACCAGAGCAAAAGCCCCGCGGGCGTTCAGGTTCATTGCTTGATCCCATGCACTCAACTGGGAGTCCCAGAGGTAGGCAATAGGAACCAAGCCGGCGTTGCTGATAAGGATATCGATGTGCCCGAATCTCTCAACAGCTTGGCGGACAATTTCGGCAGGTCCATCGTCCGACGCAATATCCGCGAGAACCGCGATCCATTCGGTGTTGAGTTTCGATCCGACGTTCTCGCATTCTTCTTTCAGCGATGCCGAAGGATAGTTGAGAACGATGTTTGCGCCCCGAGCCGATAGCTCCGTAGCAATACCGGCTCCGATACCTCTCGAAGAACCCGAAATTATTGCTGTTTTACCGTGCATGGTCCCTCGGGGGTGAAATATGTTGACCATTGCCGTCCGAAAAGACCAAAAAGCCGGGTCAGTTCTGATTGAGGTGACGGAGGTGTTGGTGATGATGGCTTTGGGCTGACTAAAGGCACAGCAATAATCAGATTGAGGAGATAAATTACGGAGAAAGGAAAAGTTCGAACTTGGGGCCATACGTTTATCCCATTGCATTGGTACGTGTATGTTCTGATGTATGTTTTGCCATCGCTGGGTTGAATCTTGCGCGGCCCGCAGGATCTCAAGCTCGGCAAATTATCGCCGAAGACCACCGAAACGCAGTACGCAATGAAGCCGCACCCACCTGCACAATCCAAGACTACGTACGATCTTCTTTTGACAGGATGCAAATTCACTATGAAATGGCACAAATTGCTATCGTTTTCTATTCAGCGAGTTTTGCGCTTTCGGCCCTGCGCTATTCCAATCAAACCCGACCCTCCTCGTGGTAAAACGATCATGCCTCAATGGGCATTTCGGGGACGTCCTTCAGACCTGGAAGATCCTCATACTTCTTGGTGAAAAATGCACGCGGAATGTCTGGGCCCCAGCTCGAGACTACTGCCGCAACAGCCGGTTCATTGGCGTGTTTGGAATCCTCATTGACCAGGTCTCCATCAACATAATGCTCAACTACGAACCCAGAGGGATCAAACCTATAGAAGAATTAGAAAGTGGCAGTTCGTTTTGGTAGTCCTTGCGCTCTCTTACCAATAGTCAAAGATCTGACTGCCTAGAACATGTCGTCCGACGCCAAAGACGTTTATATGGCCCTTGCGTATGAGATAGTGATGTCCAACCACTTGACTATCGACATCATCAACTTCGAAGCTGCTGTGGTGCGCTTTGATTCCCTCCGTGACCTCGGGAGATCCTGCGATGAAGATATTCTAGGAAAAAAACCAGATCATTAGCAAACTAAAGCAGCCTTGGGCGGCGGAGGTGACAAACATGATGATCTACAAATTCTTTGCCCTTGTCCAGGTGGATGAAAATCATGATAGTCTTGTTGTTTTGGGGGTGGTACAGGCAATCCGTCTTCTTGAGATTGAAGGTCTTGGCGTACCAGTCGAACACTTCGTGAAGTCTATCGACATTCACTTCGAACCCGTAGTGACCCAGCTTGTGGACCTTCGACGGTTGGTCCCGGTCAGGTCGCTGGAACTCTCCGAGCCGTCGCTTGTCTTCCCAAGTGTTCCACATCACCGGTTTTGGTACCTCCCTTGGCTCTGGGACTCGATCCTGTTGCCCGTAAATGAGAGTGATCTCCTCGCCCACAAGATCCTTCACAATCACCGCCTTCCCCCCACCTGGGGCATCGTAATCAGCTACGGGCGTGGACCCCGGAAGCTTGGCCGCTTTCCCTAGCTCTGCCATAGACTGCACAATCCAGGCCCCTCCCCTGAATTTTCTTTTCCCATCGCTGGTCTTCTCTGCCACGTAACAAAATTGATCAATACCAAAACCCCGGAAGTAAATCTTGGTTTCTGTCTCGCGCACAGGCGTCAGGCCGAAGTCGGTGAAGAACTCCTTAGCCTTCTGCAGATCGGGGTGACCGTAGCGCACATGAGACAATCGATCAAGAAGGATTCTCGGGTCCATTGCAGGTGGTATTACTGGTAAAATGAGGTTGGAGGTTTTGGAGAGCAACTGAAGCACCCAAAGCAATATGCGATTCAGAACGCAGAAACAATTGTAATTTTCCAGATCTAGTCGAGAACTCTTTCCCCGCATATACCATTATAAATGCAACAGCTGAAAGGTTTGGGGTTGTCCGAGATTCATTCGGCATCTTTCGGCGTAGCAAGTTTCATCACGGAACCCTCGGCCGGTGGTCCTATCAGACCTAAACGTCAAGACAGATAGCTTATGTCATGGCCTTTGAGGGCAAATTCATATTTCTATCAAGCCTCATCGAGACTACAATCGAGATCAGAACTACGGACCTAACTCTTTCCTAGATACAGTCAGGACTTCTTCGCAACACAGCTGATATCCACTGACAATGTCGTTTCATCGACTCATTCGATTTCTTGACGAAGATGGGCAGGAGAAGTACGGAGACGTCAAGGACGAGGCGCCAGTAGAAAATTTGGAAGGTAGCATCGTGCCGCTTTTGACTGGTAATCTCAAGTCCGGGTTTCAAAAGTCTGATCAGAAAGCGAAGGTTGCCAAGGTACTCATACGCGATTGATCAATGGCGTTTGGGCTCAGCTAAACATGACCCTCTAGCTACTATCCCCACTGCGGGAAACGCCGATCATAATTTGCGCCGGTGTTAACTACAAGTCTCATGCGAAAGAGACGAAGGTGAGTATTTAACTACAATGAAGGCATAGTTTTCAACAGCTCTCCTACTTACGTGTGCTGTAGTTTCCCCCGCCTAAGAAGCCCGTCATCTTCGCAACCCCTCCTGACCGGCTTGCGGGCCCATTTGATGATATTCACATTCACCCGGATGCACAAGAGCTCCTCGACTACGAAGGAGAACTCAGTGTTGTCATTGGAAAAGACGCATATGACGTAAGCGAAGAAGAAGCCTTAGACTACGTCCTAGGATACACCGTCAGCAACGATGTTTCCGCCCGCAGTCTACACGCTCCCGATGTTTCTGGCTACCAGATGGGCTATGCCAAGTCCTTCGATAAGTTTGGGCCGATGGGACCTTATGTGGTGTCTCCGACTCTCGTATCAGACCCTCAAATTCTGAAGTTGACGACCTATGTGAATGGGGACGTCCGGCAGAGTAGCGACACGTCGCAGATGATATGGTCATGTCGGCAGCTAATCTCTTTTGCTTCCCGTGGACGAACGCTTCGCCATGGCACTATCATCATGACTGGGACACCCGAGGGTGTCGGATGGCACACGAACGGCTGCCTCAAGGATGGGGATGTTGTGAAGGTAGAGATCGGACAGCTTGGTTACATCCAGAACAAAATGGTGTTCCAGAAGAAGGAGTAATTCGTATCTTAGAACGCTTATGTAGCCCACTCATTCTTTGGAGGGACTTGCGAAACTATTTTTATACCGTACGAGTCTCGTCTAAATCTTGATAGACCCTGACGGTCAATATCATAACATGGAGTTTAAGACTGAACAAAAAAGATTGTCTGTAAATGCATACAATTATTGAACTCCACACACTTGTAGAATAGTCTTCTTGTATGCTGCTTCACGACTTGATGCCAGCAGCAGTTAACTTCCGAGATTTGTGATTGACCCAACATTTGTAAGCGACTGCCCTGACGGAGATATTTGTCAAACGTCGCGCCCTTGCCAAACGCTCAGCGTATGTGAGATCGACATCCCCCAGCCAGTATTCCTTTGTGACATCTCAACCACGGGGAGCCACAGGGTCCGAGACAATGGGCAAGGGCCATGAGACCTCCGCGGTCTCTATGCAGAGCTCATCGTGAGTTGCATATACGGGTCAATTGCAATAACAAGGGTTCGGGCCTGTCGGCCGAATTTCCCGACACCATAGAACGACCCCTGTCAGGGGCGGTCCAATTGGGCTAATTCAATTCTATCTCCTCTCATCGCCTTAAAATGGAACCGAGGAAGACTCCCAGGTGCGTGGACTGTATCACTTTCATCACATTGGTCGATCCCTGTGGCGCGAAATCATGTCCCGAGGACTCACAGCCGCCGCTAGTGGTGCCATCCTCCTGAGAGGCGGCACCCTCCTCTATCATGGTGACCAAGACCATGTGGAACCGCTACGGGATACCGATATCCTTGTCAGGAACAACCGGATCGCCAAGATTGGAAAGAGCATTGCTGCCCCAGTTGATGCGGAACTTGTCGACTGCAGAGGCAAGATCATCACCCCCGGATTCGTGGACACGCACCATCATCTTTGGCAAACGCAATTGAAAGGTTGCCATGCAGACCAATCAGTGTTCGATTACATACCGACCGGTACGTGGGTACATCTGTGACTGTGAACATGTCGGTGTCATGAATCAGTTGACTGATGGAGGCGCGTATTTGCTACACCGTAGGCTTCTGGCAAAGCTATGTGTACACTCCCAAGGATATGTTCTGGGGCCAGCTGGGAGGCGCGTTGGAGGCCATCGCCTCAGGCACAACATTTGTCCTAGATCATGCTCACGGGAATCAGTCTAATGATCATGGTAAGCGCTCAACACCATGAGGAGGGGCAGGCTGGAGATCAATTTTCATCGTGTGTCTGATGCATTGAATAGCCCGTCAAGCGTTATCCGCAACCATCGCGTCTGGGATCCGCTCCATATTCGCATACTCCCATGCACCTTACTTCACCAAATGGGACGCAAAGAGCTGTGAGCTCTCTCGAGACATCATGCCGGAGTCCAGCATGGCTCATATCTTTGAGCTTGCCCAGCAGCAGCCGTTTGGCAACGGGAGAGTTCACATTGGATTCGGCTTCGACTACTGGTTCTTGCCCAAGGAAGCTGTCGTCGGCATCTTTTCCCAGCTTCGTGGTGCAGGCATTAAGCATTTCACGTCTCATTACGCCAAAAACCCCACTTTTGGTACATCCAGCCCGTTTCTATTCTTACATGTCTGCTAGGGCGAATGGATGTGAGCTAACCATCTTCTAGGGAACCACCCGCTCATTCACACATTGGCGGCGTATAACCTTATCAAGACACCAAGTGACATCTTATTGTCGCATGCTACAGGCCTCGATGAACATGAGAAGGCCAAGCTAGCAGAGACCCAGGTCCCCGTATCCAGCACGCCCGATACGGAGGCACAGATGGGATTTGGTTGGCCACTGGCTTTCACACCTGGCATCAACTACACACTGGGCGTTGACTGTCACACTAACAATACCTCCTCCATTCTGTCCCTTGCCCGGACTGCGCTGCAGCTCGCACGTCAGAGGAACACCGTGAAGGAGATGAACGGTGGAGAGGGCGCTCCTCAGCGCATAGACCTGCGCCCAACGGGCAGCACTGAAGATGCATTCAATGCAGCTACTATCAGAGGCGCACGCGCAGTCCTTTTGGGGGACGAAATCGGGTCAATTAAGGAGGGCAAACTGGCTGATCTCGTCATCTTCGATGCCTTGGGAAGCGTAGGCATGAGCTGTGTCTCTGAATCAGATCCCCTGACTGCAGTTGTTCGCCACAGCGACAGCCGCGACATTGAGGCCGTCATGATTGACGGAGTCTGGAGAAAGAGGGACGGCAAGTTGTGTCCAGTGACCGTTGAAGAGACAGGGGCTAGCCTGGCATGGCCGGCTATCAGGCAAAATCTACTGACGAGCCAACGCGATATTCAGGAGAGGCAAAAGAATCTGAATGTCGACAAAGCGAAGGAAGCACTTGTTGCTATGTTTCAGATTGATAAGAGCAAGCTTGTGAAATCTTGATTTGGAAGATCTCGACCATAGTCAGCTATCCTTCATGTAATTAGGTAGATCAAGTGACGGCAACTTGAAACCCAGGATGAGTTCACAACTTTGTATCGTCTCATATTTCTCATCCGGGATGCCAGGGCTGAGAGTCAAAAGGCCTACAAATGTGCCTCTCTTTCGGAGAGAGGGGTTCGGCAAGGTCTCCGCGGGTATATAAGACCTGTCCTGCCTAGGTGCCGTAGCTTCTGGTTCAAATTTCTTCATAGACATTTGACATCTCTTTGCGCAATCATTTAGTCCTGCAAATTTCCGCTGAATAATTTTCGACATCCATCAAGTAGCACGAACATGACCAACCCAATTCCAGCACTGATCACACTTGAGGAGCACTTTGTCTCGCAGGATAATTTCAATGCTCTTTCTGGGCTGTACGCCGAACAGCTCAAGCACCTGCCCGAGGTTGCTAATCAACTGTTAGATGTCAGCCGGCTTCGACTGGCCAGTATGGACAAAAATGGCATTTCTTTTCAGGTCATATCGCATGCGCCAGGTCTAGGGCCGAAGCCGGCAAGATACAGCTCCTTGGCCAATGACGAGCTCGCTAGGGCAGTAAAAGCACGTCCGGAACGGTTCGCCGCATTTGCCGTGCTTCCCATGGCGGAGCCCCAGGCGGCCGCTGCAGAGCTTCGGAGATGCGTCGGAATGGGATTCGTTGGCGCTCTTGTGGACGCCCATGTCGACGGCGTTCACTATGATGACAGAAGGTTCTGGCCGGTGTTCGAAGCCGCAGCCGACCTTGATGTGCCGATTTATCTTCATCCGACATATCCAACACCGTTACAGTCGTCTGCTTACGAGGGTCAATACGAGCAAGGTGCGGCGCGAAGCCTTGGCAGCAGTGGCTTCGGCTGGCATCAGGAGACAGGGTTAGCAGTGCTGAAGTTATTTGCTGCCGGACTTTTTGACGAGCTCCCGTCCCTCAAAATCATCATCGGTCATTTCGGAGAGATGCTGCCATTTATGATCGAGCGGATAGCCAAGCTCTCGGTTCGATGGGGGACTCGGCTGCGACCATGGCGACAAGTATGGAGGGAAAACGTGTGGATTACTACTAGCGGAGTGTGGGAGCTAGCACCTATGGCCTGCATCTTCAGAAACACATCCTTGAGTCACATTCTCTATAGCGTTGACTACCCGTTCGAGAAGAATGAGACAGGCTTGGCCTGGATGAGAGAACTCCAGGAAAGTGGGCTAGTTACCCCGGATGAGCTCGAGATGATCGCGCACCGAAATGCCGAGCAGCTCTTAAAGCTGAGTATCCCGACACGTGAAGCTATGGTTTGATGAGGATACCGGGAGCCCCCAGCTAGTTTCAAAGCTTACGCCTTGCCGTAAAAGTCCGCACTAGAATAAAAATCAGATACTCCTTTCTCATTGCCTTTATATATTCCGCTGTGGCTTGTTTCTTTGCTTCCCAGCATTGCTCTCGCTGTTTCTTCATCTTGTTGGCTTTTCTACACGACCCAATCACTCAAAATTGTTCCAGCAGCAATGACAACCACCGAAAAGTCCACTGTGAAGACAGTAGTCTTGGCTGGGGTAATTATGAGCAGCGCTTGATTCATTTCCTATGCCAGACCACGTTGCTGATCAAACATTCGTTCCCAGGCTGGCGGGAAGCTTGGCAGGCGAGTTCTTGACGCTCTCGTAGATGCAGGCTTCGACGTAACGGTGTTGGTACGCCGTCAAAGCATCCCCTCTAGCTACCCACCTGGTGTTCGGGTCCGTGAGATAGACTACGACTCAATTGACTCACTACGAGAGGCCCTTCGCGGCATCGATGCCGTCATCTCCACGGTCGGCAAGCGGAACGGGCTCGAAAGCCAATTTCGTCTCATCGACGCCGCGGTCATGGAGGGAGTTACTCGGTTCATTCCATCTGAGTTCGGCGCCGATCTTCAACACAAAGAGATCCGCACATTTCCGACGTACCAAACCAAAATCGAGGTTGAAGAATATCTCGAGAGGAAGGCCCGGGAGACCAATCTCACGTACACTCTCATATACTGCAGCGCATTATTCGACGAGGGTTTGGATTTGGGTGCATTTGCAGACTTTCAGGCCAGGAAGGTCAACTTTTTCGATGGAGGTGCAACAACATTCAACGCAACGAGAAGCGTTACAGTCGCTGACGCTGTTGTGGCTGTTTTAAACAAGCTCGAGGCCACCAAAAACAAAGCCGTTCGCATTCGAGACGTCTCCATGACGCCTAAGGAACTGCTGAAGGTCATCCAAGGACTCGAAAAAAACGCTGACTGGACTTCTGTCGCTATTGACACTGGGAAGCTCGTCCAAGGAGCAAAAACCGAGCTAGCTTCGGGGAAATTCAGTCCGAAGGCCTTCGCCGGTTTCGCAATGAGAGCCACGTTTGCGCCAGGGTTGGCCGGACTGTACGGCGATGACAACGACCTTCTTGAAATCAAGGACATTGCGAAGGATGACCTCGAAAACGCATTGAAGTCTAGACTCTTAGTTTGAACTTTGTATTGGGATGGCGTCTACAGAAATAGTGTATAGTTTCATTGGTACAACTGTGAATGTGCATCTCTACATCCTCCCTGTTGCTTCCTCTCGGTATGATCATAGGCATGTGCCCGCACGTATGTAGCGTTAGCTCTCAGCAAAATATAATCTGCCGTCTTCGCTAGTGAAGTCGCACATGTCATCGGCTTCTTCCAACTGCCTCATCATCTGGTCCGCCTGAGACATCGCACTCTGGAACTCCTGCAGCTGCGGACCAGCATTGGAGAATGTCTCGAGCGAAGCTTGGTTGCCTTGTGTGTAGATGGAATTTTGCCTTGTCGAGAGACCACCTACCCTTGTCGGCCCTCCAATGGTGGAGTCTCCTCCTCTATATGCAGCAGGGTTAGAATGCTTGGCTGACAGAGATGAGGACTTCCGACGCCTCATTCCGTTCTTTCTTCGTCTCCGAGCTATCTCGATAGTTTTCATGACAGAGCGCCACTGGTGCACTCGGCTATGCTTCGTTGAAGAGTCCCAGCGGAGCACCGCACTCTGTTCTACGACTCTCCAAGCCTTATCGGCGTCCCTACTCAACGGCTGGTTGCAAAGTTCAGACAGTATGATGGCAAACGCATGCCACTCATTGTAGCACTTCGTCAGCCATGACCAATTTGCCAGCAAAGGGTCAGTCCGTAATCTGTACGAATGCATCATGCACTCAATGGCCCCCTGGAAGACTTGGCGCTTTTGTTCGTCGGTCAAAGATACTACAGTCCCTAACGGATTGAGCACCATGATTCGCAGATTGGCAATGATGGTTCCGATAAAGGACATTGTGAGCTGGCCGTATCGTGTAAGTGACCGACTTCGCAAGAATCATGGAGAGTGCGCTTACACAGTAAAGAGGCTCCCGAGATGTTGGGTCTTCAGGAAAACGAGCATATATAATCTTTCGCTGCTTCTCAACCCACGCTTCTTTATCAGTGGTTGTCATTGACGCGAAGCTTAACCCTGTATCCGTGTCGATTTGGCGTGTGTCGATCATGGTCCGCCACAGATTCGACGCCCAGCAGCGAGCAGCGGTGAAAGACATGTCCGTGATGCCATCTTGTTCCCTTGGGTATTCTGTCATGCCGGGGTACAGAGCGGAGTCGTTCACATTCATAGGCCGCCTGGAGTTAAAGCTACTGAGCTCTAAGCTAAAGCATCATTCTGGATCAGTAAGAGTAATTCGATGGGGGGTGAAGATTGACTTACAGTCCAGAGGAGCACGAATAGTCCTCAGATGCTGGAGTGTCTAGAACGCATAGGTTCCACCAAAGGCGACGTCGCATCTCTGCTTCGAACGGCGGTAGATTAAGTGTGCTCCCATCCCGGTGCATGCCGAGCGACTGTGATAAACGGACAGCCAAGCCTGTCATGGTCCAGGAGTACGTGGGGTCGCGGCAACGAAGTAGAATCAGATAGACAACGAATGCTTGCAGGGTGAGCATGTCGTCCGTTTCCATCAATCTGGACCGGGCAAAGGCCGCGTCTGCGTCGCGCCTAAACCTAGCCAGTAACACCGACTGTTCCTCTCCAAACTGAAGTGGGGCGTCATCCTCTGGCAAACTGTTCACGGCGCCAAAGTAAATGACAAACATCAATGCTTCCACGTTGGGAGCTAGGTCCTTCGGGTTTTGTATCGCTCCCAGCACCATCTGTTCGACAGACGGTATGTGTAAAACAGTAGCCACGGGGTGTATATTTGACTTGAAAAGGTGCCAGGCCTTGAGTCTGTGATGTTGTGGAGGGTGTGATGAAGGGCTCTCCGTATCTCGAGTGCTGGTACTGAAGATGAAAGAATACTGTGAGATATTTGGTGCCAAGGCTGCGCCCGTGCCCTCGTAATCCGATTCTTCTTCGCTCATCATGCCGTCACTCATGTCGTCCTGTCATCAAATATGAGCAACCCGCATCATAGGTGCGAAGACATGATAACTTACCTCAGTATGCAAGGCTTCCCAGAAGGTTCCACTCACGTATCTATCCCGACCATCATCCTTGACCAACTTGCCCGTTGAGACTCCGTATGGTGACCAAGAAAGGTTCGATTCGGCTTCAACCTTGTCCCCATTCATTCTAGATGCATGTGTGCTGGAAGATGTGCTTGCTAGGGACTCTGCTTCTCTCGGTGGCGATTGTCCAGTCAAGGCGTTTGCATCTTTTGGCGCACTGAGTGTAGTCGCTGGTACCTGCTGCTCACGATGGACGGCGCCTGTAGATCCTACGGAGTAGGGCGGCGTTGGGGGCGCCGGAGATGGATGCTCAGCCACGGTCCCTGGCCGTTGGTCTCGAGATTGGGCTGAAGATACGTCGGTGGAAAGGTTTGCTTCGCGAGCTGTAGTCGACGAAGATGAAATGGAGGAGAAAGGCAAAAACGATCCTTGTTGCACACAATCGGCCAGTGTCTTGAACATGGGCTCCAGGCGATGGAGCTGTTCCCAAAGTTGGGAATCGGTCAACATCTGGCGCCCAGCCGACGCGCTGTCAGATGGATAAACGCATTCGGCGCCGAACTTCTTGCAATTATGACATGGCTGCTTCTTATCGCATCCAACCTTTCGACGACGACATGCCATGCATACCCGACGTGGAAGTGCCTGAATGCGAGGTTGGGTGGCATCTTGTCCTGCTGTCTGCTGCTGTGACTGGTTCAGGTCTCCTAATTGTGCAGGATTCCAAGCAGACACGATGGAATCTGCCGTCTCGTGATTGCCGGGGTATGGTCGGGATTGGATGGTGTCCGGAGAATTCATGATTGCTCTCAAATTACAACGCACGAAATGGAATCTGCGAGCCTCCAGCGGCGGGTTTTGGGATGAAGGGAAGGAAGCAGCAGTTAAACCGGTCTATGGCTTCCACCCCAAAAGCATTAAGAGGGGTCGTCCGTCACCTGCACAGCTCCGGTGGATAAGGGAGCAATCGGAAGGTTGGGATGTTGACAAAGATAACAATGACGAACCCCCTCCCTCTCCCTCTGAAAAAGGGGTCTCACTATCACCAGCCATGTGCAAGGAACTCAACGGCAGAAGGGGCGCAATACTAGCCAAGCGATAAGGTACGCGGGTAGTGGAGCAGGCATAATGCGGGGGTGAACGAATCGAGGCACACCTGATTACCACCCTCACCCTCCTAGCGACGTGCTGAAAAGCCGGCACTTGTTGACGAGCCGTCGACAATCTGCCTGGCTGTTCTAAAACAATCTGGCGCAAGGCGAGTGGGATGTGGATCGTGTGTCCTAGTTGAGACAGTTGAGACATACGTAGACGGGATGATTTCAGAGGAACATGGTTCGCGCCTACGACTCCATTCGGAATGCAATGAAGAGCAGGGACAAGCCAAAGTCTTAGTAATTAGGTTCATCGAAACAATGCCGATCTTGTGACCAAGACTTGAAAACAAACAAACAGCGCTTGACCGAGTGGAGGCGCCTCATCCCTGTCCATCTTGGCCGTGATGGCTAACCGCGTAGCTCGGCCGACACCTCCGGCCCAGGCATTCCGTGGCCAGAGTTCAAGGCAATGACCCATGACCTTTTTCGTTACCAGACAAGTTAAGAGACGGCGACCTTTTCTCGAATTTTCGATACAACACTTCGTACTTCAACGATTCATTTGACACAACCTCATTTGTGAATCAAGCTATGGCTACATCCTCAGCCACAGGGACAGAGTGTTCAGAGTGGCTCGTCCGCGTACCTGACTTTCCGGGTGTCGTGGAGCGGAGAGCAGCCGTGTTCCCGTAAGTCGATCACATAGCGCACAGGCTGCTAAGATGGGTATCGTACATGAAACATGAAAGCTGACGAACGCTGACAACAGCCAACACATTGAGAAGTTGAAAACAGATCCCGCCAAGTTTTGGGTGTTTGGAGGTGGGCTACCCGTATGCCGCCGGCCGAACAGGGATGCATCAAGCTAACATTCGGCGGTGCAGGAGCCACTCTGGCGGAGCCCGTGGACCCCGGCCGGCCCCCGCACATCACCGGCAGCGCCATGTTGATTTTTGCACCCACACGAGAAGACGTCCTGGGTCGGCTTAAGAACGACCCGTTGACTAAGGAGGGCGTTTGGGATATCAACAATGTTCAAATTTACCCTTTCTTTCGCCCCAAGAGAGTTCCTGTTTGAGAGTGTTGATGGGGATATCTGGGATACAAATGTCATATAATCGCTGCAGATGAAGGAAACTATACAGTATTGACAACCAGGCAATTACTAACAGTGTTGTATGCTAAGCCACAGCCAAGATCATCTCATGCAACCGAATGTCGCATATGCATGTCTCAAACAAATCAAGAAGGCGCCTCAAAGCCCGCATGTCGGGCCCAAAGCTCTCTCCAGAACTCGCCTAGAATGCCGACACTCTTGGGGTCACCTGGAGGCAACAATTGGGTAACAAACATGGCTCCCATTCGCTGCTCGAGATTAATGAACCATCCAATATTGGGCATGCCATTCCAAGTCAAGGTCTTTGCGGGCAAGTTAGGCACGGTCCCTTGGGTAAGAAGACCTCCTAGGCCAAATGCGACCTGAGGACATCCCGAGCTATCCCCAGTCAACTGTTCATGCAGTGACTGAAAGATTTCGCGTCAGAATTGAGACTCTTATTGGATGCAGAAAGAAGCGTACCTTTTGCTTGAGTAAGCCATCGTACATAGGTGATCCGTGCTGGAACTGCGGAATGAACATCGTTTCCACCGTCTCTACTTTCAGGAGTAGCGGTGTATCACGCAAGAGGTCCCTCAAAACCGATGCAAAATCAGAGCTAGAGGTTATCAAACCCATGCCGCCAGAACCATCTTGCGCATCAACTGGGTACGGTGATGAGATAGGTACCAGCTCTCCTTTGTGATTGCGAAGCCACATCTGAGCGACGTCCTTTTCAATGTCTGGTCGCTGCCGCAGGTGGAAGGTTGATCGTCTCAGGCCGAGAGGTTTGAAAATATTTTCGTCCATGTAAATGCTCAAAGTCTTGCCACTCACTCTCTCGATCAAAATTCCAGCCCAGTCGAGGCCCGCGCCATAAACCCAACTACTACCGGGTTCGAACAGGAGTGGAAGAGAAAAGGCTTGGTGCACTCTCCCGCTCATTACCAATGGCTCCTCGCCGCGAGACTTTCGCCAAGCAACCAAAAGAGGGTGCATAGCATCGTAGGAAAGCCCGCTTGTGTGTGTTATCAGGTGGCGCAAGGTAATTTTGTTTGTGGCTGGTTTCAGCTGAAAAGATCCGCCGGGACCTTCAAAGATAATATCTGGGCTTTTCAGCTCAGGCAAAATGCTTCCGACCTCATCGTCTAGGTTTATCAACCCCCTTTCGGTGAGTTGCAGCACGCAAATCGTGGTGAGTAGCTTGGTGCAAGAGAACCCAGAGAATAAGGTTTCGAGTGTGATCTCCTCGTTACTGTCTTTCTTGGCTCGGCCGAGGCATCTGCTGAAGACAATACCTGGAAAGAGAGTTTAGAGAAGATACTGGTTACATTTGGAGCAGGTTTAGGTACCACTTTGGTTGAATACGGCGAGTGCAACACCTGGGAGGCCCGTAGATGTGTCTCGGGTCAAAGATACCAGTGTCTCCTCGCAGGCTAACCTCATCTTCTCGAATGTAGCACGACGGTGAAAAAGATTTGTCCGTTCAATATGTCTCAGAATCTTCACAATCCTTTCATACCAGATTGCCAGATGAATTTTCTGTTCATATACTGGACACTAGTCGAAGCAATGACTACTTTTGACATGAAGACGGCTTTGCCTTTTTGCGGCCATTGTCGGCCACTTCGGCCGACAGCCGACAGGGTCGTATTTGCCCAGGAATATGATCTGTTAGCCTCAGAAAGCTCCTCTATGGATCTCTCTAAATCATCGGAAGCTCTGCTTCGCCCCTTGGACTGCTTACCGAGTTGCTCGTCTTAACATTGCGCGACGTTCGGCATTTCCTGTGCCGCCACTCGTTCTTGACCAGTGGGCCAGAGTGTTATTCTCAATATGGCGCATTCAAATGCTTCGTCTTCACAGCAGCCGCCTAATCCCGACCCTGCGCCGGCAGCGCCAACAGTAACATCAGCGCCAGCGCCGACAAGCAATGCCGGGAGAAAACGACGATCTTGCAATCTTTGCAGCCGACGGAAAGTCAAGTGCGATAAGCAAAAGCCGTGCAGAAACTGCGTCAAGTATGGCGGGGAGTGCATTTTCCCGGCAGGCAAGACAGCCCAGACTGAAGTTGCTGTAGCGCCTGAGCTTGTCGCGATGCTACAACGGCTGGAGAAAGTTGTTCAGACTCTTGAACCAAAAGGACCTGAGCAGCGACAAGGCAATTCAGCACCTTCCCCTCCTCAGCCAGAAGGGACCCGCGAGCACAAGCACCCCTCTCCCCCGGCTTCTGCACCGACCATCGAGATTCCTGCGACTGAAGTCGGCGTTGAGGCTCTTGTACAAGATGACACAGTCTGCTTTGAAGACTATGGCCAAGCTTCGGAGCCGTCGAAGGATAGTGTTCCAAAGACCAAAGATGGTGAGAACGGCGGCAGAATAATTGTTGATGCTGGGAGAGACACATACGTCAGACGATGGTTTTGGGAGACTCTTAATGCTGAGGTGAGCACTATTTTGCCACATATTGTTGTGTTTACAGCTTCTCACCACGGTTTTACAGGCTAGCAGTGATTCTGCAACGGACGATGAACGCTCAGATGTGGAAGAGTGTAGCGATTCCTTGCCGACGACTTCGAAATCCGGAAACCCAGATCCTACACACGAATCAATACAACAGACTGGGAGCAAAGAGCGCGTATTGGCTGTCCTCAACTCGCACAAACACCATTTATGGAAGGTTTACAAAGAACGCGTTGAGCCTCTCACCAAATTGCTTCGTTTGCCTTCGCTGGAACAATCGACGATCGCCTCAGCCAGTCCTTCTGCCCCGGCTCCTAGACAGAGTTCGCGGTGCATCCTGCTGTCTCTTCAATATGGCGCTGTGACAAGTCTTAGCGAGGAAGAGTGTGGTGAAATCTTCAATCTCTCACAGGCACAGGTACTCTCTTTGATGCGTGATATAATGGGTCAAATGTTCTCGGACGCCATGCTCATTCATACTGGAGACATACAACCACTACAGGCATTGGTCTTGTACATCATCTTCCTTCGGCACCATGAGCCGAGACTGTCTTGGAACCTCACTGGGTTGGCCGTAAGACTTGCTCAGAACTTTGGAATTCATCGAGAAGGTTCTTTGTTTCGACTTTCGAAGTTCGACATCGAGATGCGGCGAAGACTATGGTGGCAGATCGCGGTCCTCGACACACCTTCTGCAGAGGACTACTCGGGCGAGTACAACCTGTTAGTACTTCCGCCCGATAATAACATCCATGGATGTCATTGCAGTTTCCTGTCTAAATTACATGAACAGACTCGAGATGAGCAGTTGTGATACACAAATGCCTCGCAATCTCAACGATACTCAACTGCATCCGGCCATGATGGAGTACCCACCCGAAACAAGAGGCATCACCGAGATGACGTTTACCTTGGCGCGGTGCCAGATAACTAGCATGTATCGTTGCATGGTTGACTCGAGGAGGACCTGCGGAGCTACAGGGAAACCCTACTCACAATTATCCTTCCAGGAGCGATCCGACTGGATCGATGGTTGTGAGGCAGCGTTTTCGCAGAAGTACCTGAGAGAATGTTCTCCCACAGTCCCTTTCCATTGGGTAAGTAATCACCTTATCTGACTGGGTAAATGCAGCCAAATGGATCAATACTGAGGATTGAGCCCATAGGTCACGGTGATTCTGACTCGCATGCTTTTCCACAAAGTAAGATTGCACGGATGTAATCCACTACAAGAACCAGACGATTTGTCGGAAACCATTCGTAAAACGCTCTTCCTTGTCGCCGTTGAGGTGATTGAGTTGAACTACAAGCTGAGAACGGATCCGCGAACACGCCCCTGGGCCTGGCTCTTCAGCTCGTACACTCAATGGCATTCTTTCTCGTTAGTCCTCGTCTGGTTGCAACAGGACCCTCTCTGTAAGGGATCACGACGGGCATGGGAAGCAATTGAAAAGGCTATTGTTCTCAGATGGGAGCATCCCCTTTCGCTCCTGGGCGGCAAAAAGCCCCAGCAATGGAGGTCGATCATAAGGCAGCTTGGGAGGGCACGTTCTATACGGCAAGATGCTCTTGGGAAGAGAAAGAGGCGAGCATCCCGTGCATCCCAGCTCACGGGTGCACCTTCAGCAGCCCCATCGAATGGCGGCATGGCCGCCAGACGTCCGTCAGCTGCGCAGACCTTTCCTCAACCTATCCAACAGCAGCCCCATCTCTCACCACAAAAGGCATCGGATCAGACGGTTGGCCCGCGTAACGCCGCACTTGATGCTACCGAAGACGTGTACATGTCGCCAGACGCCATGATGTCGGGATTGGGAGACCACCAGTCAAAGAACTCAATTCCCAGCTTCAACTACGGCGATATGCCAGATATGATGGCACCGTCAGATACGATGATGATCGATGAGGAATTTTTAACTGATGAATTTCAGAGTTTGCCCGACTTCTTGTTCCTCCAAAGCATTTTCCAGAACGCTAGCTAGTCCTTTGAGGAACAAATTGGACATGAAATGACTTCACTATCCGAGCACATTTTTATAGCTGTCCCAATTCCGGATGCCAATTGATTTACGTAATCTTCTATGGAACATGATCAAGTCCTTATCTACTTTGAGCCGTTCTGTCCCAGTTTGCCCTCTCTAATCTCTTTGTGTATCCCGCTGTTCCCTTCCAACCCAGCGTGAGTGGCGTCGTCCATACCGGGAATCACCATGTCAAAGGTGTCCCGAATGACCGCATACTGGAAGTAACCACAACGAGCGATTGGTTGCGTTTTCTTGACATCCAATTTTCCGTCTGTAAGCACGTCATCGTGGATGTGAACAGCTACAACTCTGCCGATGACGACGTCGACAGTTCCCATTGGTGGGTTGGCAGGCAACCTGATAGTCGAGTGATAGACGCACTCAAACTTCACTGGACTGTCTTTAACCATGGGAACGGGATCTCCAGGCAGTGAATGGCTGTATTGCTTACGCAGCCCGGCGCGCTCAAACTCGTCCACTGCGTATCCAACCTGTTCTGCGGAAATGTTGACGGCTTCGCGCAAGTCCCATGTTGCGAGATTCCAGCAGAACTTTCCGGTCGACTCGACATTACGGACCGTATCTTTTCTTTGCATATCTGGTTTCTGGTTGGCCGAAAACATGACGTAGGGAGGATCAAATGTCAGGTTGTTGAACTGCGAATAAGGCGCAAGATTATGTACGGTAGAGTCCGTGGCCGAGACGGTTGAGATCCAGCCAATTGGACGTGGAACTACGCATGCTTTGAAAGGATCATGCGGAAGGTTGTGTGCAGTTTTGCCTGGCTCGTAGTACATAGTGGTGGTATTGTAGTGGCGATTGCCAGATTTAAGCAGAGAAAGTCTGATGTCGATGGCCTGTCAGTGTATTTAATATTAAAAAAAGCATGTCCATTTCCTCCGAGTCCCGGACGATTGGCTGTCTATGCTATACAATATATCGACAAGCAGCAGTAATCCTTTCTTTCCATCATTGAGCTCGGCCCAGACGCGGCTTGTCCAATGCGGGGGTGGAGCACGCTCCGCAGCATCGGATGGAAAACCCGGCCGAAGAAACGAACCCCGACGATACAGAACTTGGATCACTAAGCTTTACTTTTTCGAGTTCCGGAGTTTATTGTACCTCGCCCGGTCCGAATGAGGCAGTAATTTGAAGAAGTCCGTCTGCAAGCTCACATATAATCCTCTCGGTCTCCTTCCTGCTACATCATATTCTGTTCAGCGGTTCTGTATCCAACCCCCACCTCCTGAGTAATATCACCTGTAACCCATTTCCCCAACGGGTTTCAAATCATCCTTGCAATCATGGAGGATGACGATGTTGAGATTGGTCCTGGCCGTGACATTCCCACGGACGGAATTCCGGTCAATTTCGTGCCTGCCAAAGCTGGCGAAACTTTCAAACTAGGACTGATAACCTGTCGCGTTTTGGAAGACGGGTCGCGAACCAGTAAGATTCCCCCGATGAGTCCAAATGAAGTTTTGTGGTGGAGATTGGAGGCACATTCCAAGTTGCATGCTAACAAGTATACTCCGTGTGACAAGACAATCGCATCGGCGCGGCTGAGTTCACCCTTCCACCAGGCCTCAAGGGGCCGCCGCCGCACTGGCATGAAATGCACGACGAAACTTTCTTGACGACGAAAGGAACTATTCGCTACCACATTCCTAAGCCTGATGGCACCGAGGATATCATTGACGCTAAGGAAGGTGATTATGTGACGGTGCCCGTCCGGGCTCCGCACACGTTCAGCAACCCAACCGACCAAGAGGCCAAGTTTTACAACACCTACACGCCGGCCTACTACATCAACTACTTCAAGTTGCTAGGAACCTACGTGAAGGAAGGAAAGCCGATTTCGCCAAAGGAGCATCTGGACGCAATGTCAAACTATGCCACAATCCCGGTGCCTCGCAAGTACATGGAAAAGAAATAGTCAGAAGATAGTCAAACGCTGCATTGAGTTATTTGAGCTATCATCAAAGCCGTCAGTAAATGGTCGCATTCTTAAAGCACAGTGACGCGTGGTTTCATCCTCAGAAATTCTTCTCAGTCCGCTCGTTATTTACTTTGGTGGTTTGACTAGGACTTTTACTCCCCAGTTGCCGACGTTACTTATTGCTTCATTCTATGATTCTAGGGGCTTCATTTATATTGGTATTTCATCGATTCTTACAATCGTTCCTTTTAGCGTGGTTTTTATCGCCATTGTCCCTCTTGTCATCGCCCCTATCGCTTTCTTGTCCATATTGCCGTAGCCCTTATCGATGCTGTGATCACTATCCGCCCGTGCTCGAAAGGGGAACAAACGATTTCGCGTGTGGCCTCTCTCATCCCATCACATGAAGTACACCTGGCTCAAACATGGCAACCCTGGACCAAACATCGGCATCGCTATAGGACGCTTATCTCAGATTTGTTCGGGCTAGCGTATGCAGGACACGGAGTTTCGGCCGGTGGGCAGCGGACGTCGCATTTGATTTTCAGATTCGCTCATTGGCCACCGATTTGTCCCGCATTGAACCCCCACGTACGTGACCGACGGCCATGCACCTTTCGTTGGCCAAGGCACGGGTTGAGCGAATCCGGCCGAGGCAAACGAGCATACTGGGACACAAGTGTATGGTAGGTGATTGAGAACGTATGTAGGCACATCAATGACCTCCCATCCAGACCTCTTCTCTGACGGGCAGTACCTCCGCGTCAGTACACATTCAAAACGTTGACTTCACTTTCTCCATATCATCCCTCCTCAAGGCCAAACACACAATGGCCTTTTTGGGGCTCATCTTTGTATGCTCTTTGGCTACTGTTGCCTTTGGCATCATTTACGTCTTCGTTGACTATGTTCGCGTCCTCCGACTCAGACAGAAAATGGCTCCAGGGCCTTTTCCACTGCCCCTCTTTGGCAACATCTTTCACATCCCACCTATCAGACAATGGAAAAAGTTCGAGGAATGGTCCTTGAAGTATCACTCCCCAATCATCACCATTTGGGATGGCCACACCCCCATCATGATCTGCAATGATGCTTGGTCAATGTCCGAGCTTTGTGACAAGCGCGCAAATATTTACTCTTCCAGAGCCGTGAAGACACTAACCGGCAAGATGTTTGGTCTTCACAAGTTCAATCAAGCCGGCCTTCAATACGGAGAGCAGTGGCGTATACATCGCAGACTTACCGTAAGCAACCGTTTCCGAGGGCAATAACAAAACAACGAGCCGACATTTTCATCGTTCAAGGCTAATCATCCTCTTATCAAATAGCATTCTGCCGCAAATGCCCAAGTTGTGCAAACGTATCGTCAGATGCAAGCCAATGAAGCCAAGCTATTGATCAAGGATTGCCTAGAGGACTCTGAGAGATTCGTCTCGAGTGCCTTGCGATTCACCGTCTCCATCGTGTCCGTCATTGCTTGGGGCAGGCGTATCAGCAGCGAGAATGACACAGTTCTGAAGGTTGCGCAAGCCTTTGTCGGCAGCGCGAACCTTGGTTTCCCGGGGAAAACGTACACAGAGGCTATCCCATTTCTTACCAAGATGCCGCCGTGGCTGAATCCGCTCCCGAACCAACTCAGAAAACTTGCCGAGACCTCCAACAAGTACTTCTATGCCTTGTCTGCAGAGGGCGCGGAGGCATCGCGAGACAACTTTGCAAAGAGGCTCCTCAGGGAGAAGGAAGAACATGGCCTAAGCAAGGTCGAGATCTCGAATTTGACGGGAAACTTCATTGGCGCCGGTGTTGACACGACAACTAGTGCAATGTTGACATTCATCCTGGCCATGTGTCTTAATCAAGATGTTCAGACCAAAGCCCAGGAGGAAATTGACCGCGTCATCGGCCAAGGCCGATACCCTGATTGGTCGGACGAGGACAATCTACCGTACGTTGCGGCTATCATCAACGAGACTCTTCGTTGGCGACCCCCGTTTGCGCTGGGAGGACCTGCCCATGCTCCCATTCAAGATGATGTCTACGACGGATATCTCTTTCCGAAAGGGACTGCCATCATTGGCAATCTCTACGCCATTCAGCGTAACCCTCGGGAGTATCCCCAACCCGACAGGTTCTGGCCAGAGCGGTTCCTGGACGGCTTCGACAGGCCTGCCTACCCGAACAAGAGGGGTCACAACACGTTTGGCTGGGGTCGCCGAGTTTGTAGTGGAGAGGCTCTTGCGCAGCAAAGTCTTTACTTCACGATTGTTTCCCTACTCTGGGCTTTCCGAATCCTTCCGGGCCTTGACGATCAGGTGAGTTCTTCGTGTTACTGGAGAGCCCTGGCTGTTCCATCTCAAATCTCGTGCTAATATATCACACAGGGCAAAGAGATTGTGCCGGACCCTGACGCCTACACAACTTCTCAGGTAAACCGACCAATGCCCTTCAAGTTGCGACTGTTGCCTAGGTCGGAGTCTATTACGAGACTTATTAAACAAGAGGCCCAGGAGGCCAGACTGGAGCTTCGGGCCTACGATGCTGACACCACCGTCACGTTTGAAAGTGCCCAGTCGATTTCTCTCGATATGCCCATCTCCAAGGCAGAAACGAACTCGGGCTTGTAGTGTTCGCATTGCACAGGCACGAATCTAGGAAAAGGAGAGCGGCTATTGGAATTAGATACATTAATCAGTATGCCTGGTGATCTTTTCTTTCACTTGACACAACTTTGTCATTCTCTAGGCTTACGTAGCTGTATATGTCGAGTTTGTCGGAATTCCAGGCTCCAAGCATACGTGCAAATTGCAACTGTCTGCAACCAAAAAGCTGCCTACGTGAATTATTGATATGTACAACATTCTGACTATTTCTCAGTCATTAGACGATAGACATCGTCAGCCATCCGCCTTGACGTAACGTCTACCATGACCCGGTCAACCAGATGACCACAATTAGAAACTCTTTCCAAGACCTGAGCCGAGATCAGCGGTGCACGGAAGCTTTGGGGACTTGCATAGTGGCAGGAGATGAAATGACAATAAATTTAGTTACAAATTTCTACCAAAAGTTTCTTCTGGATCCTCCTTTACCATGCCAATCCTTCAGGGGCAGAGCCGCCACGGAGTGCGGAATTCTCGCAGACACCCCGGCAAAACGCTTCATCTTGTTCTGCAGAAGACTTGGTTGCCTGAACAGGACCTCTGCGAGCAGGCCACCACTCTGCTCCGCGTTTCTTCTCCTCATCCACGTGCCCATGAAGCATTCCTTTGACTCTGCCAATGACATAGACAACGGCTTCCTCTACGTCAGGGTGGAATGGCCCAGTCATGTAAGTATCGCTGTTGAGGTTTGCCTGGGAGCCATTTGCCAGCCACTTGTCCTCTGACTCGACCTGACTGAAGAAGTCGAGCTTCTCCTTAACTTGCTCCGGGGTCGCTGATTTAGATCGGTAAACCTCGTACCGCATCAGACTGGTGGTTGCAGATGTCGGGACGATGGACATCATGTAGAAGAAGACCGGGCTGTGATAAAAGTCAGAGTCGCAGGCCTGTAATCAAGCCTTTGCTCGATGTGACGAGACATAAGACTCACGTCAAAGTGACAGAGGCGTTGGGAAACATGTACGTCGGGCTGACTGAGCCCGAACGCTCTTCTCCCTTCGCGCCCAAATGCGCAACCCAATACTTTTCGAGACCGTAGTTCATCTGCTTATTGCCCTTAAAAAATGGTGCAAGTCCAGGGTGCGCCGTGGGACAATGGTAGCACTAAATATTGTCAGCAACTATCCAGTACAATACCGGGGTATTCCGCTTTGAGTGACCAACCTCGTTATAGTTCTCAATCAATGTCTTCCAGTTGAACTTGCCCTCCATGGACCAGGTGTGGTCGTACTCATAGTCACTCATGTCAAAGTTCTCCAGTCGAGGCTGGGTGTCAACGCCGCCAAATTGCTCCTCCCAGCTCAATGTGGGTTTTTCGGCGGCGTCCAGGTTCACCCAGAAGAAGCCCAGGCGGTCCACATGACTGTGAACCTTGTATAACTTGTACTCCTCCTTGTCGAAGTCCTCAACGTGATCGAAGCGGGGAGCCTTGGCCAAGTTTCCGTTCATGCTGTATGACCAGCCTGTGAAGCGGTCAGGACCACCTTGAAATCTTGCTTTTCAATGCGAGGAGCCTTACCATGATATCTACAAGACAACACGAATGCTTTGCCTTCATTCTCGTGGACAATTGGGAAAGCCCTGTGGCGGCAGATATTGAGAAATGCGTTGATGTTTCCTGCTCGGTCCTTGATGATGAAGAAAGGGTAGCCTGCCATCTCATAGCGGGCGTATTTCCCAGGCTCATTGAACTGGTGAATATGAGAAACGAGGATCCATGATTTGCTGAATATCGCTCGTCGTTCCAACTGATAGAACCCTGGCTCGCGGTACCAAGAAGCTGGAAGTGTGCTCTGCATATTGATCGATTTGCGATGTGCTCGAGGCTAGCCTAAGTCCTAGGATTACTGGTTCTACAATAACGCACCCTGTAAATTGAGTTCTTTTAGAGCTTGCAACTAGCTTGAAGCTTCAAATCCATCCTATACCACCTCGCAGCTCTAGCTACTGCTAATTCGCGTAAGCCACCGGCCGAACGATACGGAAGTACATAATGCCAAGATTCGTATGCTTCGGCATTCCGAAACAAGCCGAACGCCGACGATTACAAAAAGCACACCCAGAGATTGGAAGATACTGGGCGAAGGACTGGGCTCGGGTCGTCGGCCGAGCTTTCCGTGTCCTCCATCAGCCCCCGCCTTTGTCGGCGAGGCGGGGCCACCCTGCGGGCCTGTGGCTTCGACGATGTTACTCTGTACATTTCCCCAACTTCAGGTTCGTTTGAACCCACCGAAAAGACTTTAGTTCTGTGCAGTGGGAGTACAGCACCTGCTCAACCACCTGACTTCCAATAAAATTCCAGAATGACTAATAGTCTAACCATGTTTGGGCGCTAGCAAGGACACAGTGAAATGGTAACTTTCCGAGTCGATATCGGCACTTCGGCTGGTGGTAACCCCCAGATGAACAAAGACTCCATCAAAGGAGGTCAGTCGATTCATTCCACAGCTCTGACGGTTTGGGGACTACAAATAAACTGGGACAAATGTCCACAGATTACGGACGAATGTGATCAATAAAGAGCGATCTGGGATGAATCCTATCAACACTGTCCAAACCTGCATGCATTCTGAACCCTGATCCTTTGCTTGTGTCCAGAAGTAAAACATATCGCCTACTTTGGTTCACACGACTCATCCTCAGCCTCATGTTCAACGATTTGACGCCTCGTGAAGCAATCGCCGATGCTCTGTGCCACATCATGTCTGCCTTTGACGAGAACGACGCGTCTCTGCTCGCCTCCGCTGTGACCCCAGATATCACTCTAACTACCAACGGCAATGATGTGTCGGGCTTCGAAAACGTCAAGGCCCACAGCCTCAACACTGTGGGCCCGATGGATACGACCCATTTTGCAACCAACATTCGCATTGACGTTGCGGACAATGACGCCGCCATTGCGACGTTGACCGCAAACAATCTGGCTCTGCCTTACACTGGTTGGGATGGACTTGGCTCGAGCGAGAGAAAGTTGCTCGGAGGATCAAAACATGTCATCGAGCTCAGTGAAGACGAGAAAGATGGGCTTTACAAGGTCAATTTGTGGCACATAAAGACGGCATGGAAAGAGGGAGGTACGGGGTGGTTGCACCCAAAAGCTTGAGTTGCTTTCGCTCTTGCGAAAGTAAGTTTTTGTGGAGCTGGTTGGTTGGGTAATAATTTCCCCTTTTCATTGCCAACTCTCAAGGGTGTCCTAGCCATAGGTAAACTGCTGGAGATTTCGCGTTGTAACTCGAAAGTTTAAACGGGAAAAGGTTAGCAGGTAGGTTACCATCAAACCTGTCAAGGCCCGCGCCTACTCTCAGCCGTCGTGTAAGCAAGTTCAACGTATTGAAAGTTGGGGTCGGGAGCGGAAAGAGAGACAGTTGTATCCGTCAATGCATATCCTTCTTGATTGACTAAAGGCTATGGTAGGGTATTCTCGAACTATATTATTTCATCTGATTCATAACTCATCCAACACTAATGGCGACTACCTGCTATGTCGCCGTATCCAACCCCATACATCGCCCTTTATCCTATGTCGGACGTGTTGGTTGAATCCATAAGTAATCGCGTTTGCGAACCCAATAAATTGACTTGAGCTCTGGAGGGCGGCCAGAACTCGACTTTGAGATGTATTGCCAGAGGCCTCCATAAGACGGTTGACGAGGCCGGGAATCCACAACAGAACGTACATGACGGGGTACGCGTTGAGAAGCATCATGCGCTTGATCTCGCGCTCAACCTTTCTCGTCTGTGACCGGATCGGGAAGTCGCTCATCATCGTGGCCGTCACATTCTCAGCAGCGGGCTGCTTGCTGGCGACGTTCTTGAGGCTTGGGTTTTGGGGGAAATCTCGGGCGGAGAAGTCTCTCTTTGGTGGCATGCGCCACTCCAGAGTTGAACTCCTGCTCCTGGATCCCTTGCGCTTGGAGGACAGGTCAGGGAACCCGTACTTGGAAAACCGTGCGGACATGGCTGATGGCCTTCGCATGTCGCGATGGTAGGCAGAGGGCCCTCCGAACTGGCTTTGTTGCAGCTTATCCTCCTGCTCAAGGTATGAGAATCTGGCCTCGGAAGCTTGGCTCAAGTCCATCTCGTTGTCGTCAAAGCGGGATATCCTTGCGGACATTTTTCTCTGTCCCTCCACGTCATCGGCGGTGACAGATGCCCTCGCTGGCTTTGTAATGGGCTCGACTCCTTCGTCTGATTCAAAGGAGACAGTCCGCTCGGTCGGACCAACACCACCGCTGACTTTGTTCGACCACTCCCTCAATTCGTCGTCGTCCGGTGTCGATGTCGTCTTGAACGGTTCCTTGAACGTTGGCTTCGGTCGTTCGAACTGGTCCATTTCTAACTCAGGTGTTGGGATAATCTCGAATCCTTGCTTTTTGCGAATCGAAGAGGTCATGACGTTGCCGACACTAGAGCCAGAGTTGGTTGAATCGTAGAGGGGATCTGATGTGTCGACCATGGAGCGGAAGTGGCGGCCGAGATACCACCAGACGTAGAGGTAGATGAGTATCGTAGTAAAGATGATGGCGAAGCGCCATCCGTGTGTAAGGGAGTATCGAAGGTCGGGTCGGTTGCGGGAGATCCAACACCAGTTGCCGCTGACGGGTTCCATCTGGCCCATGCCGGTCGCCGTGGCGCTCGTGATAATCGGGACCACCCATACGGAAGCGCAAATGATGAACTTCCTGAATGTCGAAGTATTGGGCATGTACGTCTTCCGTGTAATGGTGAGGAAAGTGACTACGGCTATGGCTAAGATGGAGAAGTCGGAGGCTTGGACAGATAGCTGCCCAATCATGCCGTTCAGCACGCATGCCGCGCCGGGCCTCAGATCTTTGTCTTTGATGAAGATGATTCCTGATATGGTATTGTTGAGAGAGTTGATGAACTCTTTTGGAAAGAGGCTCGAGTCAGCATCTTCCACCAAGGGAAGCCAGAACTGGCGATCAATGACTTACCGGCCAACGTCAGGTTGAGGACGAGAGCATGGCGGAAAGAGCGTTGTTGATCGTGGTAGAAAATGAAGGAAATTAACACGCCCGTAGTTGCTAGAAAAGAGAGGATGCTACCCGTGAGGGTAACGGATGCGACTGCCGCATCAAAGGCCATCGTGAACCCGCACGCCGTAGATGTTGGTTAGCATCCACGCGCGACGACTTCGCGGCGGTCTCAAAGTGGGAAATGGGTATCGTCTTGTACGAAAGCCAGTGCGCACGTCTTCCAGGACCGTGGGCTGGGCGATATTGGTTATCCGTTACACGGATGGAGTCACGGGTCAGCGGTGCGAGTCATGAAGTTGTTGCGACGTGGGTCTCCATCCCCTGAAGCTTTTCTATTTATTGAGTGATTGACATACGCGATGCCATCTGAAGTCGAGAACCACCCGACGCGAGCCTAAAATGCCTGTCTTTACCCCAAGGTGCACCTTACAATGTCGGGATGTCTTGCAGGACAAGACGCTCTGGGAAATCGATGCCATTGAAGCACGACATGAGGCTGGTGATACGCCTCAGAGAGTTGCAAAGACAACACGCTGAGGTTGCAAGGGTCAAGGGACAGAGGCGCGCCCATTGTGAACTAAGACAAGGTCCCCCTTAATCAACGCTTGGCGTTTTGGAATGTAGCATCCAGCGTCTGGACCCGCTGCATAACCCGGAAATCGTTAGCTGATGCTCAAAACCGTTAGGCGAAGGCGCAGTTCCACGTGGATTCTTGTGTCAGAAAACGCATTCGGCACCCCGATCTAACCGCAGATGTGCATGTTGAAGGGTTCATCCGTCGTCCCAAGTCTGTGGGCACTCGAGCTGGGCGCGCGTCTGTCGCCAACTTACCAGGCCTTTGGGGTGGGCATCAGATTGGGCATCCCTCACTTCGCGAAGTAGAGGTTATTAACCGCATGTTGCATTCGTTGAAGCGGCTTTTTTTCTCCTCATGTCGCATTCAATTCAGAGTCTTCTGATTATTGTTACGCGAGAGGCAACTTCACTGTTGATCTCTGAGTGTCCGAGCTCAATTCGGCAGTTATAATGCCGTCCGCTATCAACTTCGTTATCGCTTGGCTTGGCGGCTGCAAAATTTTTATGATCTGCTCAATAGGAGTCCAGCGTGTATATGAAAACACTAAATGTCGGTGCCGTGCAAGCACAAACCAAGACACCGAGCCGTTATATCCCGCGGACAGCCCTGTTGTCGGTGGATGTCAATATCAAGGTTTGGAGCCGGTAGCACTTCAAACCATGAACCCCTGAAAATACATTGGGTCTCCCTGCTCGCTTATGCTGTCTTGGCCTGATAGCTGACAGGGTATTCCTATCTCACGGGCAGCTTCCTCTTGGGTTCATGGAGAATGCGAGCAGAATGTTCCACCGGCACAGTCGGATTTTGGAGTCCTTCCGCACCGGCTAGCCCTGTCACGTAATCCAAAGACAGGATCCCATGTGGTTCGGGGGCATCATCCCGCCTCACGGCCAGCCGTTCCTGACGAATTGCAACGGTTCTGGCATATCGAGGACCAGTCTTCTGACCAATTTCCTCAACTCCGCAAGTTCTCAACCCCACAAGCCGGATGTTGTTCCTTGATTGAAGGCCGGCTGAAGGCTCAGGCCCCCGGTCGTGCACTTGGGCAATTTTTCGTCCCCCTCTTGCTGACCCTCCACACGCGGACGGCATGGGTAAACTGAAACCCAGGCCAACTTACCTCTCCTGGGAAGATTTCGCCACCCTCCCGCACAGGACCTGCTCTGGCGCGGATGTTCTCATATGCCGCAATAACGCAAAGTTCTATTTTGGTCTGGGGCCGACTGAACCGCGCGGGAATCGGAAGGCGAGCGAGCCCGCCCAGCCGAGCTAGACCAACCATCTCGCCAGACGCGGCAACGGGAGGGTTGCAAGCAATATACTTAGCGTGATGCCAAAAGAATTGCGTTCGGTGTCGATATCAGTAATCGGCACGCCAAGAGCGAGACTGTGCCGAGTGACGCCGACGATGCCTTCAAAGTCCTCGTCTGAAAATCTCGCACCTTTCGCTCTTGGCTCCCCCAGACTTTCTGTCTCAAGTGATCCATCTCCTGACTGAAAACGGAATGTTGTTTGGCCCCGTTCTGTCTTTCCTCGTGGTTCTGGCCCACGGTTAAAGTTGAGAGAAATTAATCCCCGAGTTTGTTCATTGTTGGCTCCGCTCTGCAGAGGGGCGAAGCGTGGCGGACAAGAAAAGCACAGAGCACATCGCGACGTACGCGAGGATTGTGTCGTGGTGCGCGGAGTTGGACATGAGTCGTGTGAGTGTATGATGTTCAACCACCATGTGTCCGAAACAACGAATGTGCCCTGCTATTGCTCCCGATGTGATAATCCGCACGGATAAGTTCGGATTGAAAAAGTTGCCGGCCTGTCGCCTCTGGAACTGGCCCCTGATCGCCAAAATTTCCCCCTTATGGCTGGCAATGGGATTCTTCTTCAAGATAAGGCTCCTCCCTGCATCTCGAGGAACATCACGCGTGGCAGTGCGTTCAGAACCTTTAACGTTTCGGAAATTCACACGTCACGGCCGGAAATGTTGCAAGGCAGTTGACGCGTATGATCACGATCGCGGATTGAGCTTAGCGCAGGACCGAGACTTTTTATGAAGCTGCTGTTGGCGTGGCTTGGCGCATCCTTCATCATTACAGAACACTGAAGCGTTCACGGTTTGTGTTCAATCGGAAGAAAAGACTAAAGTATGGAGTCATGGACTCGTTCAACCGAAGTTTCCTGACAGAACTAGGCAGACCCGGATGATGTAACCTTAGCCACGTTATCCCAGCGGCTGCAACCGACTTGCAAGCCATGCAAGATTACTCGCAACCGAGCAGCCCTCAGAAGAATGACATCCTTCCCCAGGCACGACTAATGCTGCGGCTGAGCACTGCTGAAAATGGTTATTGATGCTGAGGTTAGGGTTATACTCGATGGAACACTGCGATGACGAGTTGCTCACGTTGTCTTATCTGACATGATACCAGAGCTGAACATGTCGAACTCCAGTGGTTTCTCTCGTCCGGTGACTTTCTGTGTGATAATCACGTAATTACGGACCATTCAATGCCGGTGGATACAATGTCTCAAGTATCAAAGATTCAGCTTAGCTGAGAAAATTTGCCCCGTAGGGCTAGGTTGAACCATGCGTCGACAGCCAAGTTAGTCTGGACTCTTGAACAAGGTTAAACAGACTTAAACGAACTCTTCGTAGTCGTCGTAGGTGGCCGGAAGATACGGTTGTTTGAAAATGACTCAATCAAAATGGGTTATGTTTTCTGAAACTCAAATTGATAGGCTTCGACAACGATATCACATGATGCTGTTCTGGCCCAACCACCACTTCCGCTTTGGCAATTTCTTCATATTGATGAAATTCCGAATCGAGTGTTGAGATCCCAAAAATGACTGTCTACTTAGAGTTACGGGCTAGTCTGGTGCCTAGTTCGGATCAATCATCCAAAGTCAAAACCCATTTTCCTTGCAGCTGAGGAGAAGTAGTTAGTATTGATGGCGCGATACGGCTTTGGGAACTTCTTACCTTTCCAGCGGACATTGTCTGGACCAGTCTTTCCACGTCGTTTAGCTTTGCCCTTTGAACCTTTGGAACAACGGCTCGTCGCTTTACGAACTCCAACGCCTCCAGAATATCGGCTCGCGTCCCAACTGAGGAGCTCAGAATCTTCCATCCCTTCGCAATCAGCCAGAGAGGATGGAAGTTTACCAGAGCCTCATGGCCAAGGACTGCCACACACATGAGTGTCCCAAACGGCGCAAGTACCTCGAATGCTTGTTGATATGCAGCCAGTGAGGTGGCGGCAACTACGATGGCTTTTGCTCCCTTCCCGCCCGTTACCTTCATCACCTTCTCCCCCAGTGTTCCGGGCTCGGTCACGTCAACATAGTGCTCAGCACCCTGCTCTTTGCAGATTTTGGACTTCTCCTGTCCAGCATCAATTGCAATAACACGGTATCCCATTGCATGGGCATACGCAACAGCTAGGGCACCAACGCCTCCGGCGGCTCCAGAGATTGCGAAATACTGTCCGGGAGTGACGTGGCAGCCCTTGACAGCCTTGTAGGCCGTCACACCAGCACATAGAATCGGCGCAATCTCCTCGTCGGGAAGATCGTCGAAATGTGGCGGCAGTCTGGCTAGATACCGATACGGGACGAGCGAATATTGGGCAAAGGTACCGTCGTAAGTCTTTCCGGAATGCATCGCCTTGACACATCGAGTCTCTCCTTCGTTGACAAGATCCGTGCAGGCATCGCAACTCCCACAGATATCGCGGGTCCAAGCAATACCAACTCGTTGGCCTACCTCGACTGAGGGGTCGAGAGAGAAGACATTGGAACCAAGAGCAGCAATTTTGCCAACGCCTTCGTGGCCCAGGATGTTTCCAACGGGCCCAAAATGACCTAGAGCCATGGCGAGATCTGATGCACAGAGGCCCGTCACGGAGAGCTTGACGAGAACCTCATTTGGGCCTGGTACTGGCCGCGGTTCATCGCGTACTGAGAAGGTCGGCGTGGCGTCAGATGCTTGGGTTGACTACGGCGGGTTAGTTGACATCCTCGACGCAATCCGAGTCTCTGGTCGTGAGATGAACGTACAGTTAAAACGGCGGCTTTGTGGGTATCCATCTTAATGGTCTTTGGACTCTTCTATGAATAATTGCTTCTATCTGGCGATAATGGACTGTAGTTGGTGAACTAGAAACGAGTTTTGAGTTTGACCTGATGTTCCCCGAATCTATGATGTAGTTCCTCCCTTCCCCGCCAATCCCAAGCGGGGGAAGTTCAGACCATTCGGATACGTATTTCCGCCCGTCGGACAGTCCCGCGCGGCCGAGGTCATGGCGGCGAAGTTTTCTCTCTTTTGAGAATGCTGTTCGCTCGAAAATGAATACTGACAATTCCTCTTTGACTCAATCTTGAAGTTGAGGTACAGTATCTCCATCGACGTGTGTGGCAGATGTGGGTTTCCGAGAGCCGCGGGAATTCGCCAGGCCCGGGTTATGGCGTTATCGCCCCCGACCCAGGGGTCTCGATTCGCTGCACGTAGTGAGACATGCCTGCGCCGTCCGGGCTCTTTTTTCTCCTCTTGGCCTTCGGACTATGCCTCAAAGGAAATGACACTGAGAAATTCATCAATCAGTCTTTTGAAGAACTGGAGATGTGGGCACATATCGTGATTCAACAGGGGTGCTCCATGTAGGAAGAGCTGTCCGGCTTGAGGTTAATTGTGCATGTGGTTACCACATGAATCCCCCGGAAATTGACACGTTCATATCGTGCCGTGCTGACGGATGCTCAGTAAACGTCCAACCATCATCAACCTGGGTTTCCGCTGGAGGAAAGATCGCGAGAATTCGGCCATAATCGTGACATCATGATCCATGTAAGGAATCTCTTACATAAGCGCTGTCACGAAGATTCGGCCCACGGCGAAACATGAGCACCCGAAGTATCACATGACTGAGTCCAGCGATGGCCCCTGTCTCAGAACAGGCCAACAACATATTTTCTGTAATCATCTAATCCACCAGTCCTCACCGCTGGATCCTTGCGCCAAGGAACCGCATAGTTGCAATGTCCACTCAGAAGTCATCGTTCTCAAATAGGGGCTTCCAAATCCACCAGTCTGTAATTCGGCATCCTGGCGGAGGAGCACACGACCGAATTATACACATAGTCAACCGCGCTCTTAGGGGCGTGCGTTCGGGCGAGCATCCGGCACCTCACGGCGACGCAGCCGGGAAACGGCCAGCACTCACCCTCGATCTTAGCTTCCAGGGGATGCAGCATATTCCCGAAGATGTTGTTGATCTAACCAAGGAGGACCTAGAATGGTTCGTAGAAATTATCGCTTATCTTGAACGAAAAGGTGACAAGCTTACGCCAATGTGCGTGATAGGCTCACGATCTCCCACAATCTTTTGACCTGCCTGCCGACTCGGTTTGGAGCCTGCATGAATCTCCGATATCTGGATATTAGCAACAATGATCTCAATGAGTTCCCATTATCTGTAATGAACCCGTCATGTTTCCCCCAGACTCGTCCTAACGCTGTCGCAGATCTGCCAACTGAAGTCTCTAGAGATCTTAAATGTTGCTCATAATTCACTCGGGAACATCCCTGATCAGATTGTTTTACTTTCATCACTCAAAGCACTCTTTCTTCAGAGCAATCAGATTGGTTCATTGCCACTCAGTATCGGGTTGATGGAGTCATTGCAGCTCATCAAGATCAGTGGAAACCCCCTTGAGTATCCCCCGCCGGAGATCTTCAAGGTACCCAACCATGCAGAAGAAGCAGATGCCATCGTCACCGCACGGATCATGAATTTCTTCAGGTGTGATGCGTACCCTCAACTTCTCGTCCCAACTGGCCATCTCGATCTCATCGATGCCGCGGATGCTGTGGCTAGCTGTCTGCCCCGTTTACAAAGGCTCCTCTCAATCGACCGCTTTGCCAGATTGACGCGGCATCAATTTAACACGGTGTCAAATTTGGAACGCTTGGTATCGCGCAGTGGGCTGCATCTACGAGAAATGCAATTGTACATCCAATTCGCTTCTGAAGGTGATGAAAGTGCCCAGGAGGGTCTGTCGAAAGCTTGTGTGCGACTTGTAAGATCCATGTCGCGAGTGTGCCTCGAGATCGGGAGCAATTCCGATATGATAGTTGACCAGGCTGGAGTCCAAGACGTTCTGCCTCTTCTGAGCCTCCTGCATAGCACCTGTCGGGACCTGAGGTTTGCGCTGCAAGCATTCACCCCTAATAAGTCTTGCGAGACTGAACATCCAGCTACGAGTATGCCTTTGACTGCTCAACCTGGTATAGCTGCTGCAGATATTCTCTCTGCTGCACAAGAACAGAAGTCGCTGTTGACCCATGGAACCAACACCAACAGCGATAACCATGATCAGTCGCTGGACTCAGTCGTGCTTTCTCTCTTGGAGGCTTGTAAAGCGTACAAGGATCTTCATGATCAGCTCCGGGGACAGATTTCTGCAAGTTGGCGCAAAGATGACGCGCGAGAGCCTAGGATGTGTCCAGTCAGGTCTTGGAGCCAAGCATGTGCCTCCTGCTCCAAGACTGAAGAGGCTGCTTCGATTCTCCGGAGCTGTCTGCATCTTTACACCCCGAAAGCATACGCTGCGAACGACCCATCGGTTTTCATCGAGTTATCCTCTAGGTTTTTGAATAGCTGGGCAGACCTCGGCAAGGGAATGATGGCACTGAGAAAGGTTTTATATCTTTCGACGGACGTGAGAAAGCAGTTGCAGAATACGCAGACAACTGTGAAGCGGGCCACGCAGCTTCTGAGCATTTGGATCGAACAAATCGAGAACAACACAAAGGCGGAAAATTACATTTGAGGCTTCGGGGAGACTTATATTGATTTTACACGCAAGCGAGGACGGATGAGACCGTTTTAGAACATGAGCTACCTATGGAGACCGTCATAGACGCTAGAGAAAAGGTGATGAGACGGGAATGATGGAAAGCATGGATGCTTAATGCAGCAGGAATAATTAGAGGATCGGGACCAATTGTCCCATAAGAATATTGTAGTGCTTGAATGTGAGACCAAAAATACCTTTTGGAATCTCTACACTAATTGGAATACCACGCACCATATTTCCTCTCAGCATGTGAATGCTGAGCCAACCTCACCGGATCTGTAAGCATCAACGATGCTCTGAATAGTGGTATACGTTCCAGCCACGGTCATGAAAGATGCCAAAACCACCGTGAAGCAATGCAATAGACACAGACCCATCTTTGCTTTACTCAAGGACCGTACTTCCCAGTCCATGTACAGTCCCATAAACGCAGGAATAATAAGCTGTGGCACAAGAAGATGCAAAGTCAGAACTGGACTGTCATCTTGATCACGTGTGGGTGAACTTACACATGTTGGCATGCAGCAGATAGAGCCGATGAGACCAACCAGGTAACTGAAAAATGGCACTGCTTCAGCAATGACGAAGGCAAGTGCACTGATTCCCAAGGTTGATCCACTTGCGATGTCAGTTCCATATGTCCTCATGTAGTCTGCGGGGTACTCACAGCCACGTAGCCCAGTGAACGAAACTCTTGTTCTGCAGATGAACCGAGTTGCGGAGAATGCGAACAAGCAACTAGAAGTTGTCAACGGCTCAACTCTTTCTTAGCAGTGGCAAAGACGACTCACAAACTTGGCGGCCAGATGGACCCACAGCGTGGTAGTCATGATGAAGCCGGGAATGGAGATGCCGTAGGCTATCTTCTCCAACGTTCCGCCTGCGCTCCCCAGTGATGGGCTGGCGACATACTTGCCGCAGTACCTTCGTAGTCTTTAACATCCGTGTCATCTAGAAGGACCTCAAATGACTCACATGTAGACAACGGTCCCAAAAGAGACATAGCATGCGCCCAGGAAAATTTGAGACGAGAAAAGCGATTTGGTGAACGATCTGGGGCTTCTCATTTCTGCAATGACCGGCATAAAGGTAGGTGTCGAGCCATAGCCAACTAGGATATTGTAAGAAAAGATTTCGACCAAGTGTAGTATTGCAGTGCTTACCGAAGAGATTGATGGTGGCAACTACCCCAGGAACAAACGCAGGAGCACCAATGGAGTGAACCTCCATGTCATAAGGACCCTCCTGAGGAGCAGCGGCTGGTCTATCGACCTGAGTAACGCCAACTCTGTAGTTGAACGTCAGAATCCAGCAGGATCTAGGTGATCAAAGAGGTTGAATCTTACACTACAATGAATACGGCCGTGAATATCGATGCAAACCCAATCCATGCCAGAATCGACAATCTTCCAAGCGTTGGAATACTGGAGATTAGTGCAGTACACGTTGCTGCGACGAGAGTCCAAACGATGTTGCAGACTGGGCGGTTAGAGAGTGTCTTGAATCCTTCCGCCAGGCCAACAAAGCCAGAACCAGAAGCTAGCCTAGACCCATGGTCAACTAAAAATGGACCGCATTGGAGTCGGATAGAAGCTTACACCCAAGTCAAAAGAAACAGACCGCCTGCGACTTCGCGAGCCACGGGGCCACCCATTAGGGCAGCGGCATCGGCGATGTTGTGCACACCGGGATACCGCATTCTGAAGGCGTACATGACGTAGGCGTAATCTGCGAGTTACCCAGATTGTAAGTGACTGCCGAGTGCAGGCGAGGCCCAAGAACATCAAAGAGCATTGCCGAGAACTCACAAGTCGTGAGGGTTCCCCAGCTCACAAGGAGAATAATTCCCGGCCCATATCCCACTGCGCTAAATGCTGACGGAATAGTCAAAACGCCGGTCGCGAAACACAGCTTCATCAAGATGATGACTGTGCGTTTCCTGTGATTATGCCTTAGCAAGATCTCTCCACAGCGAGAAAGTCATGCAATCGTGTTACGCATACCAGCCGAGAGCCCGGTATTGGGCTTGTTGGAAGACCTCACCGACATCTTCAACATCAACGGATCCGGTCTGACTACTGTCGCCAGGAACAGCATTGTTTGGGGTAGTCAAGTCTGGCTTCTCGGACAGATTCGGGCCTGAGCTTGTTTCGTAGGAGGAGGACATTGTGGCGGACGTTTGTCCTGCGAGGATTCTGAGGATTCTGTTGATCGGACAATTTGCAGGCCAAGTAGCGCCGATGAACTAGAGAACTGAGTAGCTCGGTATTCCAGCTCAAATGCGCAATGACTGCACGCTGTCTTACGAGGGATCACGGAAGGGGGCAGAGTGTTTATAGACACCAGAGGTCGGTCAACGACTCCCTATCACAGACTCTTCTTGTCTCCAAATGCCGGGGTTCATGACCAGGGCAAACTACCCCTCAAGCATGCGGAGAACCCTTGAAAGTTGGAGGTGTTGGGACATGCAAAGGACGTAGGTATCTGATATCTACATGTTCCACTAAGCGTGGGCCTAGGACACGGCATTCCGTGGCTGTTGGCAAAGCATTCCATCTACCCCAAGGCCTGGCTGCAAGGTTATCAACCGGCCATGAATTCATTGGCAAGTGCAAGATAACGCTAGACAGAGGTGAGTGCAGATCTAGTCCTATTTGCGGGGAAGATTGCTTGGATAACCCCGTGGAGATAAAGCCCCCAACACCCACAATAGATAGAGCGGGTTCCACCTCGCGGATTCCCGACGCTAGCAGATTTCCGATAGCGATGCCATGCCGTCGAGTGACATCAAGGGTTGGAAGGCTGTCCGGCCTACCGGCGAACGTCCTCAAATAGCCTAACCTGGTGCGATGCATAACCCCGAATGCTGGCTAGTAGCTCTAGCAATATCGGCGGAAGGGTTCGCTAAGAATAATGCAGTTCAGAAATATTTGTAGTGCGTGATGATTGAAATTCCATTGAAAAATCTAGGAATGGGCAAGAAACTCAGTCGGAACTGACGCCTCTGACAACATAACTTCCTCCGTTTATGGTGATCTCTTGATTTGCAGCCCAAATTTGGCTGTCTCTCTCCATGACCTCAACGGCCTGAAAAGCTCGTGGAAGTCTTGAGACATCCCCAGACTCGAAAGAAACCTCCCAGTTTGCGCTAGAAACGTTGCGATCCTCCCGGCGAGCCGAGAATGAGCCGTCGGGGAACTTCTGAATAGCCAAAAACATGCCTCCGACCTTTCCAATAAAAATGTTTCCATCTTCACTCTGAAGAATCCACGACATCTCGCTTGGTGCACTCTTCGATGTGATGTCCCGCCAGACCTCTTCATAGTCCGTCGGCGCACCGCCCTTGTGCGGGCAGGGGGTCGTTCCAATCTCCAAATCGTCTCCGTTGGGTAATTTGTTGAAGTAAGCGTCATCAGGAACGATGAGGTCAAGCGAATCAATGATGTGCGTCCACCGAAAAGTTGCTGAAGAAAGCCGCAGTCAGTTGCTTGCACACGAGGGACAACAAAGAAGAAAGCATGGTGCGAGTGGTGGCATACGGGGAGATTGTTTCAACATGATGCGTTCCCCGGCGCGGCTCCATTGTATGGTTTGATCTTCTCTCGTGACTCGTAAGTCGATGAAGTAGCCGCCGACATTGAGGGCGATTGTGTCGGTATCCTCGTATGCTGGTTCAGGATGCCAGCGGATGCTGATGCGTTTAACAGCTTGAGAAGGCATGTTTTTGGCTTGGAAGGTTTAGGAACAGCGTGATGTAATATCAAAGACAAACAGGTTGAAAAAATAAAGTCATGGAGAATCAGGTTTGATGAAGCTTTTTCTCCGACTTATGCTCGGAAAATGAGCGCAATGATTAAGTGCACCGGCACCGGACTGCACTCCTTCGATAAACCGGCACCGAGACCCACAAAACGGCACCAACGCATCTTCCCGGGTCAAGTCACTCTGAAGGCTTTCTATTGCTATGTTGGCGCCATAAGGTACGCCGACGAATGACGAAGTATGCCCTGTTCTAGCTCTGTAAATGGAGTTCATCTCATTACAGGGCACATCCATGACACGCCTAACAACTTACGTAAATATTATTCTCTCGTCTTCAAACCTCAGCATTGCCAAGGACAGACGAAAACGCAGCATCGCGAAAGAAGGCAATATGAAATGTTTATTGCAACATTAGACTGACTACGGGTTAGACTTACTCTTCAGGGCTGTCCACCAATTTCGAAAGAGTTACCTGGCTGCTCTATGCTTGGAAGATGGAAGAGGGTGGGTTGGGTCTAAGTCACGTGTGATCTACAGATACTACTCCACGCACTGGCGGGCTGAGTGGTCAATTCTTTCCGACGGGCTCCCAACAGCTTTTGGGAAGCAAACCAGACAATCGCAGCAACCTGGCCCTCTTGTTATACTCGATCGATTGAACCAGTCGACTGGTATGCTGCACCCGAAGAAAGGGACGAGAAATGGATACAGTTGCAAGCCGAAAGTCCAAGAGGCACAAATCCATCCCGGCATGTGCTAGATGTCACAAATCAAAGCAAAAGGTAAAGTCTGTGGAGAACGGCAATAGGGCGCAGTGAGTCTAAGATGTGTATTCCAGTGTGATAGAGGAACGCCAAGATGCTTGCGATGCGTTTCAGCCGGTGTTGAATGTACCGCAATCAATCGACAAAATTCCAGTGAAGTTCCTCGAAGGTTTGTAACATCCTTTGATTCACACATCAGAAGATGTTTCGAGAGAGAAACTTATCGGCTTGCTGACTTGGATGATAGTGCTGTTCAATATCTTGAGCAGAAGCTGGCCGAACTCGAAACCCTTGCTACCACAAGAGAGGATGTTACGAATGCGGCGTTGCCAACACAAGACGACTTGAATATCAACGCTGTAGAAAAGGATGTCCTCCAGATCGCTGGCATATCTGTTATGCGTTCTTTGTCAGCAAGTGGCTTCGAATGCAGTGAGAAAATTCAGCATAAGGCGAAGCTCTTTTACGGTTCTGAAAGACCTCCACTCAAAATTCCAATAGGTGGTATCTATCACGAGCTCAGCCCAAGAACGGCCGGGCATGCATATGCATCTCAATTTGTCCACTTCAACGCTCGAAGAATACCTCAGCATGTGGCAAAACGGCTTTTTGAGAATTACAAAATGGACATCCTGCCTAGATTTCCCTGCTTTGAAGAAGATGAAATTGGTAAATATTTCAACTTATTCTACGAGCAGGAACTATCCAGAACCACCAACGAAACCCTGGAAGACATCGCAGATTTTGTAGTTCCCATGGTGCTGGCTATATGCTCACTGACGTCCAGGAATAACAGCTTCGAAAAGGTTGCTGCCCTGAGCGAGGCTCTACAATCCGATGCTTTGCGTCACGCAGAGCGGATTTTGCAGCATGCATCCATCCAGTCATTGCAATGTCTGCTTCTCGTCATTCAACTCGCGCTGTTACTCCCAAATACCGCTAACTTATGGCATTCGACTGGGGAAGCTATGCGGATAGCAGTGTGCCTGGGACTACACCATGAGCCTGATGACCGAATTACGAGGGACCACAAACTCTGCGAAGAGCGACGCAAGCTTTTTTGGGTTGTAGGTCTAGTATGGCATAAAATTCCGGAACAAATTCTAATATCTGAATCAGGTCTACCGGCTTGATAGGATCGTTTCCATATCTGCGGGATGTCCTGTCGCCCTAAGTGACGAACACATCACAACCCAGCTTCCGTATGGAGGGGGCAGTCCGTTCCATGGTGATACAGACAGCAATCATTCCGGAAACATTCAGAGCGTCACGCAAGAGCGGTTCCTCATGAGAACGCATGCCTGCATCTTACAGTCAGAAATACACGCCACCCAGTTCTTCGATCAATCCCTCCCAGACTACGTCAAGGACCACGCGGACTGGACCAATAAGACCAACGAAGCCGTTCAAAGGCTTGCAAACGAAGCCACGCCTGGATCTTTGACTGATCCGTGGCTAATTTCAGCACCTTATCAATGTCGCGTTCTACTCCATCGGCCATGTTCCAGAAACATTGTGGTGTCTGACGAGTCGTTACTGGCCGTTGTAACTGCAGCGACCAATCTGATTGCTCTGGACATGAATGTCGCTAAAGCAGGGGGGCTCGTGATGGCATTCGAAATAGGCAATCGGGATTTTCAAGCCGGAATGGTTTTGCTTTACGCTCTCCGGAACCACCCTGCAAAGCTGGAGGAAGCTTCGCTTACGGTTACAGCGGGGAGAGCGCTTTCAGATCTTGTGCACCTATTCGTACGTACTTCATATGTTTGTCTTTCCACTTCCGTGACGGAGCCTAACATGGGCCAGAATCTGCTGTCCTCGAGATGGCCACCATTGGCAGACACTGCTGCATATATCAACGAGCTAGTCGATACGAATCTCCGCAATCCAGTCGGCCACAGTGGTAGCGCTTACGACATGAATGTTCTTGAGGAGCTAGACTGTCTCGTCACCCAACGACGAATCCACAGCATTCGTCATCGCAACATTGTATTGCCACAGCAGAAGAAATCTGCTGCTGCTGCCACTCAGCCGAAAGATAGTGGTCAGCAGATGGGTGAAGGTCTGTTCGAGGACGAAAACTGGTGGCGAGACTTCATCAACGATGATTTAGTTACGAACGACAGTCTCTTTTCACTGACTTCACCAGATGCGGCACGGAGTTCAGTTTCTATCCTCCCGCACGAGAGAATTCAACATCCGACCGACCCAAGACAAGATCTTTCCAATCTAGAGAAGCAATTAAGATCAATCATCGACGCTCTACCTTCATGTAGCTTTTGTAGAGACCGACGAATCAAGTGTCGTCTCCAATTACCAGCTTGCAAGGAATGCCATCGCACTTCACGTAATTGCGTGATATATGACCCAATCCTTGGAAGCAATGTACCGTTAAAGTATGTCCGAAAAGTATTTCCTTGGATCTTGCCGGATTGCTAATGATTAAGTCTGAAAGGCGCATACACTCTCTCCTGGAACAAATCCGACATAAAGCTTCAACTAGTTCGCCAGCTCCTACAATCCGAACGAATGAAGAACGTGTGAAAAGACGTACAACGGGTGTCCTGCTGCCAGTGAGATCAGGCCCGCAGGAGGAGCTACTATGTGGTGATTCGCAACGCAAGTACAGCGATACGTTTTTCGGGACCTGGAGTGCTTTCGGTTGCCTTCGGCACTTACTTCAGAAGCGCCCATTCACAATTCCTGAGACTCTGAGAACTGCCAACAAGTGGAACTGCCACATCGTTTCGCCAATGAGATCGCCTTGGAACGGCGACATCACTAAGGCGTTAGCTGAAGGTCTTTTTCAACTGTTCAACCGATCTGTGAATGCATTTTTTCCTGTATTGGAATCTTCAACCCTTGACCGCATTCTCACTGGATTCTTTGACTTTTCAAGGTCGCAGCCAAGTACAGACACTGAGTTATTCTATCTGGTGGTGGCAATAGCATCTTCGGTTGGCACAAAGAGCGACCCTAGGCTGGTTGTATGGGCGGAGTCATCATTTGCAAAGGCTATTGAAGTCTTACACACTGACTGCGACCACGGCTCTCGCCCATCAAATGTTCTCCTCTTTGAAAGGACCTTGCTAATTTGCATCTATCTCCTCCTAAATCCACAGGCAGGTGACATTTGGCGACATCTGGGTTTCGCAATCAGACACTATCTGGACCTTTCCCATCGTCCCTCTACGGAGGAGTTAGACGAGGGTCATGGTTGGTTTTGCACTCTAACGAGGACATTGTATTGTCTAGAAAGGTATGCCCCCAAGTATTCCAGCCAACATCTGATAAGACGTCTGATATTGCCTTAGTCAAGTTTCTATCGCCTTCGGACGACCCAGCCTTCTGGCCATCGGCGATGGGCTTCGCAAGGTGAGTACAATGCCGTTCAAGTGCATTCATGATCTCGTCTGACCTTCTTTTAGGAGCTTACCAATCAAACTACTGGCACGATCAGAGAGCAGATTTCCGTATCGTCGTACTTGATTGCGTTTCTAAAGATGAAAATTCACAACACTCTTTTAGCAAATGATGCGAACAGCCTAAAAGTGAAAAGAGACGACCTCCAAGGAGCCTGTCAAGAGCATCGTCGGGTCCTAGACGAGTGGTTCGTGCGTTGGAAAGAAAGAATGAACTCCGTTCCAGAGGTGGCAAAAGAGTCCTATGCCGGATTGATTTCTTGGATCGAGTTCAGTTACCACCATGGAATATTCATCATATCCCTCCTGTGGCCCACTGCAGGAGGAGATGCTGCTCGTGTTTGCAACGCTTTGTCCGATGCGGGCTTGCAACTTACGAGGCAACAGCAGTTGTTCGGACAATTATTTTCGGTTGCCCAGGATGACGCACCCATCCTGGTTTTTCCGATTAACTGGGCAATGTCTCACACAGTCTTTCAGGTGGGATTGTCCACCATCGATAGTAACTCCAAGTCATCTACCCAGGAGGAAACGGGCGCTAGGTCAACAGCACTTGAACGCTGTTTATCTCTGGTTTTGCAACTTGAAGCTGACTCAACGAATCTTCTGATGGGGCAGTCCGTCGTACTTCGAGAGTTGATTTCTAATTAGCTTAGGAAAAGAAGCGCAGGTGGCCTTGGATACCATTCTTATCATTTTCAAGAAATCCAGTTGGGCTGGGCTGTAGTAATCATCCAAGCCAGTCGAATGCAAACAAATATCGAATAATGCGACTCAAAAGACCGTCGAACACAAGTTCTGGAAACGTGAATCGTATTCCATGGCCGGAATCCAACGTCATTTCGGCTAAGCCTGGCTGCAACTCTCTTAGAAAAGGCCCAATCTTGACAACGGGGAACTGTCCCCGCTGGCGTATCCACCATCGGAAGGGCACCGTGGGTTTAAGAAAATTCTGCACCGAGCCATCTCTTCTACCAATTATTCACACACATTTCCAGTAATCACTCCGATATGGTGTAGTGGCCAACATGATGCCCTCTCATCTCCGAGAGGCAGGCATAGCCCCGAGTTCGATTCTCGGTTTCGGAACATTTTATAACTTTTTACCTCTGAACCTTTTGTATTCAATTCCATAATACGAAGCTACACGGTGCTTCACGCTCTTCTCATTCGCATGAATCGTTGGCCATCCATGCTAATGAGTTGTGCAATATGAATCTTCTTAGACTTTTAGTTCGTCGCAAGTAATCGAATAAGAGAGTTATGAGATACCAGAATCAAGCCACAGCAATTGAAAGGAGACTAGTGAGCTGATCGATTCATCCGAAACGCCTCAGCTAGCCGCATTGCTGTGTAGCGTCCACGCCTCCGTCGTCATTGCAAATGTCTCAAAGCAACCTGGCGTGTCTGGGTGAATGGTCAATACCACCACGGCATTTGCCGGAGGGGCAGCCGTAACCAAAGACTTCCCACACCTTCACGGACACCTGCCAGCCGCGAAGTCTGTTGCAAATACCTCGTTCTCCAAAGTTGACATCAGCGTTTCGAAGAAATTTGCAGTCAATAATCATTCGAGTCCATTAAGCTGGCATACAGTCTCGTATGATGCAAACTGTGGCAATATTTCTTCTGGTGTTGGGCCATTCGCGATCAACGAAGGCCTGGTCAAAAGCTCAATATGGTGCGATGGGAAAAGAGTTGTGAAAATTTACAACACGGGGACGGATGCTCTGCTGGTTGCCCATGTTCCTGTTGATCCAGAAACCGGACGTGCTTTGGAGAAGAGAGATTATGCTATCTCCGGCTGTCAAGGCACGGGTGCGCCTATTTTGATGGACTACTCCCAGGTAAGTCTGACCTCCAATTTCGTACGCGGCAGAAATTTAACGCAGGAAGTAGACCGCCTTGCCCAGGAGGTTTCTTCCGACTGGCAATGCAATTGATCGCCTTGATTGTACGTTCGGAGCCCTTGACGCCACATTTTGTGAAGTTGGGAACCCAATCGCCTTCGTCACCGCAGGAAGCGTGGGTATTGCAGGGGACGAACCAGTCGACAGTATCGATTCTGATAGAGAGCTTGTGAAACGGGTTCGAGAAATCCGCGGGAGAATTTCCCAGAAGTTGGGTAGGTGCAAGGAGTGGGAGAATGTTGATGAACAGTCTCCCATGTTGCCAATGGTAGCTGTGGTGTCTAAGCCGACCTCGTCTGAGGGCCACATTCAGGCACGCCTTTTTCTCGACAATCACTGTCATCCGAGCATGGCAGGCACAGGAGGTGTATGCACAAGTGCTGCCAGTCGTATCAAGGGGTCCATCGTTAATCAACTTCTAGCCCCCGAGACGCTGATAGAAGATGAGTTCGTCATTCAGCACCCGGCAGGACATCTCCCAATCTCTGTCAAGACTGATGACTGCGAAGGCTACAGTGGTACACCGAATTTTCACAGACTGGGCTTCATGCGCACTGCAAGATACATCTTTCAGGGAAATTTATTCATTCCCTCAGATTTGGAGTAGAGGCTAAAAGCTCTATGCATGTAAAGTGATGATGTGCTTCCGGGGCGTTTTCATAGCTTAAGCGCTTAAGTAAGTTGAAATCACGATGAACAATGGACTCTTGCCAGCATATTTAAATGGGATGTGACACCCGATATTAGTGCAGCACCTTTCTCGTCTTGTGTCACACTCGAAGGAATAGCGCCATCGCCTAAGCTGTAAGTAAGCGCGATCCCTGAACAACGCCTCCGCGTCACTCCGCCTTAATACGGTAGTGCTTACTCGCCAATCTCACCGATATATAGAGAGCGACTGGCCCAAGGTCCTTGATGCATGATTTTGCGAAACTTGATGTCCGAGCATTCCGACACACGCTCATGATGCTGCTGTACCGCACCGCAACGCTGCTCTGGGTTCTCAATGCCCTGGCGCCGGGTGTTTCCGCGTCGCCCCAGAAGCCATGTCCAATCGACAAGCGATCGGCCCAAGAAGTTGTGCAGAAGCTCGGCCTCATTCCGAATGAAGAGAAGGGCTACTATACCCAGACATTCCAGGATCCCGATACGGACAGCGGCAACCGCTCAGTCAGCACAGCGATTTACTACCTTCTGGAGGGGTCCGTTGGACCTTCGATCTGGCACCGCGTTGATGCAGCAGAAGCCTGGCACCATTATGCAGGAGCTCCTCTCACTTTGTCCCTGTCATACGATGATGGGAACCCGGTAAAAGAGATAGTGCTCGGTCCTGACGTCTTCGACAATCAACAGCCCCAGTACGTCATTGCAAAGAATCAATGGCAAAGGGCAACGAGTCATGGAAGATGGACTCTTGTGGGAACAACTGGTAAACTCTCCTCTCCGTGTATGAAACATCAAATTCTAATCTAGAGAAGTTGCCCCCGGCTTTGTCCCCAACGGAGTTGAACTCGCAGACCCTGATTGGATGCCAAATGGAGCCTGATTTATGCGATGTGTACATTTCATGTTGGAGAAATAACAAAAATTCATCAGTCAACATGTCAACATTCTTCTGCATTGGTGACGCTCTTAGCGGAATGATTATCGATGTCTAGGTACAAAAGCGTCATGAAAAGATCTAAGGGAGCTTTGGTTGACCTCTATATCTCGTCGTTCTTCTTGATGCTCAGAACAGGTTCAGCGATATCGACCTCGCACTGTCCAGGCAAAGCAACTCCGTATGAGTCGTATTCCAACTGTCCTGTTGTCTCATTAACAGCTACCCATCTCCTGTTGAGGAGGTCTCCATCCTGGGCCCTGTCATTGAAGTTTTGTGGGGCGAACACAATGCTGCTAACAGCTTCACTGTAAAGAGTGACAGGAATGTCCTCAGCTCTGGTAAAGTGATGCATTCCCAAGTTGAACCATAACACAATGTCCTCGTTGTCAGTGCCCTCGTCATTGAAGAACTTGAGGAAGTCCTGCTGAGGCTTCATGGGAAGGTTGACGTTCGCATGGCTGTTTGCGTATGGCTCATTGTCATGCTGGCGAGAAAGTGCGAGATGCGACTTGGCAAATGGTGTTTGGTGCTTGGTCCAAGGCGAGTTCAGCGGGGTGAGGTGGATGTTGGACTTGCCTGGAACCACGCGGTAGCCACGCTTCTCACCCCATGCGTTCGTGGCGTTGGGGTTGACAATGCAGTACATGGCAGCATTGTTCGGCTGCCAGTTGAACTGCTGCTCCTCCGTCATGGTGGACTTCTGCAACTCCATTTGCTCGAAAGATCCGAGCTCGGGATACCAAGGCTGAGTCTGATTGACAACGACGAGCTGGCTGACTTCGAGGCTGTTCTTGGTGTCAAGAATGTCAAAGTCGGCCTTGTAGGTGAGAATGTGGTCGTGGAGTGACCCCATAGTTGCCTCCTGAATTCTGGGACCGAAGTTACCCTGGTCTGCGTAGTAGAATGATGACTGCAGGAATCCTGAAGCACGGACAGTGACTTCCAGAGAGCCATCTACATGAAATGAGTAGTCAAACATGTAGTCGTAGTTGCCGACAGTCGCGACGGATCTCATCGTCAGCGCGGACGCTTTGACGGTCCCAAGGTAGCTGAAGCCGTAGTCGTTGCTGCTTCCGTAACGATGGCGAGAGACAGGGTATCCGGCATCAGCCTCGAAGATGCAGATGGCGTCGGTGTTCACAACTGAGGAGTTGCCTTCGTGATATGTCACGTTCCAGAAGGTGCTGCCAAAAGGACAGTCGTATCCTTCCACAAGGGTGCCAAGGTCCGTACCAAGGCTGTAGTAGGTATCGTGGTACACAGTTCCGGCAGCCTTGGGAGTGAATCCGGCATATTGAGCAGCTGCCTCTTGAAGAGAGAGCTCGTAGATGACGCGCTCGCCCTTGAATTTGATGTCATAGTACATCAGTCCAAGAGTCCTGGAGTAGGATGTGTAAAACGACCACCCCATGTACTCGATGTACTTCTCTTGCTCGTCGACTTTGTAGCGCTTGCCACCAACCTCAAGACTCTGAGGTGCCAGCTTGTCCTCAAGATCTCTGACGCCCATTTCCGGCTTGTGGTCAAGAAGGCCCCAATCAGGAGTCCTTGTTTGCTTAAATGTCTCCTTCAACTCGCCTGCGTCCCAAGCAGCCCTGAAGTCGGCAACAGTAGCAAAAAACTTCTCGTTTGTGACAATGCCTTTCAACTTGTAAAGAGAAGAGTCCGTGCCAGTAACGTCGAGAATGACGAAGAAGTCCAAAGGAGTGAGGTACGTGGCAGTGTTGGGATATCTGAACATGACTGTGCGAAAGGCTTGGGTGCCATCATATGACAACGGCGTTCCGCTTGTGGAAGTGAGAGTTGTGCGGTTATCAGAGGAGCCATAGTAAACTCCATCAATGAGCTGGGAAGTGATATCCGAGATGTTGCTCATGACAGAGATCAAGAGCGGCTCCGACGCTGCCGTGCGAGCGTTGTCAAAGTAGCGACTGTTGTAAGGGATCTTTCCACCACTTCCGCCGTTGAAGATGTAGTCGAGCTTTTGGATCTTGGTAGCATTGCTGACCGGGAGCGGCCCAACCATGTACTCTTGCGAATCTGGCTCTGTTTTTCCGCCCGCGAAGATGACGACGCGAGCATATTTTGGCGGAGACTGAGCTGTGCCACTGAGATATGGCAGGACGTCAGACTTGTTGGTGTGAAGAGTGTCGATCCAGTAGACATAGTTGTCAGTGACATTTGCAATGCTAGGGTCCGTGAGATTCAGGCCCGCGGCTGGGTCATGAAGGAGGTTCCAGACAGCTAGATTGTCTTCAGGCGAGATTGGAGCCCAGACGTTAGTCTTAGGTGCCTTGACCTTGGGTGCCGATTCGTTGACATTGCAGGTAGTGATATTGGCTGCTCGCTTGAACTGTCGACTTGGGGCAGACGAGGCTATTGCTGGCAGAACATCCAAAGCCAGGAGGCTTAGCGCAAGTTGCTTGAAGAACATTGTGATGGCAAAAATGGGCGAGCTTTTTCGTCAACGCCAAGCTTGGAGTACTTACTAAAAAGGACCGGGCAACTGAACGAGAGATGGTGGCTTTTATGAACGATTGTGATCCGAAGTCGCATTGCCCTTCAGAAGACTCGGTTAAGAGATCTTTTGTTACTGATAGTAAGTATTGACGAGAGAAATGCTGCCAAGGCTCTAGACTTACGGAAGTTTTGCCGGTCCATGCCCTTGGGACGGACTTCACCAGTCACCCGGGCCGGGTCTAGATATGTGGCTTGGCGGATTGTCTACGAGGAACCGTTAGCAAACTTCGTGTCACTGAGCCCATCGTCCTTGCAAAGTCCATGTAGATCCAAAGTGCGGTATCTAATCTAATCTGCATGCCAAGAGTTCTGATGGACATCTCGCTGCTGTCTTGCATTATCAGACTGCAACCACGGATAGTAAGACGCACATAATCCTGCCATCTGATTTCTTATCGGCGCGGCCAGCGTCTTCGAAATCACATCGAGGAGTGTTTCTCATACGTAATTGCTTGAGATGACGATTTTGAGAGTACTTCGCGGGAAAGATATTCGATGTTCGACAGGCTGTACCCAGTTGTTTATCCTGAACCTGGCAATAGTTCCCCGCGTGTTGGCAGTGCGGGGTTGAAGGCCGGAGACGTCGGGGCTTATCAGCGTAACCTCCCGCTGCTCGCGAACTCTCGACCTTGTCGTCCTAGCTCCCTCTACCTGACTTTCGTTCATGATGACAGCACTGTTCATCCGATCCGGTGTTAAAAGATTACGGAAAATTTGAGGATGACTACGTAATCAGCGGCAAATAGTTCGCCAGCATTGACATGCCTAAGGTAGGTATCTAAAGAATGACAGCCGTCGGAACACGGGGTGACCGGGGCCGACAGTGTTTTTCGGACAAGGGTCCGCTATCGCCCGAGCATCGGCCACGCCTCCCGATGGCGGCTCTGATAAGGACGGTAGAAGCTGGTAAATAGAGACGATGAGCGTTCCGCGGGTTCCATCATCGTCAGTCACATATGTTTGCTATCGGGGCAAAGATATGCACCTCGAACAACTCCTTATGCTGGCTTCGGCTTCATTCAAGACCTTCTAGCGGTCATCACTCATATGAGGACTCGATGGGGCTGGAATGGGTGGAAGGCATCGCCAAACCGACGACGAATGAGTATGTCATTGACGCAATTAGTTCAATTGGGCAGTCGAACAAATGTCTTTGGCTTTTTAGTCAATGTTCGAAGTTAGTTCTCCTGAGTAGAGCAGTCGTGCAATGATTGTTGCAGACCGCCCCAGTCCAGGCAGCAGCAAGGCTGCTGGGTCGCAAGGGAGGCACTGACGAGCGCATTGGCAAGAATCCAGTGTTTGTATGTTAACAGCACTATTCTTATTCAACGCCAATGTCGCCTAGAGCTCGCCTAAAATCTCACGCTACCGTTAGTCGCAGATCGTCCATGTTGAGTCACCATTCGAACTACAGCGACATAAAAGCTCCAAAATCATTCCTGAAGGAAATCATTTGGTTTCTCTAGACCAACTTCACACGGTGCGGCAGCATGGTCAAAACCCAAGGTCCGACGTCATGCATCATCGCACACGGAGCGCCGAGCAATGGATACCTGCAATGCCTGCCCTCAGAGCTCATTGCAAGAATAATCGAGAACCTCGACCTCAAATCGATGAAAAGATTCCGCCTCGCGAATCGTTTCACCGCTGCACAATGTTTAATACCGCCATTCTTGCGCTTTTACTCCTATCAGTCTGCAAGCTTGACGCCTACGAGCCTAGAGCATCTTATCGAACGGACGTCCAGCAAGATCGTCTCTCGAGCTGTCAAACATATCACAGTCCATGCTACAAAGTTCGCTGCATCGGACTCTGGCAATGACGACGAAAGGCTTGTTGCTGAGCTCGCCACGGCTTTGGGGAACATTGGCACTCTGGGCTGCCTAGAGATCAGCCCCCAAGAGAGACGCTTTCGCAAATGCGTAACGAAGAAACGGCGCCCAAAGTGGCAACCGACGGATGCTCGGGAGTTTCAATCGGAAACTACGCGGGCTGGGGCGGGTCTTACAATCGTCATGTCTGCGGTTGCCCGCAGCGGTGTATCCATCAACGACCTGAAAGTGTTTTGCTCACCGGTGTCGTACGGGAGTGTGGTACAGACTATTTTCCTGACCAATCTTCTGCCAAAGTTAAGGGAAAAAAACTCGAAATTCGAAGCGGCCGTCAAAGACGTGGAGAAATTGTCAATCAGCCTGGGTACAAGGAGGAACCCCAAGGAGGTCCCGTTCCGACTGGGAAGTTACCCAGTCATTCCATACTTGAGTGCTACCGACCGCAGGGCTCTTGCCAAAGAGAACTTTCCTGGCCTCGCTGGATTGCTTGGGTACATGAGAAATCTCAAAGTTCTTGAGATACATCTGCACAACACTCTTAAGGGGAAGACATTTGCGTACAGCGAGATGTTTGACTTGGTTGCAGACCAACTAAAGTTGCCGAAGCTGAGGCGGCTGACCCTCGACATGGTTCCAGTCAATGAAGCGTCTTTTCTCGTGTTTTTGGCCAACAGTCCAGACATTGAGGACCTGAGCTTGCGGTTCGTGCATATCAAACAGGGCTCATGGGAATCACTTTTGAGTAAAATCGCCAACCCTTTGACAAAACTGCAGCTCGACTGCATTTCGGATGATACGCGGGACAGCATCAAACTCTGGCCAGATGGCCTGCCTCGCATGCAGGATGAGGATGTAGAAGTTTATCATGGCGATGGAGAGCATGTGGATGCCTCGTCTCTCGACAGTGCTAAGAATTTATACAAGAGAGACTTCAACACCGAGGAAATACGACAAGGACTGGTTCTCAGGTAGTCCACTGGCAAAACCTGATATTGGTATAAGGGATAAAGCGAACAATAACACCATGCATGACTACCAACTGGATGTGGCCTGTGACAGGGCCTTGAGGAACATATGTCGCATGAAAATGAACTTGACCACCGAGGGCTGCATTGGCAATAAGGGCTTGGTATATCAAGCGATGTCTAGGTACATCGGGCCTGATAGGGTTTATTCTATGCTTACGGCCGTTGGCTTGATCTTGAGAATTTCAAACCAACTCCCCCCCTCTATTGTATGTGGCACCGTGAACACGCCGAGACGTTTTCTCACAGGCTGCCCAGATTCGGGATTACAAATTTCAGAGAGAACAAGTCCAACATCCATCCCTTGGCCCTCGCCGGAGACGTCATCTGTTGGGGGATCACGTCCGTCGAAGAAGGCCTTCACGCTGCCGAGGAGCAGGACCACCAGGTCCAAATGCTGCTTTGCGCGTGAACGAGAGAGGTATAACTCAGCCAACCTGTTGCAATCTGGTCGGAATTCCGCACCAGGAAAGGGCTCAGAGTCGAGCCGGTAAAGTCCTATGTGCTTTGTCGACATATTGAACGATGGTATCTTCGCGTCTTCATGGCTAGTTTCTGTCACAAACTCCGAGTCAAGCTCCACGGGCATGATATTTCCCTGCAAGTGAAGCAGATGAGGCTTGAACACTCCGTCGGAAGGCAAGGGCATGTCTGTGGAATATGATGTGGATGCAGTGACATGATGCCCAATCATCGTATTGCGCGAAACTAGTTCCACACTGTTGCATTTGAAATCTTTGGCCAGGCTTAGAGCCCCGGCCGAGCTCGGCCAGCAGATGTCTTCCGCAGTTAACAGCTTCTCGCCCTTGCTGAACTGCATGCTTGTCCACGACCACGAGGGAGCGTAGTAAGGTATGGATTTCATTGGAGAGTAGTCCGGTGACGTCTTTGGCGAAAGCCTATGTTGTATGGGCCATCCGCTATCATCATGAAGGCGACCGACGCTCCAAAGAAGGTCGTACGGTAATTTGGTTGCGTTGTCCTCGGACATTGAGATGCCGGCAACCCAATGCACGCGCGACTTCGGATCCTCTGCTTCGGCAGATAATTGAGAAAGATGACGGAAGAAAGCGCTTAACGTCAACTGTCTGTCGTCTCTCTCACAAGGCAGGTGCATGACACCGCGGAAAACCTCATCAACCATCATGCCATTCAACTCCAAGTGCCCTGGGGTTTTATCCCAGGTACATTGCATCTTTCTATCCAGTTGATGATTGTGAGTTTCAGCCATACACTCGCAACGCTGGTCTTCCTGACATTCCCACACCATCTCAGAGTTTCGAAGATGGAGAACTCTTGGCGACAGGGCGATGCCTTGAAAGGAGGAATCGTTGCCAAATATTGAAATCATCTCATCTCGAGTGCGGCGGCCATAGTAATGCCGCTCCTCCCTGAGAAGTTGGTGAGCATGATACATGGAGTCTCGAGCGTAGATGGTGTAGTCGCGGCCGCGATGGTTTACCGGGATCGGGAAGCACTCAGGTGTCTTCTTGGGGTCCACATCGCTAGAGATAACTGTCCGAGGGCCAAAGCTGCTATGGCGAAGATCTTTGAGGCCAGTGATGGCAATGGTGAGAAAGGACCCGCGAAAGATTATGTCCTCTCGATAAATATGCCAGTTGCAATCCTCGTCATCATCCTGCACAACGCAAAAGTCTTTGACCCAAACGTATCTTATGCCCTGCTCATCGGCCACGATAAGGGTTTCCTGAATGGCCTTGGGGATCTGCCACCATTGGATCTTCTGCTTTCTCTCCTCCAGGTTCTCCCCCCGCGTCGGTGCCATTGGTGGCTCCAATTGCTGAACGCAGGAGTGCACGACTGCTGCATAGGGCTTCGTGTCCAAGGATGCGTCGACTAGTTTCACTCCCATTCGAGGATTCTTTCCGAGATCCAAAAGTCTCTTTGGCGCCATCGCCGTGTCATATTTACCACCGCAAAACGGCTTGCTGCAACGCTCGTGTTGTGAGAGACAGGATGAAAGCCATCCCTTGACGACCTTTTGTCGCCGGTTGGAGTGAAGCACTGGAGCGACTTCATATGCAGGTTTGAACATTGGCCAGGGAGATGGTTTATCTGGGGTTAATGTTATCAATATGTTTCGGTCAAGCTGTCAGAACATCGCTCACCTGGCTTGACGAAAAGGTCGCATCGACCACGAAGAATCGGCTGCGAAGCGTCTATCATACCATCTGGCCCTTGGATAGTCTCGGAGACGAAAGCTACCATGAGGACTTTGTGAAAGTAGATCGAGACCCTTGTCTCTTGATCCCAGTCTGGGTCGACTCTCCTGATCTTGTCAAGCCCAAATCGTTGATAAGCTTGGTAGATGATGTAGCAAAAGTGGCAGCCAGCCTTACTCGATCGCTTAACGATCGCAGCCCATACACGGAACCAATGTTTAGCGGCTTCGGGTTTGAAGCCGGGGTAGTCATCTTGAAGATTGGGGAACTGGTTCGGGTCTAGGTCGTGACATACGATGCATGGGGGTTTCGACGGCAGAACCGCCTGTCTTGAGTCCTGGATACCCGCCATGGCTTCAAGGATCTTTCCAATGGAACTCCTTGTTTCGGCAAGAGGTCGCAGTGGTTATTGACGCTTTGTGAGGTTGGTAAGGCTTCGGTCGGTGTGATGCTCGAATGCCGAAAAAGGACAGGCAGTGAAGATGGAAGAAGGGGCCAATGAGGCAATCAGATGGTTCAGGTCGGATCAGTTGGACCCACCGTTACCGCTGTCATCTATGCCCGCTTATGTAATGTCCCCTTGGGATTCATATTACCGTGATTGATGCCCGTGATCGACTTCAATTCGCTTCACCGATCAGGTTCTGAGATGTTTGTAGATTGATTTAATCAACTTTTGATTTGTCTATTCCTTGCGGGTATCTGGTTAGAAACTATCTGATCTATGAAAAACAGCGCTATTCTATCGTAAATGGCACCGTATTAAATCCCTTCTCTGGCGCGGACGCTCTCAACGCAATCCTGCCATCTGATGACCTTCATGTAGATGCACTCTATGATGGCAATCAGCACCATACCGCCGCCGAGACCAATCCAGGCACCGTCGAGCTCCATCGCAGGGGATCCCAGCTCGAGCCATACCGCCAGGGGCACAGCCCCGATGTAGTTGACGGCGAAGACAACACAGGCCGCAACAGACTGTCGGCCAAGACCGCGGAGGACGCCGTTACATCCGCAGATGATTGAGTCGATGAGTTGGAAGGCGCCGACGGCGAGCATGGACTTTGTGGCCAGCTCCTGGACGGCGGCGTCTTCGGAAAAGACGAGCCCGAGTTGGTTTCGGAAGAGGAAGAGGATGACGCCGTCGATCATGCCGACAATAGTGAAGACGGCGGCGTAGAGGCTACTTGCCCGACGGGCGATGGAGACGTGTCCGGCGCCGATGAGGTGTCCTATTCTAGTCGAGATGGCGACGGAGATGGAGAAGGGGATGTGCCACATGACGACCGAGATCGTGGTCAAGATCGTTTGAGCGGCGAGATGTTCGGTGCTAAGGTATGAAGTGCTGAGGGTCAAGATCTCAAAAGCAGCCCATTCGCCAACGTTGACGAGCGAGCCTGCGATTGACAGCTTGACGGGCGTGCCCCATTCCTGGAAAGCTTTTCGAGAGAAGCCGCCCCAACATTGGTGAGACCATTGGCCGAAGAAGACGATGTACATGAGCAGGAGGATAGGTCGGAGGTCGTTGGCAAGCGCCTGGCCGAGAGCGGCACCTTCCAGGCCCATATCCAACTTGAAGGCGAAGAGCCAGCTGAGTAGGGCGTTGACCGGGGCGCAGATGATGAGAACGATCATAGCACTCTTGAAGTCGCCCTGGGCCTGTAGAAAGCGCTTCAGAGCCTCGAACGCGGCGTATCCGGGAATTCCGATCAAGCTGACTCGCAGGAATGAACCGGCCTTGATAGCCAAATGATGCTGCTTGACGAATGCCGAGAGGATGCTTGGAGAAAATATCCAAAAAGCGCCAATGGGAATGGTGGCGATGGCCATTAGGATGAGCATGCGTTGGACATGAAGTCCGACAGCAGTGAGGCGCCCGGAACCGTGGGCTTGGGCGCAGAGAGTGTCGAGAGCGGTGGCCATACCCTCGTAGATGGCCAATCCGATGATGTTCATTGTTGTCAGACCAATACTCGCGGCGGCGAGGTCATCGGCGCTAAGATGACCTGCCACGAAGGTGGTGATGACCGTGAAGGAGTACTGAAGCAGATACGTGGCGATGAGCGGCAGCGAGTACTGACACAGCAGCCGTGACTCGGTCAACCAGCTGCTGGTGACGGGCTCCGACTTGGGAATCGGCTGGTCCGCCAGCAGCGGCGTTGTCTCGCCGGTCCGGTACTCGTCCTCATCGCGGTCGCGGTCGCGATCGCGGTGGTCCATGACGGGCGACCCGATTAGCAGCACCGTAATAGGGCGGCAGACGGGCGTGGGGTAACGGAGCGGATCGGAGGTAAGAAGATTGGTGGAAAAGAAAAGGGACGTGGCTGGCTTGACTGGGATTGAAGAGCAAAGGGGAACAGACGAGCAACGCAGCTGAAATTAGGTTGATGGACGGCTAAACCGCTACGCGCATGTGCTTAATTCTAGGAGAGGGTGTGCTGGTACATGTGGTCGACGTCGCCGGGAGGGTAAATCCGTGCGAATTGAAGGGAGAGAAGATGTGTTTGATGGGGACAAATTGAGAAACAGAGTTCCGGTCACAGCGGCTGATGAAGCCGGACGAGAAAAAGTTTTGCTCACAGCTGTGAACGGACCGGGTCTGTGGGGTCTCCCATCTCCACTAAAAACGCCTCAGATGCTGTGTGCCACAACGCCATGCATTCCGAGATCCGAACCCGCCTGGTGGACGCATGATGGTCGCTGCGTCAGAGATGGAATGTGAGGGGGCCATGTTATGTAAGATATTGTGAGGAATACATCGAATAGTGTAGCAAAAATTGCGACGAAGACTCGTTGAAAGCGATTCCGAGTGAGTAGAGAGACTCACTCCAAGACGGGTATTGAAGCTCCTATGCTTATTGACATGGTGCTGTATCAACGTCACAACATCATGAATCTGAGAACCACTGTCCGCCGCTCAGCGCAGGCAACACCTCATTACTCTTTACTGATAATTATGTGATTGATGAGTCGCCTTATACTCCATTTACAAGATATCTACTTAGTAATTCAAGGCCTTTGCAACTTCTCGGTGTTCGGTGATTGGTCTCATTGCGGTTTACTTAGTAAAGCTGAGCTCCAACCCCTGGAACCTCTTACCTCATCCTCATGGAAAATCGGGTGTCAATTACTCACTGCGCCTAGATAACAGCAAAACACAGCCAAATACTGGGCTTACAACGCTAAAGGCATTTCACATTGGAAGTGACATACAAAGAACCCCCTCCATTACACTAAAAGCTGTTCACCCGACGGCCGATAACTGCCATGGCTGGGAAAAGTGGCCTGCCTGCGCCAAAGCTGCGACCCGCTATCGATCCACCAACATCGCACCACTTAATGAGGGTCACCAAATGCGCCGCGCATCTCATTTGCTCTCAGCCCTGTCGAACGGAGATGGTTGATAAATGAGAGAAAATAAGGATGGTCACCACTTTTATCCGCCGGGGAGCTATCTGGATGTGCTAAGGCTATTTCAATAAAATCTTCGGGGTCTTTCAGGCGTGAGTTCTCACTGAAGGTCTGCCTCGAACGACTGTTACATAACCCCGGGGTTTGTATTAAATCTTGTTAAATGAACGACGATCTTTCTCCACTGTCTCATCGCGGTAATAGCTGCGAATGATGTTGGTTCCAACACGACTCTTGGATCTGGGGTTTCCTTTGAAATATCACGCCAGTTTCCACACCTGTGTGGCTTCGTTTCCGCTCCCTGAACATGGTGGAACTATCAGCGTCGATTGAAGGAAAACCTAAGCAATCTGCTTTTTTCAGTTGGAACAGCAGAAATTTTACAACCGATAGCCAGCCTCTGAGGACTTGTATGATCCCTCATGAGAACTTGATCGGCTCTCATGCCGCTGTGGTACCAGATCCTCATTACTCTCGGTTCTGTAAGCCCCCTCCTCCTTGTCTTTCCGACTGTCGTGGACAAGTCCCTGTACCGCAACTGGCCAATCGGATGGGCGTAAGGATTTGCTTCGTGTAGCTCTCGATTTCGCAGCTCCACTCGTCAGATGTGATCCATATCGCGAGTTGGTTTCTCCGACGATCGCTGTGGCGTGGAGCCTGCCGCTCTCATCCCCGCCTGACGCGGTCAGTTGGTAAGGCGCCTGAATCGTGGCCACAGACGTCGAGCCCATGAGACTGTCGATGACTCCTTTCAGGCTCGGGATGCAGGCTGTCATCACAGAAAGGCCCAGGGTGCACTGCAGCCAGATGACGTGTGGTACAGCGTGCCAAGTGCTGTCCTCGTAGTCCGTGACGAGGGTGTGCGTGCTGATGAGTCCCGGGATTGATAGAATAGGAACACTGAAGATGACATAGTTAGCAAATGTGGCAGGTAAGAACTGGGTGATGAACATACATGATCCGAGTTCCAAACAAAGCGATGACCAGCAGCTTTCTCTTCACGGTGGTCTGGACCTTCCACATCATTGCGACTGGAAGGAAGCAGAGCACGACGTCGGTGGATATGTCCATTATTCCATTGTAGAGGTAGACAACCTCTCGTCTAGGACAGTTTTCCAGGCTGATGGCAAGCCATGGTCTAGGAAGTGAGCACTGAAGAGCTTCGGCTGTAATACCAGACACCATCCATGCGATAACTACACCGAAGAGTAGGTGATTGGCGATATTGAATTTACCGTGGTTATTGATTGACTGTATGAGCAGACACAAAGACAATTTGGTTGTGGCTGCTGTGGCAGTCGCGAAGATGGACGATGCGTAGAATAGCTAGATCAGATGACTGTTAGACTAGATGTTTTATACCCTAAAGGGAGTACTAACCTTGTAAAAAGCTTCGAGTTCCGTAGGGCGAAGAGCATTCTGGTGACGACCCAGTCCGTGGTTACAGGCCGTGATGACGAATGTGGTCTGCACGAATAGCAGAGCTACAGACATCAATAAGAGCACATCGTGAGCTTTGAGAGATGTGATGTTGAGACGGATGATGAGCTTGAGTGTGATGCCGATGATGGCGTAGATGAGGAATACCAAGGCAGAGACGACTGCAAGTGCAGCTTTGTCGTCTTCCTTCAACGCGTAGAAGGGCGGAGCTGGTGGGTGATCGAACGGCATGATGTTGCACGCTGCTACGACGTGACATTGGCACGGGGAGAACGCGAGTACTTCAGAAGATGACGAACTCCCTTTCAGCTTCCACCACCCCACCGGAAATCTTTGTCATAAAGTTCATGGCGGTTGATGTAGACATTGGGACGAAATTTCTGCCCAGTAAACTTTGAACAGTGGATGGTATACTCCGGGAGATGTGCTGGCTTCACGGTGTCCCCAGCTTGTGATTATTGGGCAGATCATAGCTGCCAGCATAGGATCAGAGTAGCTGCAAGGCCGGCTACTGATGGTGCCTTGAGTCGTTCCTACCGAGCTATCGGAGAGAGTTCTCGACATGAATCGAGGCAAGTGTGCCCCATGGATCGCAAGGCTTCTCCATCCCGGTACCATACAAACTCTGTTCGCCGTCCCGAGGGGATGGATGAGTCGTTTAGTGGAAAGTTCCACAACAGTGGAAGAGACCACGTTAGGGTCCCTTCGTCTCCTGACAAGGGTTTTACGCACTGTCTGGTCATTCTCGCCCTGATTTTCGTCGATCCGATCTGCTTGTTTGGACGACTTATTTTGCTTTTCCTTGCAAGCAGGTTGCCCATGATCTTGGGAGCGGAAATTCAAGTGTTGGACACGTAAACCATGCCATCTGAAATTTCGGTTCTGCACCATTTGCATTCGACAAGGATGAGGAAGAAGTTTCCCGAGTGGGTCGAAGAATCATGAAGATATGTACGCAGGTGGAGTTGGAGAAACAAACAACAGCTGTTGGAACAGGGCTTCTTCATTTCGGTCATAGTCTTGGCCCGGCACCTTCGGCAGACAACTTCTATGGTCTACAGCACGACAAAGGTGATTGCCTTCGTACAAGAAAATATTGTGCCTTCGCGATCCAGTGCATTGGGTGAATGAGAGCGGCTGATGTGCTTTCGAGGGTCGGCCCGTGCCAATTCTTACTTGGATGAGGCCTGTTCCAAAAGCGCCATGTTTCTAGTGAGGAACGAATAGTGGTATTCCCTCGGCTATCCAAAAGAAAACATGCATCGGCAGGATGCTGGTTCATGCTGCCTCAGCGGCTGCAAAAATCTTTCATACCAGCTGGTGAATCGTGTCAGAAAGATAATCTGAAATGAGAATCTCGCTCGCGGGAGCAAAATCCTTGCACCCGGCGATCAAGGGTCCTTAGAACCAAAGACTCACGGCGATGATCAGAATGGGTCCCGGCAAGCCGGCGTGGCCCGTGAAGAGATGAAAAGGTTGCCCCCGCATGTAACCCCCCGGCCCGAAGCCCACAACTAAGGCTACAGTTGGCGGGGATGACTCCCCGTCGGGAGATGAATCTGCTGAGAGGCTTCAGAAGGACCGATGCCGGCAGACTGAGAAAAAGCGCATGATTGGAGACAAGTCAGAGATAAACTACTGTCATTGGTCTTTGCCAGCTGCAGTACTACTGTTGTGCGATTAATGGCTTCGCCTTCGGACCACCTCCGCCGGTTCGACAAACCCTTCGGCAATGCTGCACGTAGCTGGGTCTTAGACTTGCAGCCGCCCTTGCATTCAATCATCAGCGATATTTATCTGCGAACGGCGCAGCAATTGGTTTGAGTTTTCTTGTCCGCCCATGCTATCCCGGCCCGATCCTGTCATCCCAGAAGAGGGTTCGCAACTCCAGACCGTCGAGGTTGACCGACCCTTTGTCTGACACACTTTTTCTTCCAGCCGAACACTCGGCTTTGGTTTGCTGAACCTCATTCACTCAAAATGTCTTCAGCGGAAGGCATCGAGATGCAGCCGACCGGCAAGGACGCAACCAAGATCAATACGGCCGAGTCGAAGCATGGATCCGATGTGTACAATCAGACGAGAACGCGAAGAGTGTTCTCATTCTCGCAACTGTTTGCCTTCTCCCTGACATACATGGCCTTATGGGAGGGCATGTGCACGTAGGTCATACCCACTCAACAACCTTGACTTTGAGCGTGGCTGAACTGTTTAGGAACATGTACTTCGCCCTGTATAACGGAGGCCCACAGACATTCATCTTTAGCTTCATCATCGTTTTCTTTGGCGCCATTTCCCAAGCGGCCTCACTCGGTGAAATGGCTTCTATCCAGCCGGTTGCTGGGGCCCAGTACCACTGGACCTATCATCTGGCGCCAGCGAGAGTGAAGAGGTTTGCAACTTGGATCCAAGGATGGTCAACATGGTTTGGCTACGTTTCACTACTCGCCGGAATCGCGAATGTCACCATCATCCTGCTGGAATCTATGATCCAACTCAATCACGAGAACTACGTTCCCGGCGGCTGGCACACATCAGTGCTCGTCATTGCCATGTGCGTGATGCAGGGGCTGATGAACACGTACTGCTTCAAGGTCATCCCCTGGGTCGAGCTTGTCGCTGGTGTTCTCCACGTCTGTCTCTTTGTTGTTTTCGTCGTTGTCTTGTCGGTAATGGGCACCCGACATGATAGTAGCTTTTTCCTCGAAACCAATTTCGCGTCGGGTTGGACGGACAATTACGTTGCATGGAATCTGGGGATGTTAACCTGCGTTTGGAGTTTCACTGGTAAGGCTCCCTGTGCGCCGTCTTAATGACTTTGAACTGACAGGTGCTTCAGGTTTTGACAGTGCAATTCACATGAGTGAAGAGACCCGCAAGGCCAAGTCGGCTGTTCCTCGCGCCATGTTCTGGTCCATTTTCATGAATGGTTGCTTGGGCTTCATCATGGTCTGTGTCATCTTGGTCGCCATGGGTTCTGTGGATGATGCCCTCAACGCCTCCTCTCCTATCCTTGCCATTCTCCTGGCTATAACTGGCTCAAAAAGTGCTACGACGGCAATGATAACAGGTCTTTTCGTCGTATCCTTCAGCGTTAACCTCGCCAACATCGCCTCGGTCTCTCGTCTTACGTGGGCATGGTCAAGAGACGGCGGAATGCCGGCATATCTCGCCTACGTCAACCCGAAGCACCGCGTACCCATTCGAGCTATCATTGTCACCGTTTTCATTGTCTGCGCTCTATGCCTCCTCAATATTGGCAGCTCTAGCTATGTTGCATTTGGAGCTATCACCTCGCTGTCGTCCATGGCCCTCTACATTAGCTATGCCATCGCAATCAGCAGCATGCTTTACGCTCGCATGGCCAAGACTGGAGGCGTTGAACTTGGAGAGTGGAACCTCGGCCCATTTGGTCTATACATCAATGGTTTTGCATTGATCTATACACTCTATGTCATAGTATTTCTGCCATTCCCATCAACCATCCCGGTCACCGCTGAAAACATGAACTACTGTGGCCCAGTGATGGTATTCGTGTTACTGCTAGCAGTTGCTCTTTGGGTTGTCCGCGGGAGAAAGGCATGGAATGGTCCCAACCTCACGATTCTGGACTTGGTCATAGGTAATTCTTAAAGACGCTAGAGAAACCATTGAGATTTGGTTGTCATAATCTATCACAAATCATTGATCTCAAACGTAGACGTTCTTGCAATCTTACGACCTCGAGAGCTTTCTGGTCATCAAAAAAAACATCGAATCGAGACAGTGTTAACTTGGTAAGCCGCTTCGGCGCCCTTCTCCTGCATCTGCTGGCTAGGTAGACAAATATTGAGAGCCTCGCATGATCATCGTGCTTCTCTCAGCTCTGATAGGATAGCCAATTCTGTATCACTTCGTCTAATGTTAAAAGATGATCGGGGGCTTTCCATCGGGGGCTTTCCATCGGGGGCTTTCTTTTCTGTTCCCAAAAGAACCAACCTAGCAGAACCAGTGCTGTCAATGGAATTGTGAAGGCGAAGTAAATCCAAATTTTTGGCGAAAGCGAAGATCCTGCGACTCCGTCGTGAATATTCAAAGCCAATCCTGGAAGCCTCAGTTGAGCATGGGTCTCTTACCTTCCTGAAAGTCGAAGAAAGTCATGCTAAAGATAGAGGCAAGGAAAGTGCCCGGTAGGAACGTTGCTCCAAGAAGTGATAAAGCTTTCATAGCCTTACTATCTGTTTTGCTGTCATTGGCAAGCTGTCTCTGGTCTCCAGCGATCTTTAGGTTTAACTTAGCGTCGTTCTGAGCGATCTCTGCTGTAATGAACGATATCTAAGTGACCCATGTTACTTGGAAGCCAGGCATGTATACTTGCAGCTACTGACCATGCTCCTTTGGATGTTTAATCGTTCAATGGATACGGAAACGTAGCTGTCAAGACCAACAAGCCGTGCTCTTTGCAAGCCCAAACGATCTTGAAGACTGAAATGAAGGCTTTTCATCTCTTCCGACTTCTCACCTGAAGAAACGTGTATCCAAAACGACTGCATGGCTTCTTCCGCCGCACCCAGCATCCTTGAGTATAGGCCCGGTCGTTGATGGAGAACTTGTCGATGACACTCAGTCAGATCACTAGCGACAGCTCGGAGGTTGATTTTGCCGTCTTTGAAATAGCTGAGTCCTGCAGCGGTCTCATTTACACTGATGGCATCCTCCAGCCGCCTGATCCAGGTACGGCACTTCCTTTGACTGAGTTCGGATCTCATGGAGATGACATAGCAAAGAACAAAGACTGGGAATAGAAGAGGATGGAAGGTCTCATCAGCGCAGCTTTCGAGGTCCTCAAGACTCTCCGGAATGACAGATGTCAAGGTTCCTTTGACAAATGCTGTGGTTTGTCGACGTCTGAAGGAGTAAGAGAGAATCAATTGCCAACCTCGCGTCTTGCCTGTCTGGCGCGAGTCTTGCTTGCCGCAAACGATCTCTGTTAATCCCAATGTTAGTTTATCGTCTCAATGTGAGGTCCCGATCTCAATGACTAGTTATAGCCCCTTACGAAGATGAGGATCATTTCCATTAATCTCGGTGTATCGATGCCAGAAGAGGGGTCCAACAACGCTCGTCAGCTCTACAGCCTGCAACGGTAGCCTCATGTCCTTTAGCATGGACTGGAAAAGATTGGGATGTAACGACAGTGTCAAAGGGGTAAACGTTTTCGGGTCTTTTGCATTGCTTTGCAGGCTAGATGTCGGGAGTATCTCGCGAATCAGTCCTGCGGCTGAAAGGCCGAGCTCGGGGTGGCTCACACGAAACGCAGGCTGCTGGATGATTGTACACTTCCAATTCGAGAGGTTCGATCGAATTCACCCTGACAAAAGTTCAATATCCAATCCAGCTCGCCTAACACACTAGGATTCAAAATAATCGGCATTGGGAGAGTTGCCGTTGCCAGCTAGGGACATACCTCTCCGCGAAAGTATCTAACCGCTTCGGCATCAGAAAGAGACCCCTTGAAGATGCTCTTGCTTTTGTCCTATTTCGAAAGAGACTGTCAGCAGGGTGTCAGTTTCGAGAATATAACAGTACGCAGCAAGTTTGACGTGACTCACCACATAGCGCAGGATCTCGAGATAAGTTGTGTCTTCATGCACATGTGTGCACTTGGCCAAATGCTTTTCAAATACTCTTTGCTCCATACTGTGATGGCCGAATGCACGAGATCCTAGGCTGATTCCTTAGTGTAGATTCAAGCTCCAAAACTAGCGTCCAACGGGAAGGCTCCAGGCTGCGACATTTTGCGAGCGGTGAGACATGCACTCTGTTGATAGAGGCGGGGGTATCGCACGTGATGTCAGCAGCGGCCTATCACGGCGCATATCAAATCCCTTGCACCCGTTGAGGTGCATATCGTGATGATAAGGGGCCAATCCCATTTAGTTGGTCCTCTGAGGCGAGTGACGATGAACTCAAAAGTTCCACGGAAGACTGAACCGAAACAATGCAGACGCCCGACGACTGTGTGTTTCGACTCCAGAGCGAAAGCAACCGAGGCGCAATGTCAGGTGATCGCCCCGAGTCGATCGGGGTCGTCTGAACTGGGCGTTTGAGTATAATATCAAATGGGACCATGACGACTTGGTGCTGACCTTTTCGAACGTTGACCAATACGAAGTGCACAGAATTCTTTCACCTTGTCTAGCGCAAAGAAACAGTAGGAATCAATTGGTGTGAGGTTGATGGGCACTTTCCTTGATAACCAACTTTAGCATAGCGTGCAGCACTCGCTTAGCATGTTCAAGCAATCGAGGCCCTCCCTGATATTCAGGCCAAGCCCTAGAGGTCAAACATGAGTGGACTGTGCCGCATCTCAGCATTTCAGGACCGGCCAGTCCCTTCAGCCAGGAGAGTCAATAATCTCACTCATGGCCTTTAAGTAAGGGTGCTCTGTCGAGGCAGAAAACCATGACCGTGCATGTTTGAACCAAAGATGCTTCCAGTCTCGAACCTTCGTTCAACAGGTCACCCAACTCTACCGCGGCAATGCCTTCGTCAACCGTTCAAGGTGCTATTCTTGTGAATGCCGGCTATGTAACAACCACTTGGACCGCTCCACCATCATGCGCCACCAAACCAGTCACTGTCCAGCTTGGCAATGGCGTTGATGTTGGTCGGGGGGGTTGGCAAGAAAACTGCACTCTGGAAGACCCAGGCCCCTACGATGAATGTGTACCCGACGTCGGAATTGCGCTTCTTAATCTACTCCTCAACGCCACGAACATATTTACAAGGAGTCTTGTTTTTTACCACTCACCAGGACTTGTTTGCCCATCCGCATGGACTCCTGCCGGAACGGCCATCAGATACGATGCCACCTCGTACGACCTGAGCGGCGTCTTTGCCGACCCGACCCTGACGATCACCAAGACTGCAAGCTCTATCGAGACCCAAACTTTGTCTCAGATAACCCCCTACATGAATCCCGTCCCCAACATGGTCATGTCTGCTCTCGAGCCCGGAGAAACCGGAATTTGGTGCTGTCTTTGGTGAGGGAACTGCGCTTTCCCACAACTTGTCTCTTTTGCAGTGCCCCAGCTCGTTCTGGCTCTCATCGTCTAAACAGTCTGACTGATTGATGTACGTCATGCAGCGGCTACACAGCACAGCCGTTCGGCCCTGGCTGCTATTCCGAAGTACCCAGAAGCCTGTACACCGCAAATACTGCCTGTTCTGTCATCCTTCGCCCCACCGCCGCTACAAAGGTCAATGTTACATACACCTACCATGGTAGGACGATAACAGCCGAGGACTTTTCATGGACCGCGTGGACTGAGACTACGTATCCGACCACAGTAAGTTGGACTGGCTCTACAGCATACCCAGATGCCTTGATCACCACCCAACCAGTCATACTGGTACACAAAGCGCAGGATGCGGTGGAGACAGGAGCTCCGCAATGCCCGGTTGTGACAAATTCGACCTTGATTCTCGCCAGGCCAACATCCTCCGCAGAAAGCAGCTCAACATCCTCCGTTAAAGGCACCTCAACACCCACTACAAGCTGGCCCTCTGCAACAGGCACCACAGCGACAGGGACTTCGAAGGCGAACGGGATTCCGAGAGTAGCATGTGGTGCCATGGTTGCATGGTGGATCGCTGTTTGTATGATCAATACGTTGTGATGAATTAGGGACGCTTTAGGGGTTGGGCCAGTGCGGTTGGGTGCAAGTTTTACCTGTCCAATACCAAATATCCTCTATCTACTTCATATCCAGTGTCGCATCAAACTTTTTCAATGGTGCCTGTTGCCAAGAAGATGTTCTTTGGGCACAGTTGGTTTAAGCTTTCCGACTACATGTTGAACCTGGAGCCGATCTAGAGGGCCACGCACCCTGGGTAACATACATGGTGGCTATGTATGGCACAGGAGGCAGATGTTTTCGGGAAGATCTTCTGTCTTCAAGTAGATTTTGTTCGCCATCCTCTCTCCGCTGTCCTTTGTCTCTGTCAGGCGCAGCGGACGGGAGTCGGCATTACCGTGACGAATGGTCCGAAGGGATAGCTCCGTACCATCCGCCCCGGCCGACCGCTGCGGAATGTGGGCGGCACCCCGGAACAAAAACTCTAAGAAATTGACGAATTGCCCACCGCGGACGACGCCGTGCAGTGCCACTTAGATTGAAACAAGCATTTCCTAGCGGCGGGACGACCTGTTTACCCTGCCCGACTTGTGGGATGCCTGCCGGCCCCTTACTGCAATCAGATTGGGCGAAGATCCTGATTACGCGTGCGCCTGTCAGTAGGCAGCGTAATCCCCTCATAGGCCAATCCCCTTGAATTTCGTCACCACGGGAGAAGCCACACCTTGGTCTATTCTTGGCGCTCTAGTTGGCTGGACGCGACTCCTTTACGGCTGTACGCGGAGGCGGATGTTTCCTGTTGCTATGTTTTTCATCTAGTTTCTGTTTCTTTACAGCAAAGGGGCGTTCTCCACAGCGATCTTCCGACTGGTAGACTTGTATCCCCCAAGTAGGAAAGCTTAGTATACCTTATTGAGCCGCGCAACATCCCTTAATCCTATGGGGCTGAGTTACCTCGTGATGTGGGATAGTGATTGTCCCGGTGCGAAGCCCTCGGCAATCATCATTTCGACGGTAGAAACATCTTTACAGATTCTGTATATATCTCCCTTGTTGCCAAGATGCCCAGATGATCATGACAGACCTGCTCATCCCAACTTCCCAGACACATCAATATGCGCTCGTTTACGTTACTGACTCTGGCCGCGGCAGCCGTCCCGGCTCTGGCTGACACTCACTACTTCTACTCTGGTTTCTTCTCCGGCAGCACCATCGTCGGCGTCGAGTTTGACGATGAGACCTCCTCTCTCACCCTCGTTAACAACATCACCACCGATGCGTCATCGGGATCAAAGTGGATCCATCTTGATGTAAGCTGGTGCTCCATACGTTGGTGTAGCGGTGCGGCTAACAACTCGTCTAGTCCCGCTTGAAGAACCTCTACGTCGGTACTACAGGTTACTTCCAGAGCTACACTATCACCGACGACCTCAGCTTGGAGTACGCTAGCAACGTTAGCTTGTCGTCAAACTGCAAGTCCAGTTGTGAACTTGATGCGAGAACCTAAGCTGACCCCCAACAGGCTCCAACGCCAACTTCATCACCTCGTCCACGGACTCCCCCTATACCGTCTTCGGAACCCCCTACGGAGGTGGATGCTCTTCCTTGGCCATCACAGTCGACGACAACGGCGTCCTCCAGGAGGCTACTGCGAATGTCACGTACGACAGCGCCGCCGGTGTCCACGGAACCGGCATGAGCCCTAACAACGACTTCATCTACTCTGCCGACGACATGGGCAACGCTGTCTGGGTTCACTCCTACGACAACACCACCGGCGAAGTCGCCGAGGTTCAGTACCTTGCTGCGGCCGAGGGCTCTGATCCCCGCCACCTCGCCGTTCACCCCAACGGAGGCTGGGTTTACGTTGTCTACGAGGCGGCCAGCACGATCGCTTCCTACAAGCGTGATGCCACCACCGGCAAGCTGACTTTCACCAACACCACCTACCCTCTGCTGCCCGATGGTATGTTTCATCATGTTTGGATTTGCCGAATACGCTTGCTAACTCCCACTCAGGATACACCAACTCTTCCTCCTACTGGGCCGACGAGGTCATGTTCTCCGTTCCCAGCAGCAACTCGAGCGCCACCGCGCCCAAGTACCTCATCGCTGCCACGCGATCCCGCACCGTTGGTATCCCGGGATACGTCTCGGCCTTTGCCCTTGACAGCTCCACCGGCGCTATCACCGAGCAGCTCTTCCTCCTCCCCACCACGAACAGCGGTGGTTCTGCGAACGCGGTCTCCCCTGCCAAGTTCAGCGAGGACTACTTTGGCATCACGGACAGCGGCTCGAACTTCCTGGAAGTATGGAAGATTGATGCTAGTGGCTCCTCTACGACTGCAGCAGCTGTTGCCCACCTCGGCCTGTCGTCTGGCCCGGCCAACATTGTTTGGTACAGCTAAATAGGGTTGTATTTATACATTGACTAGTGGAGGAAGTCATATACGAGGCATGTTCATAGCGTTTTTGATCTTCATCAATACAAACAGTCTTGTATTCAACTATTGCTGTACCTTGCAGTCCAACCTACTGAGCTGAGGCACCGAAAACAACTGCTGGACGTGGCCTTGCAGGTGGTCTAGTGATTGGCGGAGAACTTCTTGATGACCACCAATCCCAGCCATTCTTTCTGTTCCACGCTGCTCTGATCAACGAGTCGAACGCTCGAAAATCATATCTTGATAACTCCTTCTCAACGTTTAGCTCGCATGTCCCATTGTAGCGATTGTCCGGGCTGTTTGGCGCAACTGGGGTAGGGTCGTTATTCCCAAATTCCATCTTGCCGTCGCGTTCGGAAGACTCAATCCACGGGCTAGGGAGAAGGCCAGAGTCCAAGACAATGTAACGATTGGGGAACAGACAGTTTCTCATGTTTTCCAAACGTCTGAAAGGATGATTCAAGCATTGTACAGTATCGAAGTAGAAGTCGGTGAGATTCGTGAGCTTTGTGTGGATGCTGTTGAAAATGGTTTCCCACCTCCCTGAGAACGTGTAAACACGGTCGTCGTTGAACGTGAAACCAAATGCGCCATGCGGGCATCGTTCCCAATCATGGGTAGGCGTGCCCGACTTAGTCAGTAGTTCGCCATGGATACGCAGGTGAGAGGCGATGCGGCAGTTGAGCAAGCGCAGAGTTGTCAAGGATGTCTGCGCCAAGACCCAGTTGAAGTGGTCATGGTGGGAAATGACGAAATTGATGAGGTTGAGCGTCATGAGATGCGGGAATTCCAGTCCCTTTCCATCAAAGTAACCAGGAGCAGTTCCCCAGTACTCTTGAAAGCCAAGAGTCAATGTCGTCAGAGAGTCGGAGAGTTTTGGCAAGATCTCCTTTTGTAGGTGAGGTTCGAATAGCCATCGCTCCTTGCAATAAAGGTCGTGGTCGGGACCGTGCTCGTTGCATTCTTCCAGAACCAGGAGATCCAGCCGAGTGATGTGTTTGACTGTGTCTGCCATCTCCGACGTAACCAGGCTTTCGAGGGAAGTATTTTGCACGTTCTCCAGTCTCAGCCATCGTATGTTGGTGGCATCTGAATCCTTAGCCCGGGTTGCCATCGCGTTGAAGACCGTCTTGAGAGTTGCGGATCGAGCACCAAGAGGCTCAACGCCGTCCTCCCATCCATCATCCCAAGCCGTAGACTCTGCCCTTTCCCCTCTGCATTTGTCGCCGAAGTACAGGTGCAACATTCTCAAGTTCTTCAACTCAGTGATACGGGCCACAGCATTAGTGAATCGTGGGAACTCGCCCTTGTTCTTCCAGTCCTCCCAGATCTCCCAGTCACCGTCATTTGCCAAATCTTCGGGGGCACTCCTGATCACCGCGCACTGAGCCACGTTGCGGATGGTGTCATTGTCGACCATCTTGTTCCAGATTCGAAATTCGCTGCTGTCTGCTTCTTCTACATCTTCGTCCTCGTCAAAGTCGGCTTCCGGGGCATCATGGTGTACAAGCGTGATGGTCTCGAAGAGATGAGGTGTCGCAAGCGTGTTCCATTTCCGACACACCAATCGGGCGTTGGCGATGTCATGGTCGCCGTGCACGAATTCGCCGTACTCACCCTTCTCGTCGAAGAGCGATCGAAGGATAAGACCCAGCACCTCTGCCGGGAAATCGTTCAGTTCCATGGTGTGATTACTGTGATAAGTGTAAACAAGGAGAAGAAACTCGACCTCACTGTCATCCGCAGAAGTGCAGTTCAGCTGGCTTGATATATGAGAAAGCAGCCCCCACTTAGTCGCGAGCCTAGCTTCAGGGGTCTGTAGGCAGCACCGTGGCAGCCTAGAGCGGCAGAAGGATTGAGAGGCACAGTTGGCTATGCTAGGTCTAATACAGCTTTGCGATTTTACAGCGCCTCAATGGCGTTCCAAACACATGACATTGAAGGCTGAAGGTTGACCTATCTATCTTTCTAAAGTTTCAAGAGACCCAGGCCGATAATTTTGTGGCTATCTTGCAATTCGTTTACTCCTATCTCAACTGGCTTAAATTTCATGACGCATGGCGAGCTTGGATGTCTCAGTAGGTTCCTCACAGAAAAATTACGCTGGGCTAGTGGCCACGGGAATAACTAGAGCCGCGTTGATGTTGCCGAGCACAGATGTTGGGGCACTGAAAAGAGACGCCACACGCTACAACCAGGTGATCTGAGAAAAGCGAGATGACACAAAAAGGCATTTGTGTCGTTGGTTTCGGTGCTGTTTAAATTTCCCCTTAGTTCCGACATTCTTCATGATCCAGAAGTCTGTATGAATATGCACCATCGCTCAAGGCAGATATTCAGGTCGAACCCGGGAGTCTACCAGCCTGCGAGAAGGCCTAAAGCCCCCACTAACCGGCTCTGTCTCGGGCTTGTTCCTCCAGGCTTTCGAGGCCAGCTCCCGGACATCCTGCATAAGACCCTCGGGATGCTCCAGCGCAGCAAAGTGGCCAGCATCATCGCGTTCTGCAAATAGTTAGAAAACTAGATGATAGTCTTTCTGATCTGTCCTCTTTGCTCACCTTTGTAGAAAACAAGGTTGCCGGTTCTTTCCACAGCGCGCTTCGAACCTGGCTCGGTGTCCCACAAGAACGAAGTGTATCCAAAGGGCACCTTGATCCGGTTTTCCTCTTTCAGTGCAAACTCGGGGAACTTGTCGTGAGTCGGGCTCTCGTAGTAAGGCAAGGTCGAGGGTAGGATGCATCCGGTGAAGAAGTACAGCGATGCTGTCGTCAGGATCGCCTTCGTCCAGAAGGGCTTCTTCTGGTTCTCGGGGTTGGCTGCTTCGTTGTACTTTTCGCCGACCCACATCAGGATACCCATCGGGTTGTCGTGCAATGCAATTCCGATGGTATGAGGCTGAGATGCATGCGTTAGAATGAAGTCCAGCAGCTGGACAGAAGAGGGTCGGTCTAAAAGGTACTCACTCGGCTTCTCATGCAAACCGCATAGCCCATGTGGTTCTTGAGCCAATCTTCATTCCTCTCCGCCACTTTCTTCTCCCGCTCAGAGTATTCCACAACCTCAGGCATCGGGCTCGGGGCGAAGTTGAGATGCACGAGCTTGCAAGAGTCGGTGTACTTGGCTCCCAATTCACGACCAACAAACGATCCCCAATCGCCGCATTGAACCATGTATTCGTTGTATCCCAACCTTTTCATGAGTTTGTCGAAGACCCGCGCGTTATCCTGAAGCTTCCAACCAGCGCGTGGTGGCCAAGACGACCAGCAGAAGCCAGGCATGCTAGGAGAGACCACATGGAAGGCCTGGTCGTCAGGATTGCTCGGGCGTGTGAGCGGCTCCCAGACCTGGCTAAATTCCCAGAACGAGCCAGGCCAGCCGTGGATGGTGAGAAGGGGAATCGCGTCGGCATTCTCTGACTTGGCATGTACAAAGTGGATCTTCAAGTCTTCGATGGTGGTGATATGGTGTGGAACCTTGTTCATCTCCTCCTGTTCTTCATACCAGTCGAAACTGTCGGTCCAGGCATTGTAGAGATTCTCAGCCCAGCCATACTCAGGCCCTTGGGGTCATAGTTAGATAGGCCAAGCTTCAATGTTCAAATATGCAGTGATTTTACCGTAGTTTTTACCAGCATCAGGAACAACGGGTCGTCCTGGCAGTCTTGTGTCCTTCAGCTTGCGTTGCAGCCTGTCAACCTCCTCCTTCGGAATGTCAACTTTGAAGTCTTGAATCTCGGACATGATGGTTTACACTGCTGATTTGCACGAATCCTTGAAGACGAAAAGTCCCAAATAGCAGTCTAGAGTAGGTGTGCTACGAGTTCAAGCAACCCCTCTCGATGACATCGGATGAACACATGTTTCAATGGTGATGTAATCACGACCGAGTCCAATATTGGCGTGGGACGCTAGCTTGCCCAAGCGTGCTCATTATGTGCATCGGAGTGGTTCTGTTGGCGTACCTACGTCTGGAAATTCGGCCTTTCGCCGGTAAGAGAAAATAAATCAAAATCACACGGAAAAAAATATCGTCGGTCGTTCTCGTTGAATGTTTTCCCGTGTAAAGACCGATTGTCCGATCCGACAGTGGCCGCGGAGCTCCGCGAGTTGCTTGACACCGTCCAGTGGTTCAAGTGGATCTCTTCGGGGGATGCTCCGGCGGTATGTCCGTGCTTCCACACCCTGACCAAGTCGCTGGTCTTGTCTAGGTGAGGTTCTGTGCGCCAGCGCGTTTCGGTTCATGTAAAGATGTTCTACGAGGTGTGAGAAAATGACACCTAATAGTCTCGATTATTGCTAGTCGCCTGTGGCAGTAGGTTAATAAACAGGCCATGCAGGTAAAGCTTTAATCCACTCAGGGTGACATCCCGCCCTGTTGGCAGCGCAATGCGAAGAGACTCGACAGCTCTCTCGTCGAATGAGATCAAACACACGTGGCATCGCGCCGAAATGACTAGTTTTAACCCGGTGAAAAGACGTTTCCTGTTCTCGAGGTTCGCTCCTGATTGGAATAAAACCATGGGACGACCGGCGAAGGGGACCCGGCCGACGGCCGCTAAAATCGCCGACCCCCAAGTGTGGGAGCCGGAACTTGGTTCCCGATACCGAAACCGAGGACTCAATCTCAAAAGGGGTCGTGTCGTGGAGTCTTTAAATGCCAAGCTGGGTCTCAATCGAGCCAGGGGTCTAAGATATTAGAAAAAACACCCGAGAATTACGACTTATTCGTACCCGTACGTATGCAAAGGGCACTTTTCGCCTAAGTTGCCTGAGTGTTATTCGTACAATAGCCAATTGTGACGACGATTACTGAACAAGGCCGGCCCCTACGACAGCGATAAAAACCACACATCCGCAGGCCCAGGATCCAAAGCCCGCGGGCTCCGCGGAAACCACGGCGCATATTGAGCAACAGAGGGTGCACAATGAAGATCGCCAGCATCGATTTATCAGCATAACAGAGTCTCGGACAACTAAACGGACAATTGGTGTCCCAAAACAGGTGGTTTTGCAGAATTTTGTTCAGGAAAGCACTGCGTTGTGGTCGGCGACAACATCAGTGCCCGAGCGGTCACCGAGAGAGTTTCATGGCCATATCCTTCCCACCTCCATCCAGATCTGTCGAACCGATGAGTTCTTGAAATGAGGAGTCATATATGTCGAAAATCGGTTTGTTCAGAGTTGAAGGCTTTTGCAGTCACGCGTCACTCTCAATTACTACCCAGGCTGTATCGTCATGATCGTTCTCATTGCGGGAATCACTGGCAGCCTAGGGCGTCGTTTAGGAAGAGCTGCTAGGGCGCGCGGCTTGTCAGTTCGGGGTTTGGGCCGTGAACCCGCGAAACTGGAGGCCGACATGTATCGGGAATTGGAATCCTTCGTCACAATTCAGAACTACTACGATATTCCGGCCTTAGACGCAGCTGTCACAGGAGTTGATGCTGTCGTTTGCGCTTACACGCCAAACCCGATACTCGACCTCGATGCAAATCTTTTACTTCTGCGCGCTGCTGAGCGTGCGCACGTCAAAATATTCATCGCATCCTCTTGGAATAATGACTGGACGAGAATGAAGTTTGGAGAATTCGAACACTACGACTCGCACATCGCTTTTGAGCAACAAGCGGCAATGACAAGCCCCATCAACCCGGTGTACATCTTTACAGGGGTATTTGCGGACTTGCTATACACTCCATACGGACCCGGCGGATTTGATATCACTGGAGACATACCCGTCATGAAGTATTGGGGGGATGGAAACAAGCAGGTTCACTCTTGGACGGACCAGGATGATGCAGCGGCTTGGACCATCGAGATCCTCCTAAACGGAGAGGGCGTCAGGGAAGGCAAGGGCGGTTTCTTCAGGATACGATCCGGGGAGCACACCATCGAGGACCTAGCGTTGATATACGAGGAAGCAACTGGAACCTATGTCGAGGTAAGGCGCCAGGGTGACTTGGTGGATCTAGCCAACGAGGTCGCTGGCATGCGCAGGGAGAAGAGCAGGGCAAGATACATTGAATATCTACCTCAAACGGCTGCGCTCATAGCTGATCAGGGGCTTTGGAAGATGAAGGATACCGTGTCGTTGGAACATATTCATAGGCCAACTGCTTTAGAACAACATCTTAGGGAGAGATTTCGACAATAACGAGCGATGTTTCAAAGGTTACCACGTGAGAGAGGACTATTTATCTTATCACATGATCTCAAAAGCCAAATGGTCTCACCAGTGAACTCGTTCATTGACTTGGTCCCAAGCCCAGTCAGTTTGCGACGTATAAGGACAAACAAGGTTGTGACGTATCTTCTGATCCCGTGATTTTACTTACTTACAGCACTAACTGCTGTCACAACAATATGGATAGCGCAACTAATGATCCTTAGACTTGAGAAACTCCTCAATTCCATCATACGTCCAGTTGAATCTCATTCTCTGTAAGATGACTTCGGGTGAAACCTTGGCAGCTGCAACCCTTGAGTTCAGTTGAACTTGAGAAGCTCGCGGTCGCCTCGCACTGTCCCATGTCTTCAACACCCCAGCGAGGTCATTGGATATAAGACCTGGTCGCAAGAAAAGTCTAAGGGCTTCAGCATCCTCTAGTGCTTGATTTGCACCTTGACCCTGGTAAGGTACCATGGGATGAGCGGCATCTCCGATAAGTGCCACGTGCCCTCTTGCATAAGAAGGAAGGGGATCAGCGTCTCTTAACTGATAAAGCTTGACATTTGAAAGACTCCTTTAAGGTCACATAGGTCAGCATGCGACGCACGACTGCAGTGTAGAGTGAGGAATTGGCTGTTTTCTTACCTCATTATGGTGTGCAGCCACGGCGGAAAGTCTTCAAAATGGCGAATCATCTCTTCAAGGTCGCCATCTTGAGTCCACGACTCTTGACTCTGTTGTTTGAGAATAGAATCCGGGACAGCACAGGCAAAATTCATGATTTCTCTGTTTCTGCATGGATAGATGACAGCATTCCTATTAGACCCATCTGCCGCGATGAATGAGGCCAAGAATGTTCCGTCTTCAGACTTCAAAGCATCTGGTATTTCTCCAAGAAGTTCCGTTACCTGGGAGAGAGGAACTGTGAAACGGTACAGTGAGATGTTGGCTGGCACTGGCGGTGGATGCTCCAGCCCGACAACAGCTGCCCGTGTCTTTGAGTGGATGCCATCAGCACCTTTTTGGGTGATGTTAGTCTACCTGTAAAGCAACGTAAGAGTGATTCATACCGATTATCAAGTCAGCTTCAACTATCGATCCGTCCCCCAGCTGGATCAAACCATTTTCAGGGTCAACATTTTCAACACGTGACTTAAAAACGATCTTTGCTGGCTTTCCAGGCCATTCCGATCCCTCGCCGGTCGCGGCCTCAAAAAGCGCGTCTTTCAAATCCTGTCGGTGAACCATCCACCACTCAGAACCGAAAGCCTTGGCACAGTCCATTCGAGATTCTTTGAGTAAAGCTCCAGTTTGGTCGAAAGTGCGAAAGCCGCTCGACACAACAGCCTTCAGAGACTCTTTGTCCAGTTCCAAAGACTTTGCCATTTTTGTGCCGTTAGGCCCAAGACCAACGGCTGCTCCAGCCTCAGCTGTGTCGGACGCGTTGCGCTCGTAGACAGTAACATCATGTCGCTCGCGGAGAACTCGAGCCGCTGCAAGGCCGGCTATGCCGCCTCCAATTATGGCGACTCGCAGAGGCGTGTGCTCAGCCATTTTGGTGAAATCTGTTGTTTACTCTGGTTTCAAGCAGAACAGTCGCGTTTGGGTTGACTTCTTGAAGAGTGACATTTGCGTAGAGAGGGATGCTCAGTACACGGGCTTGATGAAGTCACATGTTCCACACTTAGAATGACGAGATTTGATATCTCATGACTCAAAGTTCTCATCGGCCTCCATCCCACTCGGCTTGAATAAACTAGTTCATACATCTCGGTCAAAATGAAGCCATCTGTTTCCGTGAGTTTTGATGGCCCAAGCTAAACTTCGCGTCGCCGGCCTTTCCGGCTGCCCCACCCGGATTTCGGATTCCGGAAATCGGGACTCACAAGCTGACATCGCATCCATGAGAATTGCTCCGAGTTGCACGCGGGAATCTTGCCGGAGATTTAGCATTGTGTCTTGGCTCGTCGATCTTCCCTTCCCGTTAGAAAGTGGTCGATCATCCGGCCAGGGTGGCCGCATTGACATCGAAACCAGGGTCTTGCCCACCAATGAGGAATTCACGATCTGTAATTGTCACGGCAAATTGCGGACTCCGGAGTGGCGATGAGAATTCTGCGACAGAGTGGGTTGCTGGGCCAAAGAAGAAAAATTGTCATGTCGTCAATGACACGATGATTCTCCGTGTAAGCTTGATTAAAAGGAAAAGAATCCAAAGAATCAAGAATCACGGCATCTTCGATGACTTTCAACGGTTAGCTGAAGTTCGAAATGACAATCTCAACCTTTTACTATTCCATGACGAACTTCGTGGCGGCTACGCCTGCAGTCTGGGCCTGGGTACTCTTGTGTGGAGTTGCCGCCCTGGTAGCCTTCCGCAACTCTATGCCAAAGACACCCAACGTTCCTCTTGTAGGATTCGATGTCAAAGATGCCAAGAAGCGGAAAGCTCAATACAGCTTTGATGCCCCAGGAATCGTTCAGAAGGGATACGAGCAGGTAGGACGCAATTGCCGGTTTAGAAGGTTGAGCTAATGATTGCCTTAGTTCAAGGATCGTATCTTTGGTGTCGACACTGCCGATGGTGTGTATATCCGTGAAGCGACTGAAAATCGTCGTCGCTTACAAGTAAACTTTAGGTGTTAAGCTTGTATTCCCTCATCAGTATGTGGAGGAGATTTCCAAAGAGCCTGGGTTGAGTTTCCACAACTCTCTCGACCATGTAAGTGGCGCGGCCGACGTAACTCCAAATGGGCAAGACTGACAGATCAATCTATCTAGGATTTGCTTATCGACTACACCTACATGGGAGGGCTGAAAGAGTTCTCTCTAACTACCTTCAAGAAAGAAATCATTCCCCACCTGCGTGAGTGGCTTTGCATGGAGAGTTATGTCGCCAGCATGTTCTAATGGCCATACCCACACAGCAAAATTCATTCCCGAGTTCACTGAACTTATTCAAGGCTACATTCCTGGCGCTCTGGGAGATAACGAAGGTAATGTCTTACTTGTTCTGGTATGGTGCAGCTTTTTGACATTTGATACTTCACAGACTGGACTCCGGTGAACATATATCCCAAGATGCTCCGCATGCTCGGTATACTCACCGCCAGAGTCATGATTGACAACAAGGCACCGCACAACGACACATGGATCACGCTTACTACGGAGTATGTCCAGTCAGGTACATCATATGCCCACCAGCTGAAGTTCTGGCCTGGCTTCATGAGACCATTGGTTCACAGGTTTCTGCCGGAATACTCCGAGATTCAACGTCAGTTAAGTGACGGGCGGTCTATTCTAGTGCAGGCCATTGAAAACTTCAACAAGCGAGAAAACCAAGGATCACCCGAACCACAGCCAACGAGTGTCTTGTATCATATGTCACGCAAGGCAGCCGGAACCTCTTCGTCGATCATCGATATGCACCTCAAGGAACAGATGAATCTCGCAGTTGGAGGCATTCACACCACATCAGCCGTTTTGACGCAAACTCTTTTCGAACTCTCTTCTCATCCTGAGTATGTTCCGGAGCTGAGGCAGGAGGTTGTCGATACCCTGCGCAAGTTTGACGGTGTTCTCTCCAAGGCAGCTCTGTGGGATATGCACAAGCTTGACAGCTTCATCCGCGAAGCCCATCGTTTAAACTCACCTAATCTGAGTATGCAACTTCCCATTTTCCCAATTGGCAATATACTAACTGAATTTTCCAGCTACCCTGCAACGACGCGCGACAAGGGATGTCACCTTATCAGATGGCACCTTCATTCCCAAGGGTACCAAGCTTGAGTTCCCTACCTTTGCAATCCACCGCGATACCGACTTCTACGAAGATGCGACCAACTTTGATGGATACAGATTTCTGAGGAAGCGTCACGAGGATGAGGAGACCAGTGCCAAGCATCACTACGTCAGTGCTCGCAAAGATATGTTGGGATGGGGTTACGGAAAGACGGCTTGCCCCGGCCGATTTCTCGCCGACATCGAAATCAAGCTCATCGTCGCCTTCATTCTTCTGAACTATGATATCAAGAATCCAGAGGGTCAAGGAAGGCATAAGAGTGTCCACTTTGAGAACCAGGTAAGATAAGCTGGGAGAGCCATTCCCTTCACTGACCAGAGCATTAACCTCATTCTCAGGTCTTCCCCAATCCATCAAACCCGGTCCTGATCCGCAAAATACAACGGGAGGGACTTGATGGCATCAAGACTGGTAGAAACTAGGATGATTGTGCTCCCATCATAGGTGCAGGCCATGTCTTTTATCAAATACATCTAGTATGAAATGGAAGACTGATGAAAACGAGACTGTGAATTTTCGTTCTTCTCTCCGCCCTCTATCCAAGCCGACTCAATCGTCTCGCTGCCGCCACCTTTGAGACCTTTCTCGTACTTCAAAAAACAAAAGTTGTTGCCTTCTCCCTGCCTTGAATTCTTTTTACCTGTCTTCCAGGCAACGCCAACGCAGTGTCCATGCACACTTTGCGAACTCAGATGTCTCTGTCACTCCTTCACTCAGACTTAACTGACTGAAGTGTTCAATGTAACCCTCCTGGAACAATTTGTGATTCTCTCTTGCCATCTTAGGTACCTAGTTCATCTGGCACAATTAGACAGTTTTGAGCTGTCTGAAGCGGCAATTAGTAAACATATTCTCTCCGGCAGAATTGCCATCGTGCGGACCCTCATGGGCTTCTGAACATCGCGGTCAGATGGGCTTCTAGGTCTTGGTCTCTCGCCGGCTAACAAACCAACCAAACGCCTGGCTGATTTCCCGACTTCCAAAATGAGCATGGTATAATCAGGCTGAGATGACACGACTTTAAAACAAGTGCCGAACTCGTGACTGAACCTCCCGTTGTAGGACAAAATCTGTGTGACTTTCATCTCGGTTTGAAATCGAACTGGTTGGCTGTGCGTGTATTATATCTAAACACAGGTGCGTATGCCAGAGGCTTGTACGAGCATCCCTCAGAAACACGAGGTATCACAGCACTCGGCTATACTGTTCGTTCATGCGAAGGTCTGAGCCCCCAAACCCAACAGCAATGACGCTAATACTTGAACGTTCGACCTAAGCTCGGGCTGGAAAGTTCCGCATCAGATATCGAAAGGCTCTGGGGGCTGGCTGGGGTAATGTTAAAACCTATCAATATCTGTGGCAGTCGGAAACTCCTGTCAGAAATTGTCTTGTGAGCGGGCAATTCCTTTGCCGGACTCCACTCATTAGATGCTGGACGTCCATTACCCGTGCAACAGCTCACCGCCATTATCAGCCCTCATCGTTCAGTCTTGCTGGGTTATCTCTTTACAAGAAGGATCTCAATAATTCGAGCTTGTTTCCCATGATCAGCAGGTTTGCGAGAACAACTGGTTGTAAGGTCGTTGCAGAGTGGAGGACGTGTGACTAGTCGACTTTCAGAGCTGCCGTGCTTCTTGAAACCTCTACAAGTTCTTACTTAAAAAAGCTTCGTATAATTAATGATTAGTTTTGCGATCAGATCAGGACAACTGCAGCAGACTGGCAGCTGTTGCCTGAGGTGCATCTGTCGGAGCGCTTGACACTTGAAGAGCTTACGTTGCGATGCACCTGAATGACTCCAAACGGGCGTGCCGTAGTCAGACGTCTAGGTTGATGTACCGGTTGGACGAATCACAATCTTTGGTTCGGGAACGTCATGGAACATTTGTGTGCCTACGCAAGAAGTTGTGTATGCTGAAGGTTCTGTGTTAAGTTGGCCACATGCGGGAAGCTGAAACAATTTGCATAATTCATACATACCAAACTTCATAGTATCAATATCTTTGGGTCAGCAGATATCCGGTTTACATTTGTGCTAATTTGCTGGATTTGGCTGCCACTCGAGGGCGGTCTTGATGTGAATGATACGATACAGCCGACAGATTCTGGTGGTACCTGAGACCGTGAGTGGTCAATATCTCGGCAACTCATGGACATTTGGCATCTAACCTGAACCGTTCATTTGTTTGGAAAAGGTCTGCAGTGGAAATTTGATACCTTGTCCCACATCAACTTCAAGATTGTTTCGTGATCACCGCGGTTGCGCGACATGATGATGTGCGCATCCCACCGGGACATCGGATCCCGTCAACCCCAGATCCGCGAATGGACGGGTCATATGGACCCACATAGGCCACAGCGTTTTACAACTTACTCCTGCATCTTCCCTTGCAGGCCGTCTTTCCGTCCGAAATCCGACATCACATCAGCTCAGCTTCCCGGAAGAGACAGTGTCGCCCACCAACTTCCTCCATCCAGTCCACGCCGCAGGTACTGTGCTGCATCTACCGTAATCGCGGCACCCTCGGATCTGAATTTCCAGAAACGAGCCACCATTCCGGCGTTTGCCGGTAGCCTCCTTACGAATGATGGCTGACTTGGAACAAGTGGCTGAAGAAGCCGGGCCGAGGAACCGGGCTGTAAGTTACCACTGAGATTATCCATGAGGCTCCGTTGCTGACTACGGGCTTAGTGTGATTTGTGTTTCTCTAAGAAGGTAGGTTGAAGCCTCCATCATCCGGACTCATCTTACTACCAGGCTAACTTGCTGTGTAAGATCAAATGTGATAGAGATGACCCCTGTGCCAATTGTGTAGCAGCATCTGCTCCATGTCTACGAAGACGACCAAGAAGAAGAGTCAAAAACACGGCAGAGCCAATGTCAGTTTGGTGATGGGTTACAAGCTTTGAGGGTTTCTACAAGTCAGAGCCGTATCTGACCTAGTTCCATCACAGTCAACGCAGATTTCAAACCGCGGCCTATCTTCCAAATTGGCGTAGATCCCAGTCGCCTAGAGCGCCCTCAATCACTTCAAATCCTGCAACCGCTTCGGCAAGACTACAAACAGCCCCAGAACCTACTAGGGATCTAAGTACTGAACCGCAGTCTCAGAAGACACCGGTATCTCAACATGGCAGGCAGTCAATTTCGTCCAGTAGCACTGAACGAGGACCCGCAACGGTGCAGGCACAACATCATATTCAAACAGAGCTTCAAAGCCGAGCTGGACTTGACGAGAGCAAGCGACAGGTTTTAGAGTCAGCTCTGGCTTTCGCGACGAACAACACCCTCCCTGCACTCGCAATTGACCCTGAAGGCTACGCGTCGGAACCCACCGACCTCTCCGATGAAAGTCACTATCCATCAGTTGAGACCCTTCATTTCATGCTGAACAGCAAGTGCATTCCCTCACAGAAGCTGCGACAATTGCAAGGAGCAAGTAACTAATTAATTGCTAGGTCCGAGAAAAGAGGCTGGATTGTGTTTCATACTGGACATGGGTAGTGTAATCTCACCTAAAACGTTTGAGAAACAGGGTCTCGACTTGATCGAGAAGAAAGTATCAGGTGCAACTTACCTCCACTACACAGTCAATGTCAACTTCCTGGCTTGGATCTATCTCGGGGCAACGAACTCAGAGCCCGGTACTCTCATGCATGCGCATCTGCTCACAAGGCAACAGCAGTATGAGAAGAACATACTTATAGCTCTGCATCGTATTGGGGTTCTCGATCCCCCAAGTATGTCGCTGTTCCAGGCACTTTTGTCAGGGGTAAGCGCCAGTGAGTATCTACATAGTTACCGAAGACTGACGGCGTATAGACGATGTACATGTTGCTCTCTGGCAAGTTGGAGAAGTGCTGGCAATTGAGTACTGCTGCATGTCGTACTTGCATGGCTCTTGGCGGCCCTCAACTCATATCATCACCATCTGACAAATTTGGGTCTGAAGAAGCTCGATATGGCCTTTCTCTTTGTTACATGTTCGACAAAGCGTTGGCATTGAGTATGAACCGGACAGCATGTTTGCCTGACATGAATCTCGATACTACAGACCTACTCGGTCCTGATCCAGCAAAGCCACATACATACCTGCTTCATGTGTACTTGCGGCTAGCCGAGATTCAGAACGAAATCGATCATGGCTCCAGAGAACGGAGTAACTCGAAGGACATGCTCTCCAGGGTTCAATGCATGCAACAGGAAATGTGGAAGATTAAAGAAACCATTCGGGAGGTGGGGCAGTTCTTTATTGGCTGGCACACAACATTGAAGACACGAAAGTTCTGACATGATGCTAGTTCCGCAACACACAGCTCCAATCTAAGGATAGCTACCTGAGAGGCGAGTGGATGGGAGTCGACTTCGCCTACCATTCCGTCATGACTTCTGTGGTGAAGCTCCATCCATACCTAGCTGAAGACGTTGGACTGCACCAACAGCTCCTTGGATTCGCCCGAACGTCACTATCATCTCTCAATGATATGCTATTACATGCCAAGACTCTCACAGACATCCATAACTTCAGGGTTTCCGTTTCATGGTGAGTCGTTCCTCTGTGGCAATTGAAGCATTGCTAACACTCTCAGGCTTGTGCTTTTCTACCCGCTATACCCCTTTTTCGTGCTTTTCACTCACGCAGTCAGCGTCTCCAGCGTACAGGATTATCAACTACTAGCAAACGTCACGAATGGCCTGCGAGAATTCAGTGGGCAGAACTCAGCTTTGATGGGTGTTCAAAAGCTTTTCGAGGGATTCATGGCATTGTGTAAGCCAACATTCAGGAAAGACTCTCGGACTCAGACATCAAGCGTCGTACAGGAGGCAACACAGTCCACAGCAAGAGGGGCTAGCCCGCCCTCTGCGCAAGGGTCTTCACAGGTGCTGGAAGCATCGGAACAAAACAGAGTTGCGGTGCCCAGGTGGACAAACCCATTCGCAACGATTGCTGAGGAGGATGCAGACAACGCATGGAGCTCTGCCAATAACCATAGTTCGGGGGTCATTCCAGACTTCAGTTCATTGGAAGAACACGATCTGTCAACAGAGTTGTACAATACGCAGCCTTCTATTGGGTGGATCGATGCACCATGGCCCTCAGCAAGTCATCCATAACTGCAACTATAATTGAGTTGAATCTATTTCACAAGATGGAATCACAGCATTACGTTTTAATGTCTATGCATTGCATCTGTAAGGCAAGGCTGTGGCATTTGCACGAAGACAATGCTCTCTCGGTCTACTTCGATCAATTGATACCTGGAACTAATCGAAAAACATTCCACCAGAAACATTTATGCTCGCGCCGTTGATCCAGCTAGCTCTCTCCTCAGCCAGAAACGAAACAGCGAAAGCAACATCTTCAGGCAACCCAATCCATCCATCGACTGGAGTCCGCGCATCGAGGATCTGAGTCAGAAATGCGTTGCCCATCTTCTGAAGTTCGCCAAGAAATTGCGGTGTTTTAACAATACCGGGCGACACCGCATTGACTGTGCACCCATAAGTTGGCGGGAGGTCCTTGGCGAGACATCTGGTGAGAGTTGCAATTGCGCCCTTGCTAGTCGCGTAGGCCGTCTGAAGAATCTCAGGGGATGTAGCAACTTCGGACGTAATGTTGATAACTCTGCCGCCCCCGCCCTCAGGTTTCGGAGGTAAGTAAGGCAAAGCCGCTTGTGTGACGAGAAATGCGCCCCGAACATTCGTGTTCATGGTAGTATCCCAGAGATTGACCGTGGTGTCTTCGACCTTGGTAAGCGTCGCCTTGGCAGCGTTGTTGACGATAATGTCAATTTTTCCGAACTTGTCGACGGCGGCTTTGACGAGCTTAGCAGGTCCATCTACAGTGGATATATCTGCTTCAACAGCTATCCAAGGGGTGTTTAGGCTGTTTCCGACTTCGTTGGCGGCACCCTGCAGATCTGGCCAGCCATAGTTGATCACCACCGAGGCACCTCGGGCTGATAGCTCTCTGGCTACTGCAGCACCGATGCCTGATGAGGATCCGGTGACGAGAGCCACCTTCCCGGCGAGAGCATTTGGGTTTGCGTCCCGAGGGGGGTTGATGCGCTTGCGGCTCGCGATGGCTTCCATGTTGTTTCTGGACGGCGTTTTGGCGTGGATACCTTATAGAAGACAAGCTTTCACTTGAGCAGATCGATTGAGAAATAGTTTGCTGAATGTCTTTGATTCTAGCAACCACACAGGATTCAAGCACTTGGTCCTTGAGGTACATATCTAAGACCACATCAACTTGGATGGAGGACAATCCATCCCCGATGCAGCCGCCGGCTCCGATCGTTGACCCAACAAGCATCTCTTACACGGAAAGCCTGTGCCACGTAATTCCGCCGGCCAAACAAAATTATGGCTCTAGCCAATTTCAAGATCCACGTATCGCCATTTCCATGGCGATGATTCAGTTGGGTGGAACCCCGCTGCAAGCTGCACGGCCCCGGATTTCGGCCGGAACTCGCACGATCATACTTTCCGGCACCGCCTCATGGAGTCATCTTAGGCCAAAGCAAGATCTACAGTCTTGTTCGACTTACAATCCTTACTAAGCGATAATGGCGTTGATATGGTGAAGTTACTTCGGCCTACTGCTGAGGGCCGTCGGTGATGGTTATGTGGAGTCAAGGTTAATGCCAAAAGTCCCGAATCAACCAGGCAAGTCATAAGTTGACCGCCACTGATCGCAACAAACTTGAACATCTTTGAGCTAGACTAGCTTGACCTCTTTCCTTCTCATCAATCAACATGTCAATCTCATTTGAGGACGCCTGCGCTGCCGAGACGCACCCAGACGCCGACGGAGTCACGGGATTGGCCGTTTTGGCTGTTAACAGCACCGGTAAGACCATTCGATGGGCTTTCAACAACACAATCGAGGGGAACATTTACTCACTCCTTGTAGGAGTGCCCTTCATTGAGAAATATTACGGTAGAAGAAGCGCTATCGGATCTGACAAGATCGACAGAAATAGTGCCTTTTGGATCTACTCCATCACCAAGACCATCACTGCTATTGCAGCCCTGCAATGTGTTGAGCGCGGCGAAGTTCAACTCGATGAGCCCATTTACAATATTCTCCCTGAGCTAAAGGACTTCGGTGTACTTGGCTACGACCAGACAGGCAATATTGTTCTCACACCCCACAAAGGGAAGATTACCCTCCGTCATTTGCTATCTCACACCAGCGGAGTAGGTGTGGATCTGTTTGATCCGCGCCTTCAAGCATGGCGTATGTCACGCGATGAGCACCCTCAAGCCTTTTCGGGAGACTCGAAGAAAGCTTACACCATTCCCCTCCTGTTTGAGCCGGGCCAAGGATGGGCCTATGGAGGCGGTGTCGAGTGGGCCGGTATGGCTGTTGAGAGACTGACCAAGGTGAAGCTTGGGGAGTATATGAAGAAGAACATCTTTGATCCTCTGGGAATGACTAGCACAACATTCCATCCGGACAAGAACCTGGATATTCAGAAGCACCTTGTTGAGACCAGCACGAGGATTTCAGATGGGACACTCGTGCCGATGACCGGACCATACCCCGGGGTGACTGAGGATGACAGTGGCGCCATGGGGCTAGTCTCAACGGTTCCAGACATCGCAAAGCTCACAGCCGATCTCCTCAAAGAGACGCCGAGCTTACTTGGGCCAGAATACCTGGCGGAGTTATTCTCGTCCCAGTTTAGCCCCGACTCACCGGCAGCTAAGATGCTTTCATACGGAGCGGTAAGTCTCTCCCCAGGTCTCGGATTGAAGCGATTTGAATGCTGATGATTGAAATACAGATGATGTATGGCCGCCTGACCGGGGAGCCATACGATCCCGAGAAGGTGGGACAGGCTCCAGGAGCGTACTTTGTCAAAAAAGATACGCAAGGTCTGCCAGGTGGAACTCTCGTGATGACAGGAATTCCAAATCTGGTGTGGTTTGTCAATCGCGACAAGGGAGTCGGTGGGCTTTACGCCAGTGCCATCATGCCCCCCGACGATGCGAAGAGCACCGAGTTGATTGCTGGTTTCTTGAGGGAGGTCTTCAACAAGGACTGAGCAGTCGCATGCGGCTTAGTCCGTCTAGTCACTGAAAACACGATGGTCCATGTCAACCGCAATCATACTGCCTAGACTTCTTAACAAAGATTGGCTTTATCCCACCTCCTATTCATTGACTGAGAATGAATTGACAATGGATGTCCGTTTCCCCACCCTCTGCGCCGGCGCCTGGACCCCACGCTTCGGCCCCGAGCGTTCACATTTTCCCTTGATCGGGGTCGGACGCCAACTTGAAAGCTGCCAACGCCCCGAGCGTAGGACGAATGATCGGACATTGCTGACTGCAAGTCCGTACTTCAGATGGTATCCCAGGCTAGATCTGGTTTTGACAGTTGACAGCTACTCAATTGATCACGGAGTGTCTTTCTCAGTTGTAACATTCATTGTATTAACCCCATATTTAGCAGTCAAGGTTCATGTTGGGCGTTTGCGACTGGAAATTGAAATCCGAAAGGGTCCCCACGTCGCGGGTTCCACGGCTTCCATGAATGTTCAAAACCCAAGCCTCCCTTCCGTACACACCTGCATATCTGTACATTTGTATGGCCTTGGGCTGCATTCTTGAAACAGTGCTCGCCAATTCTGTGGGTGCGAGCGACCAAAAACATCAGGTGATGACAACATATATACCGAGAGTCTTGTGAGAAGGATGAAGGTTTTTAGACTGATATCACTCGCTTACTCGGCTGCTCTCACGTTGGTTTTCGCTGCGAGTGCATGACACGATGTTCAGCTTCTGGGTGTCAGTAGCCTTCTGGGCAGGCCTGTCTTCGCAGGTTCCGTTGCTGGAAACGAGGCAAAACGACAAAGCTTCCAGGCCCCTTCAATTCAGCAGTGATGGAAACTTCAAGATTGCCATCTTTGAGGATCTCCACTTTGGAGAGAGTAAGCTCATATTGGTCATTAAGAGACAGAAAAGAATTTGCAATCGCTGACGTTCCACAGATGCCTGGTCATTCGGTCCAGCCCAGGACAAGAAGACCGTGAAAGTTATGAGCGATGTTCTCGACAAGGCCAAACCAGACTTTGTTGTTTTGAATGGCGATCTTATCACTGGCGAGAACGCATTTCTCGAAAATGCCTCATTTGTTCTCGACCAGATCGTCCAGCCTATGCTCGATCGCAATCTTCCGTGGAGCAGTACATATGGCAATCACGACTATCAATTCAATCTAAGTGGTAGTGACATTCTCGCCCGCGAGGGAAAATGGGTCAACTCCAGGACTCAGAAGATGGTCTCAGGCGATGTTGGTGTCTCCAACTACTACCTGCCAGTGTACGCGTCGGATTGTACCAAGGACAGCTGCGCTCCAGAGCTTCTCCTTTGGTTTTTCGATAGTAGAGGTGGCTTCAAGTATCTCCAAAAGGATTCGTCAGGCAACCAAGTCGGTAACCCAAACTGGGTGGATGAGAGCGTCGTCTCATGGTTCAAGTCTACCAACTCCGACCTGGTCAACAAGCACAAGAAGAACATTACCTCACTTGCATTCGTACATATCCCACCAGATGCCTCACGCGCCGTACAGGCGAAAGGCATCGACCCGGCCAAGGAGCCCGGCATCAACCAAGATAACCCCCTCTCTCGACAGTCCGAAGGATGGTGCAGTGATGGCACCAACAAGGATACATGCAGCTACGGCGGCCAAGATAAAGCTTTTATGCAAGCCGTTACTGCGACTCCGGGTATGCTTGCAGTCTTCAGCGGTCACGACCACGGGAATAGCTGGTGCTATAAGTGGAGCGGCGCTGTCAACGGGCTGAGCGTTGAGGGCACCGGTGTAAATCTGTGCTTCGGTCAACGCTCGGGTTATGGAGGGTACGGAAACTGGATTCGGGGGTCGAGACAACTGTTTTTGACGCGAGACAATCTGTCAAAGGGTGTTGTGGACACTTCAATACGACTGGAGTCCGGAGATGTCGTCGGGTCTGTTACGCTAAACTCAACGTACGGACAAGATCAGTACCCTGTTACCCCGGATCAACGGACATAAAGTCGTCCGCGGCCTTTCCGGGACCTGTATTGGAGGACGGATTGAACTTGAAAGATGGCCGGACGTGTCCTCAATTGTTTTCATGAGTACCCAGTCCAGACTTTTGATTTCGATGCACATATGATGGCTTAATTTAATCCTAACACAGGATTCTCTACCAAGTCAAAAGGTCAATCATCACATCGACATCTATCGCGTGCAGATTAAGACAGAAAATTGCCGGTCATTGACGACGTTAAGTCCTACTGGTATTAATACGTAACCGACGAAAGGATGACCGGTGACCTGCAAGCTTCTTCAGGCACATGCCTCAATGAATGAATTTCTATCGCGTGATTTCAGTTACATCCATGGACCCTTAAGCCACCATTCTAGCTTCCCAAGAGCCCAGCCTCAACGACAAGTAAAGTTGTTTCACTCGTCCTGGGTAGCCTCTTCAGTCACATCACGTTTCGGCGGCCCATGCGGGTCACCCTTAGATGGCGGTGCAGGACCGTTGGGCCGCTTCACAAGTCCCAGATCTCGCTTAGGGGGAGTTGAGGGATCGCCCTTAGAAGGTGGCGCTGGCCCATTAGGCCGCTTGACAAGCCCGACCAAGGACCGCTTCGGGGGTCCGTGTGGATCTCCCTTCGAGGGCGGTGCTGGCCCATTGGGACGGCTGACGACCTCGATGTCTCTCTTATCCTTGTTTTCGGCCGAATGAGAAACTCCAGACAGAGTCGCGTCGGAGTTTCCCAGGCTTCGGGATTCGACGGTTACCTCATTGCCGGAACTGACCCGGAATTAGTCAAGAAGCCAAACATAGACGTAGTTGTGATATGAACTTACCGCATCTGAGGAACGCCGTAAACCCCACTGAGAGTCAACGCCATGAAAGTGGCGACCTGGAGAAACTTCATTGTTGTGATGATCGGGCGATGCAGTACCTTGATTCTTTGCGTATGGGTCTTAACAGAGAAACCTGGGACAAGTGGCAGGAAATGCGTGTTTAATAGTTTGGCATAAGTCGCAATTTTGTACTCGGATGAAGTGGAGGGCTGGTCTCAGAAGTAGCCGGTTAAGCTTTATTAATTTGCAAGGTTAGGAACGATCCCTACATGAAATAGGAGGCATGTTTGCTTCGAAGCCTGGGGATGGTAGTTCCCCAATGGATGTTAATATTTGGTATTCCAACCGGAAAGAACACAACTATTCATTTTCTGGGGTCCATTTATTGTATTATAACAACTTGAATCGGCCTTCCACAGAAACAAAACACGATGTGGTGCCAACTCATCACTCTCGCATTCGTTGCCAGATGCTCTGTGCCCAACATCAGTACGACTTCTTAGTGTTCAGACCTAGTACTATTCCATTCTACAACAGGACATGCAATATGAGACCTCCAAAGTATTGCGGACTTTTCCCACACGCGGATAAACAAAGCCAGTTATGAGAATATTGTCGCTGGTTAGCCTGAATTGAAATCAGATATGGGGCCGGCTGGGTTTGTGGAGACCGGAGCTTAACTGCACCACGGAACGCAACAAGAGGCCGAATGGATTGAATGACGCAAGCAGCAACACAAGAAGGAAATTTAGGGCGGGACTTACCATAAAGGTGTCTCGAAGATATTCCCGCAACTCTGGTTGTTGGGTATTGCTTGCTCCAAACTCCAGCTAACTTCAGTCATCCCGTCACCGAATTTCTTTGCCTCCGGCACCGAAGATCTACCCGATTGGCCGCGACGGTGATTGAGACGAACCCGACGTGACCGAATGGTACATCAGAAGATTGACAGGAAAGCTTTCTTTTGAAGACGTTCTTTTGTCGTCCGTGCGGCTGAGGGCGAATTCGGGCATCGTGATTGAACGAGCTGTATCGTTCATCTGTAGTGCTTCCTGGCAACGATGTTCCGCAGACGATTGCCTCCATGTTAGCGGGATCATATGCAAGAAAAGAATCACCGCTGCTACGAAATACCTAAATGTAAGGAGACCTTTGCGTCATACACGACCAATTCGATTCGACGAAGGGAAACCCTGAATAGCTTTCAAACACATAAGACTACCTTTTTGGTGACAAAGCTTTTGAAATTTAACTCCGACAGAAGGATCTAAGAACGCGGCGCATCTGCTTTCATTTGACGAAAGTGGCGCGGAGACAGATGGCTGTGAACCCGGCCACGGCCACGAGGTCAGGGAACCGGCAGATCGGCACAGCCAAACGGCAGGTGCTGCGCACTCTCAACTTGCAGGATTTGGGTATTATCCGCGCGGCTCATACCATGAAATTGCCAGCGTCAGCAACCTAAGGCTTTGAGCCACTCAGGATCTTTGACACTAAGGTAGGGCGCCATCTGCGGCAAGCGCTCTTAATTCTTACCACCTCGACTACCAGCCAATCACGATCCATCCTTCCCGATGTTATGTCCGGTACGCAGCTGCCTTCGGATATTCAGATCATGGCTATGAGCGATGGAGATATCACGAACAAAAGAAGTTTCTGTCGCGACGTGTCCACGATGCGGTAAAGGGATATAAGAAGACTGGGGGTTCCATCTGGGGGGTTTTGTAAAACAAGAAGAACAAGACATCAACAGCCACCACAACTAGTTTTCGGCAAGATCTAGTAGCTTCTCAGTTCACAGCTTACGTCTTCCAATTATTTGATCTCAATCAGACATTCCAACATGCGAGTCTCCGCATACTTTCCGACCTGTCTTCTAGGGGTCTTACTCAATGCTCCAGCTGCCAACGCATCGCCAACACCAAGCAATGGCATGGTGGTAAAGACAACTTCAGGTCAAATCACGGGCTTCATCAACTCTACATATCCCGATGTTCGCCAGTTCTTAGGTATTCGTTATGGGAAGCAGGCGACACACCAGTTGCGCTTTTCCCCACCTCAACGATATACAAGCAACGCACCCTTCAACGCCACCAAGACACCTGACGCGTGTCCTCAGTTTGTGAGCACTTTGCATAACATCATCAATGATGCTGTCACCGAATACAACAACTTCGCTCCGATCAGCGAAGACTGTCTCTCTCTCTCAGTGTGGGCGCCGAAGAACATCAGCAAAGACGACAAAGTGCCGGTCATTATATGGATTCATGGCGGCGGACTCCAAACTGGTTCTTCGTCTGTGCCTCTGCAGCAACCTCCGGGATGGATCCAGCGCAGCAAGAGTCACATTGTTGTGGCAGTGCAGTATCGTCTGAACATCTTTGGCTTCCCCAATGCCGCTGGCCTCAAGCAGTCCAACTTAGGCCTCATGGACCAGCGCATGGCCATCGAGTGGGTCAGGGACAACATTGAAGCATTCGGTGGTGACCTGAACAAATTGGTTCTTTGGGGTCAGTCCTCCGGCGCTGCATCTATAGATGCGCAAAACTTTGCGTTCCCCGGCGATCCTATCGTTAAGGGGTTCATCCAAGACAGCGGTAATGTCTTGATTCCACCTTCCACTGGCCTTGCCACACTTGATCCCATGCACAGGAACTTCTCGTTTGTGGCGAAAGAACTCGGCTGCCCTCCCGTCCCGGATGCTGAGCTGGCTTGCATGCGTTCCCAGTCAACTGAGCGCATCGTCAACTTCCTCGCGAACTACACTGATACCATGGCAACGCCACCCCTGAACTTCATCGCAACTCCGGACGAGAAGTGGGTGTTTTCCAACTACACAGATCGCTATGCCAAGGGCCTCTTCAGTGATCGTCCCGCGATCTTCGGCTCCAACCTGCGCGAAGGAAACATCATGGTCCCGTTCCCAAAGCACCCAGTGCACATGGGCGTCAATGATACCCTGTCCGAGATGCGGACGCTCGCCCTTTTTCAATGCCCAGCTGCACACTCCGCCGGGATGCGAGAAGCCGCCAAGCGAAAGACGTACCGGTACCTTTACAGCGGCAACTTCACTGATATCAGTCCGTACTTCTGGGCCGGCGCATATCACATGACTGAACTGCCTCAGATCTTTGGTACGAGGGGAGATTTCATAGCTGCTGCTTCAGATTATGAAGTCCAGACAAGTGAAGCGATGCAGGACTTGTGGTTGGGGTTCGCACAGAACCTGGATGCCCCAGAAAAGGCAGGTTGGCAAGAGGCCAACGGCGGCAAGATGCTCATGCTCGGAGTGCCTGGAGGTCCTGGTGTTCAAGTGATTGATGAGATGGTAGTCGATAATCCATGCAAAGCAAACGGAATGTGAGTTGTTATGTCATGCTCTGACCGAGAGGGCGGTGTAACTTGGCTGTTCTTATCGGGCGCGTCCGTAAAATAGATAGGCCAGCCTTTTGGCATTGACCACATAGATCTAATAGGTTTCACTGGTTTAAATTGACTACTTCGCATTGCACCTGCTTAGACAGTAACTTGAATTTTGATAAGTAGCCAAAGATTCTATCTACATCAGACATTAGCACAAGTCTTTCATTCTTCCTCAGTGTGGGCCCCAGCCGGCTCATATCCCGTCTAGCGCCCACATGCGCCCGGATGTGGCCTCGGACTTAAAAAAAAAAAAAAACCCCTAGAACGCTTTTGTCCACAAGAAGCAAAAGAATTTGACCAGCATGGGGGTCGAACCCACAATCTCCTGATTCCACGGTGTATCGTAGTCAGACGCCTTGCCATTGGGCCAACCGGCCAGACAATTCAGAACACCTGAGGTGCCCGTCTGTTGGAGATCTTCCGAACATCGTGGCTCATATTCTCAGGACAGCATTGGCTTTGCGAAGTCCCATGTTGCCGTCCCACCAGCCCTTCTCCAACTCTGGTTCATCTGAAGCATTTGTGTATCTAAGAAAGCAGAAGGACAACCCAGAAAGCAATTGCCTTTCTTACGAAAAAAAACTTCCAAGCCTTTCCGCAACCGCCCAATGCCAAGGGTGGACATTTTAGCATCCATCGCATACAGCACCATGATGCAACCCACAGCGGGCTTAATGGAGCCAACAGCAGCACACAACCCTTGTTCTCACATGCATGGCAGCGGCGCAGAATACTGGACGTCTTTTCCATTTACCCGATCATCCGTTCGCGAATTTCGACATTTTCCCAAAGCCCCCGCCCTGATGCTCCTCAAATCGACGACACCGCCTAATGCGACCGTGTGAATCCACCTTTTTTGGATCGCGGCCGAGAGCTGATCAATTGTGACAATGAATATTTCTGATGGTGACCAAGAAATGATGGTATCTTTCTGACCGTTCTTCCGTGTTCTGAATCGTAAACATGGCAGGTCAGCATAATGACGTACATGCTCATGAGCGCGACACGGATTTCGACGAGGTCGCATCCGATGTTGACTCGACTTTCAGCGAGGTGCGACGTAGATGAGCTCCTCGTCCAAACCTTTCGTTGTCGTTGCTAATTTTTCTCAGACGGCACCTTCGCTGATATCATTGCGTTCTAGCATTTTTGACTACGAATTCGAGAATGGGCGGACGTACCATTCCATGAGCCGAGGCAGTATGTTAATCGACGATGACGCGATGAATTGATTCACTGAGAAGACACAGAATACGCCTACCCAAACGACGATGTATCTTGATTTTTCATTCGATTGTTTTCTGAGTCCGACCTGTTCTAACAAGAGCATTCGCCAGCTTGAAGTTGAGCGGCTGAGTGAGCATCACATTTCCTCTTTTTTGGTGTGTCGAGGCAGATGTCTGATTGCGTACAGAACTACAGCATCACATCTGGTTGATCACATTAAATGGAGAGCTGGCTTGCAACCCTGAGAAGCATAAGGCGAAGAGGGTAATGGACATGGGGACGGGCACCGGCGTGTGGGCCATCGATTTCGGTGAAGTCGCTCTACAAACTGTACGTGGTGAGCGACCATACTAACTAACACTATCTGAAGCCGATGCATACTCTGGTTCCGAGGTAAGTGATTGTGACATCACACTTGTCACATGGCATGATCTTTACACTAAAGATTACAAGGTCATCGGTGTTGACCTAAGTGCAATTCAACCAGAATAGTAGGTCACGGATGTACCAACTTCCCAACCCGCAGGTAAACTGATTGTAATGAGCCAAGTCTGCCATCAAATTGCAGCTTTGAGATCGATGACCTAGAAAAAGACTGGAAGTGGAAAAGGCCGTTCGACTTCATATTCTGCCGAGCCATGGCGGGAAGCTTTTTTGACTTTCCATCCATCATCCGGAAGGCGTTTGAGTAAGGCGTGGCATATTGCAATTATTCAACACGCTTGAGAGAGACTGACATAAAAGTAGCAACCTAAGTCCAGGAGGCTGGTTTGAAATGCAAGACCTCGAACTTCCCATGTCTTGCACCGACGGTACCATTACGACGGACTCCGCTCTTTGGCGGTGGCATGCTGCTGTTGTTGAAGCCGCCAGAGCCATAGGTCGGCCGCTCGACTATGCCCCAAAATGCATTCCTGACCTTCAACGGGCAGGCTTTGTCGACATACGACGCCGAACAGCCCGATGGCCATTCAACACGTGGCCACAGCATCCGAAGCTAAAGGAGATCGGTCGCTGGCATTGCGCGAATCTCGAAATGGGTCTCGAAGGGTTTTCGATGGCTCTCTTGACACGGGTAAAAGGCTGGGATCCAGCCGAGGTATCGGCACTTTGTGATGAAGCCAGGAAGGAGGTCAGGGTCAGGAACATGCATGGCTATTGGAACATGTATGTGCCCTTTCACCAGTCTGTGGCGCAAGCGGTATAGACGAATCAACTAACCGGCGAAGACATATAATTTGTGCACAAAGGCCCTGTTGAGTGGCATTGGCATAGATGTATACTTCTTCTTCTACCAGTCTTGATCAGAAGTTTCCGACTCGGACTCATCCACCTCGCGTTTTCTGTTCCGGACATCTTTTAAGTCCTCCACCATTCTCTCGTTACTTGCCTTCAACAAGCTTAGCGACACGTCATTCTTCCAACCGTCGATTTCTTCCGCGACGTAAAGCACCGAATGAGCCGATTCATGTATTGAATCTGATGGCAGAGGGTCTAGGACAAGAATTTTGATCGCCAAATGAGGAAAGTCCTTCGTGGTCTGAGACAGCTTTTCGATGACCTTGTCAGCTTCAATTCTATCCCCCAACAATCGCGACCAAGAATCAAGGATGATAAAGACGACATCGTCATCCTCGAGAAGCTCAAGAAGTCCACGGAACAGTTTAACCGCATACTTTGGCTTCTGGGTGGATTTCTTCATCAATCGCTTGTTCTCTTGTTGCAATAGAGACAGATCGACACCTGGTCTCTTTTGCGAAAAGTATTTCAACAGCTGACCATTCAGACTATTGAGAACAGCCAAGGGTCCGCACAGCACTCTGTCGAACTTCTCATTCGTTCGAATCCCACAGAAGAAAGACAACACCGGAAACTCAGTTGATCTTTGAAGTGTTTCCGTTAGAAGAGCTGCCGTAAAGGATAATGGGTGATATAATCCATCGAGTGCATTTTCGGCTCTGACGCCCAGGATATTTGATTCATCGAGACGCAGCCAGTTGGAAACCTCCGGTGTAGACATGATCCATTGGCTTTTCTCTCTGTCTTCGAGAGTTAACCGGCCGAGGCCAGCGCGCATGCACTCTATAACATGTTTCTCTGGGCTAGGATCGAAGTCTTGCAGAGATTCGTACCATTCTTCGACAATCTTGTTGTTCTGCTCCGGAATTCTGACTTCGAGATCACCTTGTTGCCTTTTTGGAAGCGGTTCTTTCACTAGTTGCATAGTCAATGACGTCGCTCATCAGTGTCAAGGAACAGCTTGGACTTACGCCCTCCATTGACGGGGTTGAAATGAGGGTTGCTTGCGTAGAATCGGTGCAGGGCGTTGCAAACGTGTTCTTCGATGGTCTCCTTGGTAACAGCTTTAACGTTTCCTTCGTTCAAGTCCTGAGATAGCCCTGTTCAACATTTTAGTCCCTTCAGCACAGTGACCCAACGGTCTGAGAGAAATGGTCTGGTAGGGAGGCGTTCTCACTCACCTTTGACGACCTTCTCAATAATGCTCAGTTTGGCGCCGTTTGAATTGATCGTCTCGTGCATACGGCCCATTCGGAATTGGGCGCAGATGTCCAACTCCATCTGAAAATCCGAAATGCTGTCATCCAGTGAAGCGAGAGCCCCGGTAACTTGGTCCTCTGATCCGAACTTCAGCTTTGATTTGAACTTGGCTGATGGCATATCAGTACTCTCAACCTGGCGAAGCAAACGGACTACTTGACTAACCTGCCCGGTCCATCGTCATATCATCAATGATTCTCTGCAAAACGCCAAAGATGGCCGCCAAGACTCCGTCCGCCTTTTTGTGTAGGCGTTTTGACCAGACATGAACATCTGATAGCCTTTGTACCCGGTCTAGTTTCTTCGGTATGTCTGCCATGGCGCTCTCAACTGCCTCCCGCCGCTTCTCATGCTCGTTTGCAATCTAAGTAACCCGAGTGATTAGTCGATACCTTCAGAGGAGATCTTCCGTGCTGCCATTTGGTCATACCGCGAGGATGGTCATGACACCACCTGATATCAGCGATCCGTAGACGTCGCTAGGGATGATTGACATGATCGCACCAAGAGCTGTGTCTCTTTTGCTGGCGCTTTTTAAACACTTTCTTGCAAAGTCTTTACAAGCTTTCCAGTTTCCCGTGCCATCTCGTTGCTCAATAGCTGCCCTGGCAAGACTAAATATGTAATCCAGATCATGAGTCGCCGCTTTTTCTCCACCCAGTTTTTTGAATGCTTTTCTTGATTCAATACTTTGCGCGAAATCCTTCAACATCATTTCGAATGTCTCTTTTTCCTTTCTTGAGCTCGCGAAGCAGCTTTCCAGACTATCAACATTCTATCAGCTATGATGGACCTCGTGTGAATGATTTCGGCGTGACACACTCTGGAGCTTTGTTTCTTGGAACGAACGCGTCCAACTCATCCACGAAGATCAACTCATCAGTTGTCTTCGAGGTTGAGTCTCCATCAAAAGCTCTGTATGCGAAACGAGCTGCGCTATTCTTTGTTGTTAACCAGTTACTAGAAGTCTCAGCTGCCGACCCTCCCAGAGACGGGTATTCTTCACTCATGCCGAGAGAGGATATTGATGATGATATCAGACGAAATGGAATCTTGCTGGAGTCAGCAATGAGTTACTTGAGAATTCCTGAAGGTCTTTGGTCTTCGGAGGCTTTTAGAGCAAGGAAAGCGGCTCTGGCGCGGCTGCTTCAGGCAGAGCTGAGGAAAACCACGATCTCCGACAGCAATATCAAAACTTACGTCAAACGTAGCCACTTTAGGCAGCATGATTGTGTCCTTGAGGGTATCCACAGGTGCCTAAAGGTCTTGCGCCATATCAAATGAAATATCGAAGAGACAAATCCTTTGACAGGGGGCTTGGAAGCGAAGCTGACGCGACCCACATGGAATGGACTTGGGCGTAGGCCTTGAGAGAGAGGTCAGCCAATTGAAAGTTGACATTTCATGCATGAGGTGCATGCCATACAAAAGGTCTTTTTCTCGCAGTTTTCAAACAATAGTTCTGCGCAGACTTTGCCGAATGAAGGCCAGGCGCGCGACCTAAGCAGCCTGCGCGGGCGCTTATGCAAATATCAGCACTGGGTCTGACTTTGAGCCGCGCTCAGCCACCAGTTTTCTCGCAAGCTGATGTTGTTTCTCGTGTGTTTTTCTTCCTGGTGATTTTCTCTAGTTCAATTCAGATTGCGTTGTTGAATGCTCAAAAGTCACCTCCCGAGATGGCCACGCTTGTCACTGCGAGCTTGCCAGTTCCGAGCGCCGTCATGGACTTGACCATGGCAACGACAAACACCGATAGCCAGCCCAGCCAACATGATGACGGGTCAAATACCCAGGCTACAGTCGCCGATTCTGATGATACCTCCACACAGGGCAATGACAGCGAGAATGGCAAGATTGACGGCAGCTCTCCATTGACCGATGCCTCGTCCTCTGGAAGTACCATTTCGAAGGAGGATAAGACGGTTGGAGTAGACGATCTGGCCGAGGACGCTATTGAGGAAACAGAGGCTGTCCCGGATTGGCATGATGATAGACACTACCTATACGAACGATACATGGAGACAGTAACGCAACTGTCTAAGGGCGACCCTGGTCAGAATTTAGTCAGTGGCGTCATGGACTACATGCGTGTGGTCGATCAACGTCTTCGGCTTATCGAGGAGAAATTGCAAAGCAACATCCCCGACGACCCAACGCCAGAAGAAGAACCTGCTGTTGACGGCGATGATGTTCTTTCCGAAGCGAACACAGCGGACATTGACATCAACAACGTCCTACTGGAGGCAAATCTCTTCGAGGCAGAAGAGGGTGACTTCAATCCTGACGGCTTCTTTTTAGACAAGACACAGTGGTCCGGGGCATTTGCATCAACAATCGGCCCTTCTGAGATTCTGAGAGCCATGTACAGCAAGGCTTCTGACGCGGCTGTCGACAGAACCAACCAAGATGCTTCTGAGATTGACATCATCTATATCAGCATCTGGTCAGACCCTATTGCATCCTTCTTCAGGGACGTCCTCCTCCTTGATTGCGGCTCAGGGAATTCCATTCAACTCACGAAGCCATTTCGACCGCTGATCAGCAATATCAACTCTCTTAGAGAGCATCTCAGCAAGCTGGAAAATGCTTATGGGTACGAGTCTCGCCTGTTCAATGTGTCGACTGTATCAGCTAATCATGCCAAGTAACTCCCAATCTAATGACCGCGGCACTGGAAACATTGATGATTTAGTGGCCAGCGCACAAACATCAACGGAGTCGCCCTCAAACACTGATTGCACGACTTCTGTTGATTCAACAGGGCCTGTGGGGTCAAACTCGTCGTATGGCGATGCACACAATGCCGAGCAACTCGGAAAAACCTACATTCGACCATCGGCGCTTCCACACTTCAGGGTCGTTCTCCAGTTTGTTGATCATTATCTGAGCAGCTCCCTGAAGCTGTATGAAAGACTAAAGTCTGGTCAAGAGGATAAGGTAGCCTTTGAAAACCTTTGGATGCTCTATGACGCGGGGGCTCTTATTTATTGCCCCTATAGAAGCAGCGATGGATCGTTCACCACTTTTGACAATCTTAGTGAGCGAAGTGGTGCTGCTAGTTACGTGGAAGGCGAGCTTACAGAGCCACGTCCGAGGTACTCCCCACAGGCATACTGTGTGCTCTCTGTGAGGGGTGGTATTCCGTTGAGAAAGGATCTTGTGCCAGGCTGGGACGAGGAAGATGATCTTGATAACGACCTGTTTCACGGCTTCGATACCCTCCGACTGGGAAAGCTACGCCTCTTCCGACACGGGGAGTTTGGAACGTTTCGGAAGGATGCGCAACAACTCACAGCGCGACAAGATCTTGGAGGTGCCCCCAAGAAGCGAAGGTCGCAAACAACTTCCTCGCTGATTATAGCTTGCTTCTGTATTGACTACGACGGCGACCAATTCGGTGCACAGCGAGAATTCTTCGAAATCAAGCCTTATGATGGTCTAAAGGACATTCGTGGTATTGAGGTTTATCCAGCTCACTACATAGGCGAGAGAGAAAGCGACCGTTTACTGGCGAGAGGCAGGAAGTTTCTTGACCTTATGGAAAGTTCCCATATGGCTTACGAGGGGACAACTGCTGGTCATTTGCGAGAAACAGTGAGATACTTCCCGTCGATTCAAGGCTCTCGTCTCAAACGTCTTACACCTCTTGCAGATCAATAGCGAGGTCATTGTGGACTTCAAGATGGCGTACGAGCAAGACCAGAACTTAGCGGATGAAGCATACACCAGACCAATCTTTTCGACTGGAAACAAAAATGACTGGCCGAGATCCAGTGTCAAAGGAGGAGGCGAGACTCATGACTGGCACGACATCGACGGCACTGTAGGCCACGCGTGTGCGTGGAGGTCGTCCCAAAACGCCACGTATTACAGGCATCAAGACGCGCAGAGTTCGAAGGTCTTGCGAAAGCTCAGTTTTATATTTGAGAGTCACACCAAGCCGGAAATGCAGAACAAACAGGCTCGGCGGGAACTCAGATCCTACCTTGAGGAGAATAATCTCATTAACCTGTTCCCAGGAGTTGTTCCAGGATACGCGTTGCGCAGTCGTAAATGGGGTATGTAGAAGCCAGTCTGGACTTGTCCCTTCTGACTACGTGTCGACAAGACTTTACGACTAACCAAATCTCAGTGCTTCTGGACTTAGACGTACTTCAATACGTCCAACACAGCGATGATTGGGGAAATTTAGTTCTCCCGAGAGGCCACAGAGATATGGTTCAGGCTATGGTTGAATCCTACACTAGGCGCCCGGAAGACTCTTTTCTTCCACATGACCAGGCCACTGAGAGAATCGACATGGATCTTGTTAGGGGAAAGGGCAAGTAACCAACTCTTAACATCACCGCCGCTAGCATTGACTCATACTTTTGCAGGAAAGGGCTGCATTATCCTCCTTCACGGTGCGCCAGGAGTTGGAAAAACCTCGACCGCCGGTGTGTTTCATTTACTCAGATGGATACATCGTCATGATCCCCCTTACTAATGGATGCGTTTAACTTGCAGAATGCGTGGCTGCATACACAAAGCGTCCGCTTTACCCAATCACATGTGGTAAGTTAGCCTAGGGCCACCCGCCGTCTGTGAGATGACTGCATTTCCTGACCGACCTGTTTGCCAAAACTATAGGTGACATTGGGCATGTTCCGGAGACTGTTGAAAAGAATCTTGAAAAGCATTTCAAACTCGCTCATCGATGGGCATGTGTCCTGCTGCTTGATGAAGCAGACGTCTTCCTTGCCAAACGGACGGTAAGATACTGAAAGTCATAATACGTGATCATGACGATGAATAACCAAGACTTGTAGAAATCCGACGTGAAACGAAACGGACTCGTATCTGGTAGGTTGAATCCCGCACAGCTGCCATCGGTTTTGTTGGCACATCTTCTAATCATGCCCGCCTAGTCTTCCTCCGAATCCTGGAGTACTACCCAGGCATCTTGTTTCTTACCACCAATAGGGTCGGCGCAATCGATGATGCGTTCCGTTCAAGACTTCATCTTACTTTGTACTATCCCAAACTCGTGGAGAAGCAAAGCACTAAAATCTGGAAGAACAACATTAGGAAACTGGAGCAAGTCAACGAGCTGCGGGTCAAAAAAGGACAACAGCCGATCAAATACGACAAGGACGAGATCGTCAAGTGGGCCAAGGTCAACTGGGAGAGTCTTCAGTGGAACGGCCGTCAGATCCGCAACGCATTCCAAACTGCCATCGCATTGGCAGAGTTCAAAGCCCAGTCGAAAGACAAGGCGCGACGAACCGGCAAGGATTCGTCTTCGCCTACTCCTAGAAGCCCAAAGCGACCTGTCCTAAGCCAAGACACCTTCACGCTCATCGCAGAGGCCTCGACTCAGTTCAACGACTACCTTTTGCAGACACACGGCCAAGACGAAGACACGACGGCGTCAAGAGACCAGATTCGACCAGCCACTTTCAAAGAAAACAAGACTCGAATTAAGAGAGTGCAGGAGTCTTCTGACTCAGATACCGACTCGGACTCTACTTCCTCTTCAGGTGACTCTAGTCGTGATTCTGATTCAGCGGCGTCAGAATCCGGGCCTGATCCGTACGCATCTGATAATTCTGAGATCTCGGAACCTGAATCAGAGGTAGAGAAGAAGCGTAAGAAGTCAAAAAGGAGTAAGGAAAAGCTTGATAAGACTGCGATCAAAGGCAAGAGGCCTTCAGAAAGGCGAAAGGAAGCGAAAAGGAAGGAGAAGAGAAAGTCCGAAGACTGAATCAACGCACTTGAATGTCTCATCCCCACCAATGTGTACACATTATTGAAGAGAGACGCGATGATATCAGCACGGGAAGTCGGGGACGATGGAGACGGCGCTCGGATAGAGGTGATAGTTGGGGCGGGTGTTTGGGGAATGGCATCAGCTATGTATCACAGGAAATATACAAAATAAGTTTGTGACAGTAGCGGACCAGAAGATGGCGGTTCCTAAATTTTACAAGGTACTTATCTCTACGGATGTAATGTCAAGTCTTTGCGTCGTTGCCGATATCAAGTTGTTTTCACACATGATGTGATCATGCGTCGATTGAGCCTAGCTTTAGCGGTGCATGCCTGAAAAGGAACCGCCCGAAAAAGGCAGTTAAGATCAAAATGTACCAGACTGTGCCACCACTCCTCATTCATTGCGACTTGGCTCTTGTTTCCGGGGCTTGTCTCCGTCTGACATTCGTGTCAATAGGTGTGGTAAGATACGCTCAGACTGGCAAGCTGTTCGAGGCAGTGTGCCGAGAGATGGTGGCCCCCTTTCCACGTCGCATGTCTTAAGTATGCGCAGTTGACCGAAGTCTCGGTTAGGCAGTCTGCCTCGGGCGCATTGCTGGGCATGCTTCGCCATCCATTTCTCATTGGTCCACCGGGGCTGTGCTGGTTTTGTGTCACCACCTACACCGCATCTTTCACCTACTCACCGCGAATGATCAGGCTAGGGCTGAAAGCAGGAAATGAGGCACACTTTTCTTTTGGCCCCCTTTTTCCCGTTGCTACTTGCAAAATCAGGCTGAATTTTTCTACTTTGGTCGGCAAGGCTCTGGAGTTGGTTGCTCAGCCAGGGGCTTGAAGGATTCATTTTCATTTGCGGGAGCCTGGAGGCCTGCATGGGTACGGCTGCGACGAGTTCCTTCTCTCTTAAAAAACCAGATGCGTCCTTCCCTGGCTCCATCAAAAGTCCTGCAGCCGTCTTGTCCCATCTCGAATCATCTCCTTCCTTTCCTCATTGGCATCCATTCATTCAAAGATGGCCACGGTCAGGTACAACCATCCAGCTTCGAGCGGAGATCTGATACCACGAATCGACGCACCTGAGTAAGTATCATATCCAGCACTTCGGTCATCAAGAGTCCAAAATGACTTCCTTTCCCATTGCTCCTTCATTTGATTTATTAATGACTTCATTTTACTCACGTTCCGTAGAAGTGGCTCAAGACAGGAACCCACAAAAGTCGCCAAAAGCAGGTTACCAGCAAAGATGCCGGCACTGTCAAGAACACACTCATTTCCAGGTAGTCGGCGAACTCATAGTTCTGTGGACTTGACAGCAGAAAGGAGTGAACTTGGGTCAGGATTGTTTTATGGTCCGAACAGATATGTTGGTTCCGAGGTTGGTCTTCATGGCCAAGACCACAAGGACCTCCATATGCCGATCATCATACATGAAGACATGTCAGACTTGATTGTTAGTACATCTTCAAGTGCGAAATTCTGTTATAACTTTCGCTAACAAGAAGAGCAGGATCATCGGTTTGACACGAGCAATGAACCAACGAACACGGACACATCCACAGTCCTGGCCGCAATCAGGGGCCAGGGACTGCCACCAACAAAGGACCTGCCTAAGTCTATTCCAGAACCCAGCGAGATTACCGATCACGGCCATCAGAGGTATAACGAGTTGAAGAACGAGAAACTTGTTCCATGGTTTCCAGTAGACGACAATGAACTCGAAGGCAATCTCTCAGACCGAATCCTTGAGGCAAGCTGTGAAAACTCTCAGGACAGACAGGAGTTTCTGCCCAAAAGTCAATTGGACAGACTGATTCATCCCAGTTCAGTTCGCCTGGAGCTCAGAAGATGGCTGCCACGTCTTACAGAGGACAAAATCAGATCTTACGCCAATCGCATATGCCACGGTAGAGCCGAAACAATCGACAAAAGTACCACAGAGGACTTAGTCAAGTCGTATCAAAAAGTCTTCGCGGTCTTAGTCCTCGTCAACAAAGTGGATACTATTGAGTTGTTCCTGGGAGAAAACTTGTGTGATGCAGACTTGCCACTTCAAAGATACACCAGGAAAAAGGATGCAGAGCGTCGCAAGGTGGAGTTACGGCGCAAGAAGCAACCAGGCCGTCGGCTGGATTGCTTTAGGTTGTGGGACCAAGCTGCCATTAGGAACTTTGAAAAGTACCAATGGGCTGTGGTTCCTCCATTTTTCACGAAGGGCAAGAGGAAAAACGTACAACATTACGTTCTTGAGCCATCGACAGTGCTGCCATTCATTTTCACCGAGAATGCAAGTAGCGGTCGTCGCGGCGGTTACAGCCGAGTTTTCGAAGCCGATATTCATCCGGACCACCACAATTTTAATGGTCCTCAACGGAATGAGCAGGACACATCAGAGGTATTCCCCACTCCAAACTTTAGAAATTCTCTCTCTAATACCATCATTAAGCCTTCACAAAACACCTTTGCGATCAAACGGCTACAAGACTTAACAAGCAAAGAAGCGTTCCAAAAGGAAGTCCAAATCCTCAAAAGATTCAGCGGGGATACCCACCCGCATCTCATTTCTCTGCTTGCAACATTCGAGCGGAGTGGCGTATTCTACCTGATATTCCCATGGGCAGGAGCTGATTTGAAGACTTACTGGAAGTCCAAGAATCCAAGACCAACGCACGACGCGGACACTGTTATATGGATGGCAGAACAATGCAGTGGCTTGGCCGAAGGTCTTACCAAACTTCACCAGTACGAGACTGGGCTCAACGATAAGACAGAATCCCCGAAAAAGGATTTTCTAGCGCCAAATGTTGTTCTGAATGGTGGCAAAGACTCTGGAAGACCTGGTCCACTATATGGGCGACACGGAGACATTAAGCCCGAGAATATCCTTTGGTTCCCTGATTCAAAGGTCTCTTGTCACAAAGGAACCCTGAAAATCTCGGATTTTGGGCTTTCCGAGCTCAACAGTCGGTACAGTAAGTCTCAGAGACGAAGCCAACTCCCGAACTCACCAAGCTATCGGCCCCCTGAGTGCGACTTGAGGAAGAAAATCATCAAACAGTCATACGATATCTGGACACTTGGCTGCCTTTACTTAGAGTTCATTACGTGGACACTAGGCGGATGGGATTTAGTCCAAACGTTCGCATCTCGAAGACAACCTGTAGATCCAGGAGAAACTGAGTCGAACTGTTTCTTCGAGATCAGAGAGGATGGGAGGGATGCACGTGTCGATGCATTCGTCAAGCCAGCAGTTACAAAGGTCAGACTTCTGTTCCCAGCACCGGTCATCACTTGATTATCTTTAGTTACCATACAGTGCTAACCACCACAAAGTTCGTATCAGAATTGCGTTCGCATCCACGGTGCAGCGAATTTCTTTCTTCTTTCCTAGATATGATTATGGGAGAGATGCTGATTGTAGAGTCCGAAAGCAATCGAAGGTTGGGATGCATGCAGGTGATGCACCAAATCAAGACTTGGCATAGGAAATGCTTAGTAGACGCAGACTTCGCGTTAAGTTCATCGCGGAGAGTCTGATTGGGTCTAGAACTGGAGCTTACGCTTGTATTCTTTGCGCGAATGAAGTTTTATCAGTAGGAATTGCTGGGCAGCCGTAATACAGAACTTTCAGGCTATGAAGGCTATGAAGCGATGGTATCGGACGCGTCCTATTTTCAACCAATGCTTGCAGCTGAACTTGCAGTCGTTCGATCGGCGGAGCAGCGCCAGATGCATTCAACAATTGTTCCATCAATTACGGGGCATGGGTGGCTGAGGTTGGGTGCCTGCTTGCCTGCCGAAATTATGCGAACCATTTCATGCATGCCGCCCAAGAATGGGCCAGCCTGCTTGATGTCCATTCCTTTTCTTCCTGATGACACGCTGCACCATCCACACCCATTTGTTATTCCCGCGGGCTTTCCTCAAATTTGAGACCGCAGCGAGCCGCAGCCCATCCGCGTTCCAAGGGCGGCTTGATCGCGGCTGACGAGAGACGCCAATACCTTTTCAGTCTCCATGTTGAGAAGGGGGTTCAAGCCAAACCAATACGAAAGAAATCAACGGGCGGAGGAGTCATAAACGCACACGTCTTCGAGCGGCCATTCCCTTCTTCGGACGTTATTGCTCCGTTCTACTGTTGCCTCCTTATCAGACGAGATACCCCGCGAATCTCGCAGTCCGCCGGCCAATGACTTCACGATGCCTAGGTGTGGAAGTGGTCCCATTTGATGACTGCAGTACACTAAGTAAGCAGGTCGATGTGCGTCATCCCTTAGCTTATCCACACTACCATCCGCGTCCAACACGTACGACGGGACTCCTCACGAGCAAGCCTTAGGTTTCTTGTTACAAACTCGATTGGTGTTTGAGCCGAATTCTTGCAGTAGTGGTGCCATTTAAATGCTTGGCACTGGACCATGATAGGGACGGATCAGTCTGGTCGCCGTTCATTTGCACATGATTGCCAACTACCCAACACACTTTGGACATCGGCCCCGAGACACTGGCAGCCTGCTTCTCCTGTAGATGCAAGCCATCCGCTGCCTCACGGTTTGCATTCTCTCCATCCGGCAGATTTGGACTCCAGTCCCATACCCCGCCTTTGCCAGACGGGTTTGAAGGTTTCCCCCATCTGGTCATTATTTTCCCTTCTTCCCCCATCAATGATTGTGTTCGCATGCCGATCCTACTGATCCCACGAGAACAGTTGCCACCATGTCGAAGAGCGCAGATCACAAGCATTCCGAAACAGACGACAGCGGCTCAGAGAGTGATGGCCCAGAGACTCTCGGAGACAAACTCCTCGTTTATTTGGTGGAGAGCAAGTTCGACGTGAGACGAGAGTTTCTTCCGGAAGGATACATCGACAAGGTCATCAGTCGCAGCGCCATCCAAGACGAACTCTTCTCTGGTAAGAAGCTTGATGGTGATGACGAATCATTGATCAACTTCATCCATGCCCACGCCAAGAAGGTCTTCGCGACGGCTTACTGCGCTCTCGGTAGTAACGCAGGAAGCTCGCTTCTTGATACCATGGATTACTTTCGTCGCCTGAACTTTACAGACGGAGCACTTCCGATCAACGACATTCAAAAGGCGGATAAGACCAGGAAGGCCAAGACAAAGCTTCCATTTCCGTTCGATTTCAGTGATGATTCCAGGCTACAAAGCGTATGGCGGCGAATGCCTGTCCGCAGCTTCTATCAGCACCAATGGAAGTTCTTGGCGCCTGTATTCTCACGAGAAAAGTTTCACCATACTCTCCATCCCGATGCCATTCTGCCTTTTATTTGGAAAAATATCGTTACCAAAGAAGGAAGGTTCAGTAAGGTCCACCAAGTCAAGATTCACAAGGGCCACCAGAAACTGCTCGGGCCTAGGGTAGGGAAAGCTGCCAACGCTCTGTGTTTTGATCTCACCTGACACAACATCCAGGCAGACGGTACCCCGGCCCATATCGCTATAAAGGAGATTCTCACAACTGATGATGACGAAGAGCTGCAGCAGGAGGTGGAGCAAAATTTCAAGGTAGAGGCAGACGCTCTGTCCGACATTGCAAGTCTCAAACACAAGCATATTATCGAGAGAATTGCCGCTATCACACGAGGCGAAAATCGATACTTCATGTTTCAATGGGCTGATGGAGGCAATCTGAGAGACTTCTGGAAAAGCCACCCCACGCCAGAATTCGACGCTAACTTGGTTCGGGAATCCGTAACTCAATTGCGTGGACTTGCCGACGCATTGGCAGCTCTTCACAACTACAAAGGCGAGGGCAACTACCGGCATGGTGACTTAAAGCCAGAGAACATTCTCAGGTTCGAGGACAAGACCTTTGTTGGAACCCTCAAGATCGCCGATATGGGCCTTGCTAAGCGTCATACTGAGGCAACCGACGCCCGATTAGGCCCGACCAACACCAAATATGGTACTGCACGGTACGAGCCTCCTGAAGCAGTAACAAACAAACTGAAGGCCAGATCTCGTCTTTACGATGTATGGTCATTAGGATGCATCATATTGGAGTACATCATATGGTTTCTCTACGGATATGACGGCGTCAGAGAGTTCACCGAAGCGCTCCTCGACGACACAGGCTGTTTCTACCGCACCGAAAAGGACGGGAATCAAACAAAAGCTGAAGTTCATCCTATAGTCGTTCACTGGATGAATGAACTCAGCAAACACCCGGAATGCTCTAAGTCTACGCACACAGCGATTCGAACTCTTCTTGACCTTGTCCGAGATAGACTATTAGTTGTCGCTCTCCGGCCTAGTCCAGAGACAACATCTGAAATGTCCTCAGCAGTCGTTTCTGTTACCCTTGCTGATACCCTCGAGCCGCCACAGGTTGGCGCAGCCAGGGCCAAAGCCGCCGCTGCAAGCTCTGCGCTCCAAGCGATACTGGAAGATGGTGAGGGGAACGAGAAGTATCTACTCTCGAGCAAGAACAGACCAGGCTCCAGGCGCCCATCTGCCGCTGCAATCCCTAGATCCAGCAACACTTTGCAGGTTCCAGGACAATCTAAGCCGAAGCCAAACGCACCTGCCAAAGATGCTTCGATTTACACCACCGTAAGTGATCTCCATTGAGGGGTGAACATCAACATCCTGCCCCTTATCCTGCGTTCTTAGCCTACAGAAGCTTCGTTGTTGAATTGGATTCCTGGATGCTAACGATTCCTACACAGAAGGACGTAAGTAGATGAGTGTGATCGACTGCACTCTGTACCAGGCTCATCGACTAACGAGCTATTTAGTATGTGAGTTGAGTACTTATATCATGTTTTGTAACTCATCCTCTCAGCGCTATTTACTAACAGAAACTGTCCGGTCTGAAGGGGGTAAGTAGAATAATTTCACCGACCAGCTTCCCGTTTTCCTCTTGATTTTGGACACAAATGGGTACTGATATATCTCTTCCTTTATTAGCTAGTAAGTAGAAAGAAATATATCTAGACGTGAAGGACTCCTTTAACCTAGACATCGGGCCATCTGCAGTCGGTGAGACAACCCGCAGTTTTACGCTGCCAAAGGACCCAAGCTCAAATGCTTGCTGACACCCACCCGTTAGCTCAACCACACCTGGTCATTTTACTCCGACAACAAATTCGCCAACAACCTTGTGGACACCTACGAGAATTTCCCCGTGGATCTGAGCCTACCGCACTATCGAGGGCTTTGTGCTCAATGTGAAGAGTTGGACATATTGTCGTCGGATTTTCAGATGACCGATACGCTCGCTGATATAGAGAAAAGGGCAGATACATGTGGCTTCTGCAAACTCTTAGCAAAAGCTTGTAAGAAAACAAATGCACCCAAGGTATTTCGCCTGCAAAGGTACGGGCCTACTCTCCGAATCGACAATGCTTCGGTACCGCTTCTCAGCATTGTTCGCGACCCTGGTAAGTCATTTGATTCTCTCGACTTACCTTATCCAGTGAACAGACTTTGATAGTTTACTGACTGATAATGGTTATACAGGCGGAGGTTCGGAAATCCCAAAGTATATCCAGGTTGGCTTCCCGAATCTCTCTCCAGCCCGCCACTCGCTGCACTTTGAGATTATCAGACAGTGGCTCAAAGAATGCGACAATAATCCAGCCCACGAAAACTGCCATTGCGATGAAAATCCCACACTTCCTACCAGACTACTCGATGTCCAAGCTTCGACAATTCGTCTCATTGATACGGAAGGTTTACAAGGCCAATACCTTGCGCTGTCACATCCCTGGGGCGATCCAGCCATACATTCCCATTTCTGCACCTACACCAGCAATATCGTGAGACACAAGGCCGGTATCGACTTCAACGTTCTTCCAGACACATTCAAAGACGCAGTCACAATAACGCGCGAGCTTGACATCAAATATCTTTGGATTGACTCGCTGTGCATCATACAAGGTCCCGATGGTGACTTCACGGAGCAAGCAAAGCATATGGAAGATGTCTTCAGCTCTGCGTACTGCGTGCTTGCTGCAAGCCGGGCGGCTGGTCAATGCGACGGCTTTTTAGGAGACAGAGTTAGACGAGATTACATCACATTTAGCAGAGGTGAAGATGAAGTCTACCACGTCTGCGAGGAAATAGACAACTTTCAAGGGGATGTCATTGATGGTGCACTGAATCAGCGGGGCTGGGTGCTTCAGGAGAGAGCCCTCGCGCGTCGGACCATCTACTTCACTGAGAAGCAGACATACTGGGAATGTGCCGGTGGGATTCGATGTGAGACGTTTACCAAACTGAAAAAGTGAGTCTCAGGACCGAAATGAACAATCCAAGCGTTGTAACGTAACTAACCCGCGAGAACTCCTTTTTAGCAATATCGCGGCCTTTCTTGGAGATCCCAAGTTCCCTGAAGTCGCCATGAGTTCGACAAGAGGAGAAATGATCTATCTTTACCAGATGTTTTACCAACAGTACTCAAGATTGCAATTTTCAAAGGTCGAGGACAGGCCTTTTGCCATTGCCGGTCTAGAGAAAAGATTGTTACAGGGCTTTGCCACACGTGGAGGATACGGGGTGTTTGACGATGGAAAGGGTCTCCTGCACCGGAGTCTGCTTTGGTGTCGATCTCTCGGTGGGACTCTCGGGAGAATCAAGTTCCCGGTTGAGAAGAAGATTTTCGTACCGACGTGGTCGTGGATGGCATACGAGGGAGGCATCGATTACCTGGCTCCGGAATGGAACAAGACCGAGTGGGAACAGCAAGATCTCCGATCCCCGTGGAGCGCAGACTCGCCTGTGCAGTACACCACGGACAAAAACAGCACGATCTCTCTCGAAGCTAGTGCGAGAGATTTCGATGAAGCCAAAGCTGTCAAAGAGCACATCACGCTTTACTTCGACATGCCTGACAAGGCCGACGGTCGTACGCCAGGCTTGAAGTGCGTGATCTTAGCGCGGCCCAAGACTGGATCTACAACGAAGGACAGAATGTGTTATGTCCTTCTTGTTGCGCCACAGGTTACTAAGAGGTTCGGAGGCTCGACGGTCTTTGAGAGAGTGGGTGTCGGGAAAATGCCCGAAAGTTGTGTCTCGCAGTTGGATAAAATTGAAGTCAAGCTTCAGTAGGTTCTAGAGCTACACCTATTCTTTTCTTCGCTGTTCGACCTGTCAGCTCATCAAGTATGCGTACATAAAAAGAAGTTTTAACGTACAAATAACTTCATTCTGCGGGGGGGCTTAACTATTCCTGCCAATTGCCAAGTTGATTTGACCTTATTGCCACTCCATCTAGCAAACAGCGACGACGACAGCGACGACGACAGCGACGACGACAACGACGATGACAACAGCAATAAGACCAATGATAATAATAACCACGACCGGCTTGACTGTATCTTATGAGCCATCTTGTTGATCTAGAACCAGCACTCTATTACGGGTCTATCTATCATCTATGACACAATAGCCAACGCACTCTTCACCGCAAAGTTGTGCTCCCTATCCATTTCCCACGGCCCAGGCCTAACCATCTGTAACTCTACCCCCGGTCTAAACACCATACAATATGAACTCCCTCCAAAGTGGAACATCCCAATCTCCTGCCCCTTCTCGATCCTTTCCCCCTCCCTCACCACGAAATCGCAGCTCGACACCTCCACCATCCCAATAAACACCACCGCCATCAGCCCAATCTTCGGGTTATCCGCCTGGATGAACATGATACTCCGCGTCGCCACCGCACTCAGGTACGGCTGCGAATACGTCGGCGCCGCCGGGTCCTCCCCGCCCTGCCCCTTCGCCCCCGCCAGCCCCTCCGACCAGTTCTCGCTGTAATACGTGCCGGGCACGTACTCGATCCCGACCACCTTGCCGCTCACCGGCGCGTGCCAGCGGTGGTAGCTCAGCGCGCTCAGGAACGCCTGGTACACCGTCCCGCCCACGAACTCCGCCGTCCGCTTGTGGCAGTTGAGCATGTTGCCCAGCGAGTACGGCTGGCCCTTGAGGTAGAACGTGTCGAAGAGCTTCACCCCCGTGCGCACCTGCAGCGGCGCCGACTCGCACGCGTTCGCGACCACGAGCGTCGGGTCCGGGAACCGCGGGTCTCGTGCCCCGCGCTCCGGCGCCTCCACCGGCCGCACGCCCTCCCTGAACCGCCTGACGAAAAAGTCGTCCCACGACCCGAAGCCGAAGTACTCCCAGCTCGGGTTGCATTCAAACAGCTCCTCGAAGGTGTGGCTCGTCTTGCCGTTGTTGGCCTTCATCGCAATCATCTCGCGCGCGTCCTTGGACAGCCACCCGTCGAGACACCCGCGCGACTCGGGCGTCGTGAGGAACTTGCCCCACGCGTTGAGAATCGCCGCGATGGCGGCGTTGACCTCGGGCCGCAGGAAGAACTCGTAGCCCGAGATGGTGCCCATCGGCCAGTCGAGCAGGGCGTTGATTGGGCACCCGACGAGGCCGATGGCGGTCGACGGGGACGACTTTGTGACGAACTCGGGCCCGGAGCGCAGGACCAGGTTCATCACGGCGACGAAGTCGTCAAACTTCTTAATGGCGTTGTGGCCGACGGGGTCCTGGGGGTACTTGCGGGACGACTCGGTGAACATCTTGTTGGCGAGCTTGGCGAGGTGCGCATCGTCTTGGACGAGCTTCTTGAAGGCCTCGAGGGTCGGGTCGAGGGGTTCCGGGTGCTTGATCGCGCGTGCCTGCTTTGCCTTCTCCGCGACCCATTGCGCGATGAGGCTGCAGTCTTTGGGGAGCCAGTGGCCCGGGGCCTGGCTCTGGAGCGCTTCTTGGGCGTTGAAGCCCTTTGGAGGCTGTTTCCAAAAGTATGAGAGCATCTTTGGAGGACAACAACTATGAGACTGAAACCTGAGATGACTAATATTGGAAGGGAATCTAACAACTCGGGCTGCATGTGCAGAGAAGAAAGCAAACAGCAAGAAGGTTCCGGTTTATATTTTTGTTGAGCAGATCCTACTTAACTAATTCCGCGTCGCAAGAAAAGTCATGCAAGCACACGTGAAGTTACCATATGCCTGTCCTGCTTATGAGAGCGAGAAAGGACAAAACGAAACACGAGCTGCGAACGCGGTAGTTACGCAACGGCTCGCACGGCGGCTGTCGGGGATGTGCCACGAACGAATTCCGTTGCGTGTTAGTACACCGGTGGAAGGTACCAGCTTTTTGGCAGGATGAAACATGACGAAATGGGGAAAAACATGTTTGACAGGTGAGGTCGTTTCCAGAAACAATGCTGAGTCGGGCTCATGTCTTGTTCAGATGTCGATGGGAATAATGCCGCACCGCCGGCGGCAACGAGGTACGGCCTACACGGGATGCGGAAAGGCACGCAGCAGCGCGAATCATTCGTCGACACCTTCCCGATGTGGCGTCCGGGCCGCTACACAGCCGGGACCACAAAGATCTGCCCAACTGGTAAGACAGCGTTTGTCCCAAAGAAGATACGCACGACGACGAAGTGTCACAGGTCTCGGGGGCGGTAAGCTGGTCTGCCCTCCGTCTGGAGCCGATCCGCTTAACCGGTTGTGACTAAGGGTTGTTGGCTCGCTGGCTTGATGGGGAAGAGAAAAGAAGGGAAAATGTCGTGCTCGCCGAAGCGTTGGGTGCTCCGACCGCGGCGGCGGCAGCTGCACGCTTGAAAGATCTCATCTGATCGTTGTTGAGTCCAGAACCAGGGGAGAAAAAAAAAACTGGGAACGCGGTTTCGGGGATCTGAGGCAATGCCGCCTCGAATTCTATTCAGCGGCTCCGATGCAGGACATGGCGGGCGAGTCAAGCTGGGAAAAGTATGTAAGCACGGGTCGCATGCTTCGGTCTCTGATGAATGGCGAGTTGATGCTCAGGAGGCGGTGTGTTACTGAGTTGGAATAGTTCGAGAGTTCGAGAAGCTCTCTTTTCCGCGGACGACATGTGTTGTATGGCGCTGTCTGTTGGTCAATGTGTGTCACGAGCTTCCGATAGCAAGACTTTCTCCATCCAGGCACGTCGCGTGGACCTCTCTTCCCCGTAAACAGCATGCTTTCGACTGAAGTTCAGACTGAGGACTCAGCTGGCCTCGCGGACGTCGCCTCACGGTTTCCTCGGCATCTAATCTGTCTCGTGGCCTTCAGCTAGGACTGAGGGGCAATTTCCATCACCTGCATGTAAGTTGTAAGTGAGATGAACCGAATTTTTGAGTCAGCAACCTTCAAGCAGTCGCCCCGAATAATTGAAAAGCTTAACAGTAAAAGGGTCTGCGTAAACGTTCGCTTGAGCAACGAACCCTACATTACCCGAACCCCGAATGCTCCTTTGTCAAGTCAAACCAGATACAATCAACGACAAATCAAAATGTTGTCTGTAGCTTTGGGTAGTCCTTGGCGCGAGCCTGGAGATCAGCAAAGATGGCACCAGAGTCGTCCTCCGCGAGGTTCTCCATCCGCTTCGTATCCTCGTCCTCAATCTGCTCAAGAATCTTCTCGGGCTCCTCGTTGCCCTCCTTCACGTCCTTCTTTCGAGGCTCTGTCGCCTTCTTGATCCCCGATGACTCGCCGATCAAGAGGATCTGAGCGTTGGCATAGTCAAGGTGTTCGGGTTTGGTGGGCATCCATCGGAGGTCTCGGAACTCCTTGTTGATCCTAGAGCTTTTTGTCAGTACCATTCATGTCTGTTAAAAACAGCCAATACTTACTTCTCAGGGTAGTCAGGATTCTCTGGGAGGCTCGCGTTCGCAGGTCCGGATTTGTTGGGATTCTTGGTGCTCAAGATGAAGCTGCCTTGCTCCTTGAGGCCAAGCTCCTCCTGGACCTCGCCGATGTTGGAAGGCAGAGTGAGCATGTACGCCAGGTGACTCTCTCTGCCGGTGGTCGTGATGACATAGACGCCCTCGCCAACAGGAGTGGCGGCAGGGACTTGTGAAGTGCCAGCCTTAGTTTCGTTCTGGTCACCGGAGAGGAACTGCTCCTTCAGCTCGGCGAAAGAAGCGCCGGCCTTCTCGACGAACATCATGAAGCGATCTCGGCCGCTCTCAGGGAAGACCTTCTTAGGCAGGGCGATCAAACGGGTGTTGCCGGCATCGCCAATCGGGCCGTCACCGAGCTTGGAGTCGAGGGCGATGGGGCGAAGAATGAGGTAGCTTCGAGCAATATCGTCAACTTCTTCGGCCTCGTCAAGGTTGACCCGGGCGCGGATGAAGAAGTAGATGATGCCCTTCTCGAGGACGTTGGACGGAACTTTTTTGTCCGCGTGGGGAATCTCGGCAGTGTCTCCGTTGCTTCCCTTGGTTGCAGGCTTCTCATCAGCCTTGGTCTCCTCTGTTGTCTCCTCCTTGTCCTTGATATCGGCAACCTCGTCCTTTTCCTTGGCCTCGTTCTTTTTCTCGGTCTCAGAATCCTTGGCCGGGGCAGCCTCCTTCTTTTCCTCGGTGTCGTTCTTTTTCTCCGGTTTGGAGTCTTCCACCTTGGACTCTTCCGCCTTGGACTCCTCTGCCGCCTCCTCGACGTCCTTGGCCGCCTGGGTCTCAGCAACCTCTTTCGCGTCTTCGGCAACAGTCTCATCTCGATCCTTCATCTCAGTGTCAGAAGTTTCAGGCTTCTCCTCCTTTGTTTCGGGCTCCTTTGCCTCTGGCTTCTTGGACTCGGCATCGTCTTGCTTCTCGAGGGCCTCCTCGATGGTGGTCTGACGGGCGCCATCATCGGACTTCTTCGCCCGCTTAGCATCAGGAGCGTCCTCGGCAGTGTCCTGATCAATGACACGCTTCTCTCCAGCGGTAGCATCAGCAGTTTTCTGGGCCTTGCCATTGGCTTCAGCCTCGCCGTTGGCGTGCTCTCCTGCACGTGTGCTGACCATGATGCTGGACGTGGGTAGGTGGGTTGACGATGGATAGGGTACGGTAGTGGGTACCGTGTTGTTGACCGGGGGTATCAATTGATGACGGTTGGTAAGATGGAACGTTCCAAAGGAAAACACAGGGAAGAGAAGCAAGTGCTGGGGAGGAATTGGCAGGCAGAGAGGAAGGCGCGCGGACGGGGAGAGGTCTGAGGAGTTCTGATGTCATAGGCGGCGTCGCACGCGTCGCGTTGCTTTTTCTGGAGGCAGGTAGCCGCCATTAGGTAACCTGGCGTGCCTTCCCGTGAAGTTACACACGCTGTCTCAATGAGCAATTGGCTGCCTTTGTCTCTGGACATTCTTCTCCTGTCTCAGTGATGAGCTTCATCATGTCTGAGGTCTGTCGCTGCTTGATTTACTCGGCAGTTGGCCTTGTCGTATTCCCTTGGTTGATTCGCTCCTTACCTTCCCCAATGGGTTGTTTTGAAAGGAAATCACGTTGGGGACGGATTGGGAACCTTGGTGATTACGATGACAATTGGACTTGGTCCTGGCACAGCTTTGTTTTCACGATGCGGAATGCTGCAGCTGCTCATGATCTGCTGCATGCGGAAAGAAAACGCACACCCCGCGATGGCTACTTTCACAGGGCAAGCTCCCAATCTGGACGGGCGCTCACTGACCTCGCGCTCGAAGAGGTGCAGATTAACACACTTCGGAGGATTTCCACCCGCTAAAACTCCGAGAACAACAGACTCCGGCTGTGCGCCCGACTTAGGACCCCACTCGGGCGAACGTTCCAACGAGCAAGAAGCGTCTCATCCCCGATGGCACAATTGGCTAGCGCGTCAGACTGTTAATCTGGAGGTTGGTGGTTCGAGCCCACCTCGGGGAGTTAAGGCGGTTCAATTCCGCACATGCGAGCGCAATTGTTTTTTGCTTTTTGCCCGATGTTGGTCCTGTTGACCTGCGTTGTTGTCTTTGCAGATGAACTGTTGCTTGCTATCATTTCGGCTACGTTGATTCTGAACGAAACTTCGCTGGGATTAGCTGGGAACCGTTTCTACTGGGCGTTAGAGGTTTGCCAATGATGAATCTCGTGCGATATGAATACCATCCTTCCTATCTGTTAATTGACCCTTGAAAATAATTTGTAAAACTCAAGAATAGATAAAATGCTGCAAACTCCCGACCCCTTCTCGAACATTTCTATCTGATTCATATAATTTTCAATGGTGCACTAGAATCGCACGTTGAGTTTCGCGGTGCTGAACATTGGGTAGTATGGTCTCTGTATTCAGCTACCTCTATAGACTTTGGCCGTAATATTCACGGCCACCTCTCCGTCCACTGTTACCTAGTCCCTTTAGGCATAGCACTCTGGGGTCCAAGGTACGGACTGCGTTTTCACCTTCATCTATTTCGAATCCAAGAAAACGGTACCCAGGTCATCACATGAGACACAGTACTTCACGCCATTGAGTTGTGCATGCCGTGTTAGAATAGGACTATCAAAAGCCTTCGTGGTCTGAAATCTCACCGTAACCGGTGGTAAGCTTATTTGCTAACCCTTCAATGAGGTATCTATCTACTTCGTCTTAGAGGCAGAAAGTGACGGTGTCGTGATATTTCTCCCCCAGTTAATCCTCGGCGCAGTCTGTCCTCCTATCTCGGGCTCATGCATTTTGGCTGATGGCCCAGTCTGGGGTCCCGTGAGGGCTAGCACGCCATGCTTGGGTGGCGCGCTGCCCTCATGACGAATCGGGGATGCTGCAACGGTATCTGTTCGGCTCATGGGCCGCAGATATATCGTTGTCCGCATTCTCGTTGTTGGCTCAGCTGTCGCTGTTGTATGGGTATCATATCTTGTGCAATGAACAATCTCGGTGTTGCGTCAGATGTTCTTCAAGTAGTGGTTCTTGAACTTCTTGTTGGCCCGATCCGCGCCTCGCATGAGGAATTGGTCGCCAAGAACCTCAAAGACAAATCGCCGTGGGGTTCCTTCCTCAGCCGTCGCATCGGCATCAGCGCTGGGGCTGGGCTCCTTCACCGGTATCTCGACTTTGAACCAGGTCCCCTCCTTCGGCACAATCTTCATCTCGTTCTTGCGTGTGATGACCTCGAACGAAAACTTGGAGTCCTTGATGACGATGCCCTTGATGCCGACACGGCTCGGGCACGAGCTGCGCGAGACCTCGACCTCGGCGCCGTGGAACTCGGCGGCGGTTAGCTTCGCAGCGGCACCGCTTCCTCCACCGTAGACTTCGGATCCCAGGATCTCCTCAATGTATCCTAGCCACAAGCGGTGGAGGGGCTCGAAGACGGCGTATTTCTGACCATCGCGGGGCACGTCGTGCAGGCCGCGCCTCCGTCGGTCGCGCGCGGAGAGCGGCTTGGGTTTGAGCTTTTGTTTTCTCTTGGCCTCTTCGCGGGCTTTTCGGCGGGCTGATCTCGGGTTCGACGGGGGCGGGGAGCTGGGTCTGAGGTAGAGGGGTCGGTATTGGATCTTGTCTGTGAAGATGCGGTTGACGGTGTCGGGTGAGTGCGCTCGGGCGAGGAGGGCCTGGGTGATGGGCTGATTTGAGGGAGCCATGATGTCTGTGTGCCCTCGCGACACTGCTCTGGTTATTATTGTCCTGGCGGAGAATTGGTTGGCGTAGTTTGCGACTGATGACTGTGACGAGGCTGCTTCTGCAAAACCAAGCGCATGCGATTTCCTGGAGAAGCTGCGGAAAATAAAATTAAATGTTAGTGCCTCCAGGTTCCATTTCCATTGGGTGGTGGGGCGGGAACCAGGATGGCCTGCCGGCTGGCAATGTGCTGGCCAGTCACTGTTGCTGTTGCTGCTGTTGCTGTCGCTGCCCGCTGCTTGGCTCATCCATCAGTGGCACCTGCAGCAGCGGCAAGGATTGGCAGTGCTGTCTTCACATGCCGAAAACGCTAAAGCCGCCAAAGGGCTTCGAGCTCGGCTTGGAGGCAGCGTGGGAGCAGGTGGGAGGCAGCAAGCGCGGACGCGGATCAGTGGTCCGGGTGGGTGGCACTTGACCTCAACGGTCCACCCAATGTCCCGCGGCATGACACTGCGACTCTTTGGTTCTGGCTACGCTCGGCGCAAGGAGCAAGGAGCTGCTGGGAGGAGAGACGATCAAAACACTTCCCACGCTCTTCCTCCACCATTTCCCACTACTACCACACTCACTTGGGTAGCCCGTCAATCTCCAACGTCATTTGCAGTCAGTCCTGTTCGAGAAAAGGGATCCCGTCTTCCTCGACCGACACTCGGCAATGGCAAGGACCTTGAACGGACTGCTTCGGAGTATCTAGGACCAACAATTCCATTCCACGCACTCGACACGACTTGACGATACCCGATTTTCCCCACGATACCCCAACCCCCCACCGCAATGGCTAAAAATGACGACTCCGCGCCGGATCTGAAGATCCTCGGGGACCAAATCACACTCCAGCCCAGCGGCTACGTCAAAACCCAACGCGACGACGAGAAGGAGGAGGCCCTGATGAAGCACATGGCCCGCTTCCGCTCCGAGCCTCTACAGTATGTCCACATGCAGTTTGGCCCCTTTTGGATCCAGGAACAACACTAACTAGCCGCTGCGCCAGATTCCTTCGCGAAGTTTCCCTCTACGTCTCCGGCACCGGCTGGCGCGCCTACGACAATGCCATCGGCCAGCCCATCTTCTACTCCGGCTTTAGCGACAAGATCAAGGATGCCGTGCTGTCGGCGCCACTACTACAGTCGCGCATCACCGACCTCGCCGAGAAGCGCATCGCTGTCGAAGAGAATGAGGGCTTATTAAACAAAAATGACAAGGACTTTGAGTTGAAGCGTGCGCGGAGACGGGCCGCCATCGAGACTGGAATTCAGGAGGTTGCCGAGAAAATGACCGACGACATGATCTGCAAGTTCGAAAGCAAGACCTTTATCCGAAGCGCATATTATCTGGTCACGCAATTGACTCTGCGCGCCTATCACCAAGGCATCCACGTCTCTAGCGAGGAGGTTCTGAGGCTACGAAAGGTGGCGGAGGAGGCCGAAAGCAAGAAGCAGAGCATCATCTTCTTGCCCTGCCATCGATCGCATGTCGACTACGTTTCGCTGCAGCTCATCTGCTACCGCTTAGGACTCGGCCTACCGGTTGTCGTAGCTGGAGACAACCTTAACTTCCCTCTAGTCGGAAGCTTCCTGCAACATGCCGGTGCCATGTGGATTCGGAGGTCGTTCGGCGATGACATCCTTTACACGACATTGGTGCAGACGTATATTGACACCCTGCTACAGGGAGGCTACAACTTTGAGTGCTTCATTGAAGGCGGTCGCTCAAGAACAGGCAAGCTGTTGCCTCCAAAGTTTGGTATCCTCAACTTCATCCTCGACAGCATCCTGTCTGGGCGAGTTGAGGACGCCGTCATCTGCCCGGTCAGCACACAGTACGACAAGGTCATTGAAACGGAGGGCTACGTTACCGAGTTGCTTGGCGTGCCCAAGAAAAAGGAGAACCTCGCAGATTTTGTCTCTGGAGGCTCATCCGTCTTGTCCCTGAGGCTCGGCAGAGTCGATGTTCGCTTCCACGAGCCTTGGAGTTTGCGTGGGTTCATCAATGAGCAGCTTGTAAGGCTGTCTAGATTACCTACGGGCCTCAACCTGGATACGAAGAACCCCGAGAATACCGCAATCCGCCAGAAGCTCCTGCGCACACTCGGTTACAAGGTGTTGTCAGACATAAATGATGTTTCCGTGGTTATGCCTACTGCTCTGATCGGCACCGTGCTGCTCACCCTCAGAGGCAGAGGCGTAGGCAAGACGGAGCTTGAACGTCGCGTCAATTGGCTCACTGACCGAGTCCGGGCGAAGGGCGGTCGTGTTGCCCACTTTGGAAATGCGCCCCTCTCCGACATTATCGAGCGTGGCCTGGAGGTATTGGGCAAGGATCTGGTTGGCGTCGTAACAGATCTTCCAGAACCTACCTACTATGCCGTTGACAGGTTCCAACTCTCGTTCTACCGAAACATGACCATCCATCTGTTCATCTCGGAAGCTATAGTGAGCGCCGCGATGTACATGAAAGTCAAGCAGGGAGGTGGCCCAACCATGCAGGATATCTCCTTCAAGGAGCTTCAGGACCAGATTCAGTTCCTCTCTTCCCTGTTCCGCGGCGAGTTCATCTTCCCCAGTGATGGTCTGGCAGCGAACTTGGAAAAGACGCTGCGCGACCTCGAGGCGGATAAGGTCCTCAAACTTCACAGAGACGAGGAGGGCAAGGTTGTAGTAGTCGGCCTGTCGGATCACGAGAGAATGGTTGGACGGGAAAACTACGACTTCTACTGCTTCCTTATCTGGCCGTTTATTGAGGCCAGCTGGCTTGCGGCGGTTTCTCTGATGGGACTGGCAACACCGCTTGGCCAGAAGGACGATATCTGGATTGAGGTGGGCAAAGCCCAGAGTAGTGCACAAGTGGTAAGTCAAATTCAGGCAAGCATGGAGCCACACACCTAACACAATTCCAGCTCGGCAAGACACTTTACCATCAGGGCGACCTGAGCTACTTTGAAGCCGTAAATAAGGAGACCCTGAAGAACGCGTACCAGCGCTTCGAAGAAGAAGGTATCTTACAAGTTGTCAAATCCAAAGACCCCAAGGTTCCACCCCGCCTGCGTCTCGATCCCGAATGGTGTCCTACACGCGACCCAGAGACGGGCGCCCTCAACGCCTCGGGTCGTCTCTGGGACTTTACCGAGAAGATCGCCTCCAGCCGCCGCGAAGGCAAGAACCGTCGCGACGGGGCCACCGTTAGTACCCGCGTGCTCCGCCTGACGGATCTGCTCGGCAGCAAGCTGTTCGAGGCGGCCAAGACTGGGGATAAAAAGGGGGCGTCGCCGACCCTTAGTATGGAGGACGCGAGACAGCTTAAGAAGAGCGTCAAGGAGCAGAGGAGGCGTAGGTCGCTGGAGAACCGAGCACATTTGTAAATTTTGTATTACTGTAAACGTGTAAAGCGGGTATGATATGATTACGATGTTCTCATCCTGTCCTTTGTTTTCTTCTTAGATGGCCGGGTCGAGAAGTCGCACAGCGTTGGTCCTCTGCTGGCGCAGGTTATTAGGCTGGTCGGTTGCGTCAATGAGTCATATATGAGGGTTCCAGGGATGTCTCTCACGTACAGCGTTGAATGGACGCGGAGGTTGCCCTGTGGCCCTTATATATGACTTGTTGTCGAGACCGGAAGGTGCTTGGCTGCGGTAATGTGTTGATAGTCCTCAAAAATGGCATTCTTTGTCGTCAAGTTTATTCAAACGTGGGATTCGACCACTGCTACCCTACGTTCCTTCCATCCAACCTTTGAACTCCTCCTACTGGGTATTTGGCTTCAGAATAATGTTGTCAATAAGTCGCACCGACGGTCCGCCGCTGTGCCCGAGATCCTCGCCGGGCTGCGGCTCCTCCACAGGCAGCATCTTGACCGCGCCGCTGAGGATAGCCCCCTTCGTGGGCACCACCGTGTTGATCTCCTGCATCGAGTCCGGGTCCGCCAGCGAGATGTAGTCCACCTCGAACATGACCCGCTCCGCCGGCGCCAGCTTCGCCTGCTCCGAGAGCACCCCCGCGGCGACCTGGTTCGCCGCCCCGAGAATCGCGTCCCGCTCCAGCGCGCCGCCCTGCGTGTACGCCTCCTCGGCGGCCCGCAGCGCGCGGGACAGCACCGTGGCGACCGCGCGCCGCCGCGCGCCGAGGTACACGTTGCGCGAGGACAGCGCCAGCCCGTCGGGCTCGCGCATCGTTTCCCCGACGACGACTTCTGTCGGCAGCATGAAGTCCTCGACCATGCGCCGGATCACGACCGTCTGCTGCACGTCCTTCTGGCCGAAGTACACCCGCTCGGGCTGCACGATGTTGAACAGCTTCATGCAGACGGTGGCCACGCCGCGGAAGAAGGTCGGCCGGGAGGCGCCCTCGAGGACCTCGCCAACGGGCGTGATGGTCACGAAGCTGCCCTTGCTGGACGGCTCCTGGCCCGGGAAGCCGGCGGGGTACATGTCGGCGGTGGTGGGGGCGAAGACGGCGCTGACGCGGCCGAGGTTGGCGCCGTCGCCGGCGAGCTCGCGGTCGAGGTCGCGCAGGACGGCGGTGTCGCGGGCCCAGGTCTGCGGGTAGGAGGCGAGGTCCTCTGCGACGCCGAACTGGGCGGGGTTGACGTAGATGGAGACGACGACGTGGTGGTTCTCGCGGGCGGCGGCGCGGATGAGGGAGAGGTGGCCGTCGTGCAGGGCGCCCATGGTGGGCACGAGGCCGACGGAGCGGTAGTTGAGGAGGTGCGGGCGGCGCCAGGTGCGCAGGGCGGAGACGTTGCGGAAGATGCGGATCGGGGAGGAAGGGACCGTTTCTGGTGCTGAAGACGAGGAGGAGGAGGAGCAGGCTGTTCGGAGCTGGGAGGATATGCTCGAGCTGCTGCAGCGGGCTGGGCTTGTGCTGCCCGCGGCGCGGAGGGTGCGGGCGAGCATTTTGGATGATTTTTGGGTTGTTGGAATTGTGAGGAGCTGGCGATTACGGTGGTTACGGGGGAAAGAGGGGATTTGCGGCCATTGTGGAGGCGCAATGGCTTATAGAGTCGGCGACGCTGTGATGGTTTCTGCGGCGGATTTTTGGGGACGGAGGGAGGTTTGGTGGAGATGGCTGTGAGGTCGTGGTCCTCGGCGGTATCGGTGAGGGGCTCGGTGAGGGAGCTCCTGTGGGGTCCGCACGTGAGGGGCATGATGTTATTTTATCTAATCGGCCAATGCGGAAGATGGATTACCCAGAGGTTTCTCCGACTGGTCACCGAGACTCACCTTCTCGGACCTGCCCCGTCTCGGTGAGCCCGGTGAAGGCCCGGTCGGAGATTTCCAGCGGTGACCTTATCCACTGAATAACCTCTCCATACTTCCCGCTGTCACTACCCTTCCCCTTTCCTGGGCTCCCCATGCGGACTATTCACCCCCGAGTTGTTCTCTTGCCTGCTTCGTTGGCAGTCCGCACAACACTGATGTGTGTCTTGCAAGTAAGCACGTAGTCATTGCCCTTCTCAGCGGCCTACGGATACACAGCAATGGCAATGATGCCAGGTCAATGCCTCGTACGACATGGCACCAGAGAATCCCCGTGCGACGCGAGGCATGCGAGATTGCCGTGGCCCTCTTTGCACGATTTGGCCCAGGTCGCAATCCCACGCCCCCCTCTTCACTCCCTCCCTCCGACGTGATCGTGTTTCTCTATCTTGTGTGTTCACTGGGGCATGAGTGAGAAGGAGACAGCAAGATCCGACTCCCAACTCCCTCAGTATCTGTCTCCCGCTGCCTCTCTCTTGTGAACACGGAAACGATTTGTCAAATCTCCTGTTTCACGCCTGGAGACACTTTCTTGGCGGACAGGCTGAGATGTAGCAGATGTTGACAAAATGTGCTGCTTCGCGCCTCGCGCCCACTTCCCACTTTCCCAACTCCAACCCACCACCACCCCCATGAGAAAATGGGGTGGTGGTGGCGTTTACCCTGGGCTGTTACCTTCTCTCTGGGTGACTTCAGACGAAAGCACGCAGTAGATCGAAAGAAGGCGCCCGGGTCGTTGCAGGTGGCTGCATCCACGGGGGATGACAGCCAATCTCCCGGCCGATAATCTGTGCTACATATTCCCAGCGAGGAAATGGGGAGGGTAGAGTCGAGAAACAATCGTGAGGAAGAAGACTTGCATGCATCGTAACTCTGCACAGGAACAGCACAGCCCCGGCCCCCAGCTGGTTGCTGAATTATCTTCAGTCCTCCTCCAGTGTGCCAAGTCATAATCTTGTGCGAGAACGAGTGCCACGAGAAAGGGCAGTCTCGACTTGTCCCGCCAAGCTGCCCGATCAGCCTGGGCGTCGGTTGCAGATGGCTTCTTTCTCTTCTTCTTCTCCTCCCCCTCTGACTCTGCGGCCCCGTTGACAGCTCGGCCCTGGGATTAACACAATCTCAAGAAAACGTCCAAGCAAAACTTGGCGTCTCCCCTTCCAAGCTTCGGCACCCTCGAGAAGGCAAGGCAAGTCGCATCGTTGCAGCAGAGGCGAAGTCCGGAGCCGACGTCAAATCTTGCAACAAGACCCAGCCTTTTTTGTCTCTGCCATGGGTGTTGGACCACACCCCATCCATCCCGACCGTCGTCGTCGGGAAGTCCCCAGAAATGCTACCCGCGACCGCAAGGCAAAAACTTCCCGAGAAGCTTATCCTTTCCTGCTGAGAATCAGAAGAAGTGTCAGCTTCAACCCACCACCCACCCACCCCATGTTGAGAGTGAATGAGACCCCTGCGGCGGACTCTTCTTTTTCGTCTGTCTGGTTGTGCTTGGGCTTAGGGTGGGGAAGAACAAGGTACCGGCCTACGGGCCCCCCATGGAAGAGCAACATCGCGGAACAAGGCATGACGACGGGTGTGTATCGCAACCGCATCTCCATCGCATCGCATCGCATCTGGCGCTTATTCTGGTGGGAGTCACGGTCACGGCCTGGAACGAGTTGGCATGCTGGGAAACTGGTGTTTTTGGTCGCGGCCCGCGGTCCGCGGCGCGGTGGGACAGAGACAGACTTGGCTGCTGATGGTACCATTCTACAACTGAAAATAACTGCTGCCGATGGTTATGCTTGAATCTGCAGAGCTGAGACAGGCTTTCGCTTGTACCATGTCTCTGTCTAAGAAACTCGCTGGAGGAGAAGAGCTTCCTCACCAAATTGCAGCTAGAGATGTCGAATCACCCGTCTCCATTGGCTAGCACGCATTCGCTTTCAGGCTGTCGGGAACATGTCCGTCTGTCTGGACATCTATCTTTTGCCCGTATCATCAGACGACGATCTCGCTTTTGCTTGCACCACATCCTCTACGAAGTAGTGCTACCCTTCCAGCCCGCCAAGAAAGGCACCTCAAAATAAAGTACAGGAAAAAAGAAAAGAAAAAGCTAGAATGCACAGCGTTGCCCAGCTCCCTTCGTCCTTTTGCCGAACTTTGAAAGCCACCCATAAGCTCGGATCAGGGCGCAGATTAACTCTGGGTGTCAAGATGCGAGGTCAGCAGCAAGCAGGACACTACAGTAAAGAAAGAAAAAGTAATGACGGCACCCGCCGCTGCTTGGTGTTTCATTCCGGTTCGTCTGGTGCGGCGTTTCGCACTTTTGGGGCGGCGCTGGCTGGTGCTGCTGCTGCGGCCCCTCTGGTGCTGGGCGGCGCGGCGCTTGGCCCATCCAGTACCATCATTTCTCTTGGCATTTAAAGGGGACTGTCCTCGGCAGACTGGACAGCCGGGCTTTGATGGGACGACGATTTGTCGCCTCGGGACGGATACGCTGGTTAATCTTTCTGACAGCAATAGCAAGGGGTGATGGTGAGGTGCACACGACCTCTTCCTCTTCTTGGCCAGACTGTAGGAGAGAGGGAATATTGGGATGCAAGGGTTCTCTTCTACCTAAGCATGCATCCCCAAAACAGTCTCCAGAAAAGGGCAACGGCACCCGACGTAAGGCCTTCATTCAACCTTACTTCAGTTTATTCTTAGTACCGTAGTAAAAAAGAAAGGAAGAAAGGAAAAAGGATCCCGCGCGAAGAGTGGATGGAAGGGGGGCGTCGTCGAATGCAGGACCAAACGAAACATGGGCAAAAGCTTCCCCAGGGAACGAACCTTGTTCGCCCAGACCTATATCCGCGAAGGCTGATACTCGATATGAGCGACAGCCGAGCAGACAAACAGCAGGAAAGTGTGTGGGCAGGGCAAAAGGTAGCGAGATTCAAAGCCAAAAACGTTGGCGATTATTACCTCGGAGGCTCTGTTGGCCCTACGTTTAGTGCGTGTCTGGGTGCTTATTGGGCGTCTACGTTGACAGGTAATAGGTTTTAAGGTCCGATGCTACTGCGACGGTGACAGAATTTGGTCGAGTCGAGACGTGCGACCTTGTTCGGCTCAACTCACCCGCCGCG